ACCTTTTTTCATTGAAAATGTGACTTCTAGTCATAAACAAGTTCTGGTATGATTAAGTATAGTTATAACATAACCTTTAAGAGTATATTCCATATTTTGCATTCAAATTGAACGCCTTCCAAGATTGCACGTTCATATATGTATTTTCAACGAATAGTTTATACATATATAGAGCAAAATCGTTGCACTTTGTGAAAGAAATACAGATAACTCCCCAACTCATTGAGACCATTCATTAAGTCTGTTCAAATTGAGTGATTATGAGATAATCATTTTTCAAAAGCAGCTTCTAACTTCATGATAGATGATATACACTGTGTCCATAAAGTCACCCCCCCCCCCTGGTTAACTATTGAACGGATGGGATTTTTTTTTTTCAATTTTTTTTTTGCTTCAATGGTAGTTTCAGTGCTATATATTGTTCAAAAAAAAAATATGTATATGAAGATTTTTTTAAATGGAGTGGGGGGTCGAAAGTTACCTCGATTGAAAGGTCTTTCGATTCTCTATACAACCTCAGAATCTCAGACGAAAATATTCATCCAAAACAAAATGGCGGATGATAACGTTTGAAATCTCACACCAGAATTCTTTCGACTAGATGGCTATTGAAGTGCTCGCATGTGATCTTCAAATCTCTATTGGCGTAAAGAAGAGTTCTCTATCCATGAAGATATCAATAGGAAGCCATTTTGAAGAGAATAACATGGTAGTCAATTATACCTTTGCTCGATTGTCTTTCCAAATTCTGCAAAATTTTAGAAATATTTATTCAAAATAAAGAACAATGTTTATTCCACGTGACTACCATGTTATTCTCTTCAAAATGGCTTTCTATTGATATCTTCATAGATAGAGAACTCTTCTATACGCCAATAAAGATTTGAAGATCACATGCGAGCACTTTAATAGCCATCCAGTCGAAAGAATTCTGGTGTGAGATTTCAAACGTTATCATCCGCCATTTTGTTTTGGATGAATATTTTTGTCTGAGATTCTGAGGTTGTATAGAGAATCGAAAGACCTTTCAATCGAGGTATCTTTCGACCCCCCACTCCATTTAAAAAAATCTTCCAAAATGGCGCCCAGGCGCCATTTTGGAGGATACATATTTTTTTTTGAACAATATATAGCACTGAAACTACCATTGAAGCAAAAAAAAATTGAAAAAAAAAATCCCATCCGTTCAATAGTAAACCAGGGGGGGGTGACTTTATGGACACAGTGTATAACAATTCTTGTATATGTTCAAAAAATGGTATGCTTATCTTCTATACTTTCATAAGTGCATAAAGCACATAGACATTTAAAATAAAAGACTTCGTCCTACTGTTGAATTCGAAATCGATACGCATTGTAATTGGCTAGAAAAAAAAACTGAAATACTCTCACCTCTCCGATTTCTACAGTCAGTATATTGATAAATAAAAAATCGATTTTTTTAGCGTGATACGCATTAAGCACGCTTGTGAATATCGTGTTTCTAGGTCAGTCGTTTTCCTATTATTAATATAATGTAACCATTTTAATTGACAACATCGATTAATTCTTTGGGTGTTAATTGCATGAGAGGCAGCGGCGGACACATCGTTTAAATTTTTGGTGGGTGCGAACCTCAAAGAATGGTGGAAACATACCACTTTTTGGTGGGTGTTTAACTTTGAAAAATGACGAATAATAACTCAGATAATTTAATTACTCAAAATGAATCTTGCATTGAATAATGAATAAGAGAAACATTTTGAACGACGATCTAGTTGAAACATACCTATTATGGAAGTCAAGATTCGGTGAAAAATTGAAACCTTAATTTTTTCCTGTATTTTCACACTTAATATTGCAACTAAACTGATCCTGTACTTTGGATTATACAGTCTGTCCAAGATAAGATTGAACAGCATGGGGATCTCGAAAACGGTAAGAGATACGAAATCGGTTGAATGGAGAAAAAGTTGCGCATTCGGAGGCTCATATCAAGAGCCTTCGAAAATTTTGAAATTTATTTTTAGTTTTTGAGTTATATCGAAAAAAGTGAATTTTTGGAATTTCTATTTTATTTTTTTTCTCCGTTATTATTAGAGATACAGCAAAACTGAGAATACTTTTTCATAGCAACTTTTGATGACGGTCAACGTGGTGATACCGATTTTTTCATGCGACGTTTCGTATTCGTGGAACCATCATCAACTTTTGTTTTTTAAATACGGTCCTGATAATTTTTTCACAGATTCTAAAAGGTTTTTTTATTCTAAATTCAACCATGTATTATACAAGGTGGTTCATTTGTGTTTCGACCTATTTTTGGCCATCATCAATGTTTTTTCAAAACTCCAAAGGAAAAATGCCATCAGTTCCACTTATTTTGAAGGAAAATTAGTCAACACACTAATACCTCATCAACTGGTTTCAATCAACAACTCATTTCATTTTGCGGAAACAAAAATTCCATCCATACAAATTCAGAATATGTCAAGCGCTAAAACCAGGCGATGACGAAAGGCGCAAGACATTCTGTGAGTGGTATACCAGGAAATGTTGAAATTTTGCAGATTTCTTTCGAACAATCATCTGGACTGGTGAAAGCATGGTCACTAATCATGGTAGCTTCGATAGAAAAAATACACATTATTGTTCACGAGAAAATGAACATTTATACATTACAGCGAGACACCAACACCGTTTCGGCTTTAATATGTGGGTTGCAATATTTGGTACACGAATTATTGTTCCTTCTATTTACCATGGAACACAGACTTCCGAACGTTATAGAAATTCGCTTGAGAATCATCTTGAGGAAGCTCTGGATGATTTACCGATTGCGGAAGTTCAGAACTCTGTTGGTTTCAACAAGATGGCGCTCCGGTACATAATTCCAGAGAAGTCCGTGCGTTTTTATCCCTTGGCCGGCGCGGTCGCCTGATTTGACACAGCTGGATTTTTTCTTAGGGGATATATCGAACTTTGTACACGCAAATAACTTTGAGGATGAGGAAGAACTAAGGGACAGTGTCTTCGAAGCATTCAATAGAATAACCCCAGAAATGCTTAGCAATGTCTTAGAAACAACTGTGAGAAGAGGATATCTTTGTTCAGAAAATAATGGTTATCATTTTGAACATTTGTTATGAATGTCTCTGTAGGTATTGTCAAAGTTGAGTTGTTGAAGTAATTCGTGTAAGAATTCATCAACAATTTTAAACGCTGCATTGATCGGATGATGTAGTGAAATATTTTTTATTCACTTTTCAGTATTGAATAAATAATTCATCAAGTTTGACACTAAATGATAAGAAATAAGTGGAACTGATGGCTTTTTTTCTTTTGGAAGTTCGAAAAAACATTGATGATGGATAGAAATAGGTCGAAACACATTCGAATCACCTTGTATAGTACATTGTTGAATTTAGAATAAAAAACCTTTCAGAATCTGTGAAAAAATTATCAGGACCGTATTTAAAAAACAAAAGTTGATGATGGTTCCACGAATACGAAACGTCGCATAAAAAAATCGGTATCACCACGTTAAACCTCATCAAAAGTTGCAATGAAAAAGTATTTTCAGTTTTTCTGTATCTCTGATAATAACGGAGAAAAAAAATAAAATAGAAATTCCAAAAATTCACTTTTTTCGATATAACTCAAAAACTAAAAATAATTTTCAAAATTTTCGAAGGCTCTTGATATGAGCCTCCGAATGCGCAACTTTTTCCCCATTTAAGCGACTTCGTATCTCCTACCGTTTCCGAGATCCCCATGCTGTTCAACCTTATCTTGGACAGACTGTATATCATTAAAAATAAATTTTGAATTCTATTTCCGACCAATTGATTGATCATAGAAAATCAATATTCAGTATTGGCAATGCCTATTGTTATTGTTATTGGGTCATTATATACATGCTGGGGGAGGATGTTGTTGTCAAAATACCAACTCGTACTTAATCTTCCATTTTATGATCAGCTATATAAAATGGGGATATTTTCTACACAGTTCACGGACTTTGATGAAACATTTGTTCATTTATGCATGCAGTAAAAAATGTTGGTGTTGTTCTCAATTAATTCTTTGTTATTTCGTTGAGTTTATGAAATTTTGTATTTTTCGATGTCTATATTTGCAAAACAAGTCATAGTCATAGAAACACAATGTTGCATGTCATGAAATTTCGAATACAAACTGGTGGTTAAGTATAAGAAATAACATAGGTACTTATTGACAAATTGTTCTATCAATGGATGTTTATGTATTATTCGCTCCAAGTTATTCATTTTTCAATTTTCCATCAACCTTCCCAGACTGATATCACTATTCATAATGATTCAACACACCCTCATCAATATAAAAGTGCAGCATATATGATACACAGGCTAGTAAATGTCCCTCTTTCAGAAGTAAATTTGAATAAAGAACTCAATATCATAAAACTGATTGCAGTCAACAACGGCTACAACATTAATTTGATAGACAGTATCCTTTCTGCAAAACTGCATAATGAAGCTATTCAAGAAGTTTATCCTACTATCAAAAATAATAATCAAAATTATAGAACGTTAACCTATTTTGGATCAATCAACTGGAAAATTAGCTTCATTTCTACATAAACAGGACATATAACATGTTGGGGAGATTTATCAAAAATAATGGAGACAAAACTTCCTAATTCGAAAAACAGGGGTACACAAACTCAACTGTGAATATGTTGGTCAGACAGGTCATACGTTTGATCAGAGAATTCATGAACATGAGATGAATTTTTGAAAAAGAAAGCAAATTCAACATGCGTCAACCATATACCTATTAGAAGAAAACCACAGTTTTGATGAATATTTCGAAATTTTACATGTAGTAAATAAAGGAATGAAACTCAATCATTTTGAATCATTATAAATGAACAAACTCAAACATTTTACTTAACGATCAACTAGATCTCAATAGTTCACCACTGTTCAACCCTTTCAAGTTAATCCATTACACCGTATTTTAATGTAGATATTTGTGCCTTTTTTCCGAAAATGAAGGTTTTTCGAACCTTTCTACAGGTAATTCGAATCCTTCAGGTTGGGAAAGTAGAATAAATATAAGTTCAGGCAAGCTAAGGTTAGTTTATTTCATTGTATCAGTATTTCACCTGATGAAGGAAGCTACTGTGTTAGCGAAACATGTTGTGATATTAAGAATTTCGTGGAAATCTCATGGTTTGTCAAGTTTTTACATTTGCTATGGATTTCTGTCAAGTAATGGCAAAACCTCAATTATCATAAAATTATGCCATAATTACATAGAGTAATTATGGTGTTGAATCTGTCATATTTTTTGGGAATATAGGTACAATATTAGTAACATTTTTTCAGTTATCAGGACTGGGAATTATCGTAGCTGGAGCTGTCGTTTTAGCAGATATTTCAGAATTCAGCAGTTTCGTAACGAGTGACCTGCTAGGGCCTCCGATAGTTCTTATTGTAGCAGGAGTCATTGTCTTCGTTATAGCCTTCTTGGGATGTTTTGGGGCCATAAAGGAATCATACAATATGCTGATGGCTGTAAGTAATTCTCGATGAATATACCTGTCATTCCAAAACTGACAATTGGGCATTATTCCACTATTCAGATAGCTATTCAGTATGCTTCAAAGAAACTTCGAAGGGAACTAATTCCAACGAATTCGAAATATATGTAGAAATCTTCATAATGAAGTAATTCCTTTGCCCACTTATACAGGGTGTTTCACAGGTAAAGGGAAATATTTCAATGGTAGATAGGGGTCACCAAGGTGGTTCTGAAAATACCATATTTGATAGGTCTTAGAGTTTTTATAACGGAGATACAGGGCGATTTATCGATTTTGAATAATTATTCATTCGTCTATAAGTATTGAACTATCCAGTATATTTTTCTAAAATTTGGTATGGAGCTCAAACTTGGGACGTTGAATGCATTCACCTATCGGGCGAAGTGAAAATCCAGGTTCGGCTCCAGGAAAAATTTACATTTATTCGAAATATTAAAATAACACACTGTATGTAATAATTGACAAAGTTCATTAAAGGAATCATGAAGAGGAGGAAAAACTGAACTGGATTTGATGCTTTTTGTTTTCCCGCCACCAATTCTCATCGTAACAATCATAAAGAGGAAGCTAAAAGTATGTCAATTTCAAGAGTATTAAAATTATGAAACCACTTTCAATTATGATTATTTGATATATTCTTGTTAAATGATCGTTCGAAAGAACTTACTTAGTCTCACAGTCTTTATAACAGAGATACAGGGTGAATTATCACTCGTCCATGAGTATCAAACTAACCATCGCAGTATTGAGCTTACTTGGGACGATGGATTCATTGACCTATCAGGCAGAATGTAAATACAGGTTCAGCTTCAGGAAAAGTCTCATAGTCTTTATAACAGAGATACAGGGTGAATTATCGAATTATAATTCCGCCTGATAGGTTGATGAATCCATTGTCCCAAGTAAGCTACATACCATATATTTGAGAAAATGTTACTGGGTAGTTTCATACTTATGGACGAGTGAATAATTATTCAAAACCGATAATTCACCCTGTATCACCTTTATTAAAACTGTGAGACTTAGTAAGTTCTTTCGAGCGATTTTATGACTAAAATATATCGAATAATCATAATTGACACTGGTTTCATAATTTCAATACTCTTCAAATTGACATACTTTCAGATTTCTGTTTATGATTGTTACGATGAGAATTGGTGACGGGAAAACAAAAAGCATCAAATCCAGTTCAGTTTTTCCTCCTCTTTACGATTCCTTTGATGAACTCTGTCAATTATTACATACAGTGTGTTATTTTGATATTTCGAATAAATATGAATTTTTCCTGGAGCCGAACCTGGATTTCCTCTTAGCCCGATAGATGAATGAATTCAACATCCCAAGTTCAAGCTCCCCATCAAATTTAAAATAAAAAAAAATATACTGGGTAGTTCAATACTTATAGACGAATGAATAATTATTCGAAATCGATAAATCGCCCTGTATCTCCGTTATGAAAACTCTAAGACCTATCAAATATGGTATTTTCAGAACCACCTTGGTGACCCCTATCTACCATTGAAATATTTCCCTTTACCTGTGGAACACCCTGTATGTTTCAAGCCAAAATAATGAAAAATGTAGAAGTATATCAAGATTTTTTTTCGAATCGTTATACTAATGGCAATTCCGACAGTGTTTCAATGTGGTGTTCGGACGAACGATAGCCGAATCAGTGTCTCTTGCTATATTGCCATTTACATGCCCTATTTGTAACAATTGGGCAACCAATCTTTATATACTTAGGGTATTCTGACTGATGTCTAATTATCCATTTATATTTATACTCTCATATGTAGGTTACATATAGGGTAACAATGTTCAATTTTTTTTTCAGTTTGCTGGCCTGCTTATCATCATATTCATAATCGAATTAGCTGTGGGGATTGCAGCAGCAGTATATAAATCAGATTTTCAGGAAGCACTGAAGGAGAGTTTGAAAAAGTCGATGGAAAATTATTCAGATCCTAACAACCCAGAAAGAATATCTTGGGATAACGTACAGAGAAAGGTAAGCAATGGGCTTATATCACAAAAAAAAATTATTTCATAATTCGATAGAACTCACCCAAACTAGCTCACCACCGCAAACCGTTTCTTGCTGTGAGCTCCCTACGTTTTATAAAAAATTATTGGAATCCCCGATTTTTCGGACTTCTGAAAACGAGGCGATGATGTGACGTCAAAACCCTAATACTGAAACAAGACTATTCCAGACAGAGATGAATGATACATGATTTCTGCCAGAGTGAATTAGCGCGAGATCACAGTTGAAAGAATTAATATATCAGTTGCCTCAGTCTCCGTCGTGCGTTTGGTATTTTCTTTTAACTATGGCGAGATGAGGTTTCTACGTCATAAGAGGGTCCGTTTTCAGAAGGTACTATTATTTATGTCCAAAAATAAAACATTCCAGTCAATTTTTCGATCGAATTATGTCGCCAATCATTATTTATGTATAAAAAGATCATTATAAACATGGTTTGAGTTAAAAGTTCTACTGAGGTGTACACGCCCATTCAGTAGGTACCTAAGTAAATGCATCAGAGGGTTTCCACGTATATTTTGACGCCTTTATGTGAGTTCATCATCGTATAGATAGTTAATTTCTTTATGACAGAATCTGGCGTTTCAAGAAAACCCTATTCGCGATTCGTGGTAGCCAAGGTCATCATCTGACGTTGACATGACATAAAAACTATAATTACAACCCCTGCATTCAGAGTTTCCTGCTATGAATGTGTGTATGAAAATATAAGACTATATGAGATCCATGTGTTCCCAAGTTTTTCCTTTTTTTTTTTCAGAATATCCAGGTCATTGTTATAAATAAGGTCCCCGTATATGCAAACTGACGTATTTGTCATCTAACAGGGTACGGACAGATCATAGCTCCTTTATCTTTTAATCATCTAGTGACTTTAGTTTCGTGTATTTTCGTCCCTGTCATGACATTGCTGTCATGTCACATTCATAGGCGTTAAAAGAGATCTTACAAAATTCCAATTTCATACTTGATCTCAATACGACATTATTCAATACTATTTTGAGATGATGGTAAAATGTGCTGCGTTTTGCTGTATCAATTAGTTGGATGGCAAATTTGAATTTGTCAGCTTAAAACAAAAAAGTGAAGTGACCGAATATGGAAAATTGGTAAATACATCAGCAAAATATTCGAGGTAAACCAAATACGAAATCACATAATATACTTTCTCATTGTGCCTATAATTATCCACTCCACAAGTTTTTGAATGCATTTTAGTGGAAACAGTTTTGACTAAAACGGATGGTTAAAAGAAGAGGCATATGCCCTACCATTCAAAAAATTATAACTATATATTCAGGAAATATCAAGTGTTCGTGAAAAACTGCAAAAATGATTCCCAACATGAACATATACAGCACACATAACATATGAGCACATTATAGTTTGAATATCTACATAAAATTGTTCACCATTTCTCAACCATAAGGCTTAGTCTGAAATAAAAATGCATTTATTGATAGGTACTGCCTAAGAACAGTCCCATTTGGTGAAACGTATTAAAATTTCAGAAAAATTTGCTCACTGCCTCACAAGTATTATGCTGGAGTTGAAAAATCAAAAACTCGAAAATTATCATCATCATTTGGATATAATATGTAGAGTTGAATGAGAAATTATATGTGGAAATTACACATGATACGCCAATGTCCTCAATATAACCTAAGAAACAATGCAAGAACTGTCAAATGACCGACGCTGGAGGCAAAACATTGAAACACAACGTCACTTTTCTCATTTGTTTACAAGTGATCGAAATAGTTTTCCACAATTATTTTGGCATATGAATCGTATTTTTCCGCTATTCATCAATTCGCTCATGCCATCACATTGTGCTGTTGTAAAATGCACAAAAACTGCAGCGGAAGATGAAGGAATCCGGATGGTACATTATGATTTAAAAGTAAGTACCTACTATAGTCACTCACATATAGTTTTCATTTTTGAATTTGGTTATTTCTCTGATTTCTCATCGGAATTCCTTCTGCAATAGGAGATAATAGAAATATACCTGAAATTTCTAGGAAAATGCGAGGAGATTGGATTCATGCAATCAATCGGGAGGACTGGTCTGACATGCTGACAATCGTGTGTGTTGTAGACATTTTCAATCTATTAGCAGTATCAGCTTGTATTGCAGAAGTGGCAGAAGGCAGAAGGAATTTTAATACGGAATGACAACATTCCATAATGATATAACTATGTGAGATTACTATTTACCTGGAAAATCATATTCCCTAGTCTCTTGCTGCATTTTTAGTGCATTGTACAACAGCACAATGCGAAGGCAGAGATAAGTTAGGCGAAGGTATGCTTGAATTAATGAATAACGCAAGAAACACGATTCGTATGCCAAAATATTGTGAAAAACTATTTCAACCTTTTGATTCCTCTGTAAACAAATAAAAAAGTGAGGTTGTGTTTCAATAATTCACAGAAGAGTGAGGTTGTGTTTCAATATTTTGCCTCCAGGGTCGGTCATCGTGCACGCGTCCTATGTAGTGTTTATATGGAACTATATACCTGTTTTACAAACACTTTGGACTGAGAGGAGACGAGGATCTGTCCGTACCCTGTTTAGATGACAAATACGTCAACTTACATCAAGGGACCCTAGTTATAAATAGGTAGGTACCTACTGAACTTGTACTGAACATCATAGCTTATAGCTTTGTTCGCGGATCACGTTTTGAATCGATTCGGAACCAGTCCAGAACTAATACAGAATTGTCGTACGGCGCATGCCTGATTATGAACTGGTTCGGGATTTCATTTTACCGCGAACGATTTTTTTGTACTGTCCTACTATTAGGCAAGTGTCAAGTCTCCTAACATAACCTGAATTTCTGAAAATTCTTGTTTCTAAAATGTGTTTCAATTTCAACATTCTCCAAGTCATTAGGCAATTTTATTACTCCTGGAGATAGATTACTCAGAAAATACGTGACTCTTCTTACCTACTATTTTGAACAAGGTGCTTTTAGTTATACCAAACCTATCGGAAAATTCTCTTAATGAAGTTGCCTGGTTTGCAGAAAATCACAAGAAAACTGTTATAACTTTGAGTGGAGTAACCTTCTCTGAATCCCCTTCCTGCCATTTATAATAATCAGAATTAGCATATCGATTTGCCAACTCTTCGGTCATTTCTCGAGTTAATCGAAAATGCTATACATATTGTTCATCGCTCAACTGTGGCACCACTTCCTCAAAATATGCATTAGTCTTGGGAACTTCAATAATTTCTAACAACTTTTCCATATCCTCATCGCTAGATGATAAATGGTCCGACATGGTATATAGAAAGGAATAATAAAATAGACAATACATATCATATTCATAGGTTATAGTTATTCTTTTTGTTTGATCGTTGCTGGATCAAAACAGAAGACAGCTGACCTGACATCATATTGCGCATGAACAGGAGAACCGAACTTTTCGTCCTAACCAAAATCCTAGGATCGCTAGAACTGATTCTCAATCAGTAATGAAAAGATCCGATGTGATCCGCGAACACGGAATTGTTACCAAAAATCGTACCCGCGAACAAAGCTATTGAAAGAACAAAAACTGATTTCTTGTTCATATGACAGATGAGTGCCGATAAGTGGCAATTCATCAATATAAATGCATCCATTACTGTCTAGCATGAATACTCCATTTCCTTTGAAATTTTCAGTTGATGTGTTGTGGGGTAGACGGTCCTGGAGATTGGCAAGGTCAATCAACCCCAAATTCATGTTGTACCAGTGAAAAACTTGACCAAGAAACTGAAGCTTATTGTCTCGATAATGCATTTGGGACATACATGTTCAAAACCGGTTGCTTTGAACATCTGAAAGGGAAATTTGAATCCAATTCCACGATACTGATAGGTGTTGGCATCGGGATAGCGTTTGTAGAGGTGAAAAATTGGGAAAATATGCAATATGAGGGGGTTAGAACAGTTTCGAAATATGTATTGTTCATATTCACACATTTCTAGGTGATTGGAATCGTGTTGGCATGTTGGCTGGCTTATACAATAAAGAATGAAGATAGTGGAAAATGAGACGCAGTTATTGGTGATGTGAAATCACAGAAAAGTGTGTATGTTTACTAATATAATAGAAGACAGGAAGGCACTAAATGAACTATGGAGCAATATATACCTATGGAATAGCTTTTATTATGGTCATATCCTGAATAATTGATTGATGATGTGTGTTAGTACTTAGTAAAATTTCCTGTTCTCATTATGATTAAAGTGAAATTTTGAATATTTTTCCTTTTATATCATTGTGCTTGTACCTAGGTTCCCTTGATGTGAATTACCTATCTTATCTTTCATCTTATCGTTTGATTCGATGACAAATACTTACGTCAAATTACATCAAAAGGGACCCTATACTTGCACCTCTACCATAGATTAACGACTCTATTCTGTTGAATATTCAGAATTATATTATATGCAAATCTTTATATGAAGGAGAATGCAAATTTTCTACTTTAGAAGATTTTGTTTTCAAATTCTTATCATGTGTGTTCAATAGATGTAATTCAATATTCGTCGTGGCATATAGCCAGGAAAGTAGTTGTTTTCTGTTGAATAAACCGAGAAAGAATTGATATTTTCATCACATGGAGAATGCGAATTCTCAATGTATTTCTTTATTTATATATATCCATTTTTTTGTGTTCATAAATATATCTGAGAATGTTCCTCTTCAATAGCTTATATGTTCAGTTTATCCGTCATTCTGAATGGAAACAAATAACGGATTCAACAAAATATAAAATACATGTATCTCCAAAATCAAAACCCCTAAAAAAATAGAGTACGCCACTGGATTCTTCGCAAAATTCTTTGTTAGACATAGCATAGATCTAATTACACAATTAGATCTATTGACATAGTAATAACTCAGCACAACCTCATTTCTAATAACTTCGTAGAGAAGCCTGGCAGTCTAAACCAAAATGTAAATTTAAATCTGAAACACGCTGTATGTCTCCTTGTGCATTTTACATTCCTATAGAGAAATTTGCTAGATTTTTTTCGCTACTTCTGACTGTTCTTCGAAATCACTAGAGATTTTTGTAAAAATTATATTCTCATCCTGTGTTTAATTTTTTCAAATTGTTAGACTTTCGAAAATAAAAGTGCCAGTATCCGTGTTCAATTCTTCATTTTATATCTTGTATACTATATATCTGTTCCCCCTGTATAATTTCATCAACGTCATTAGTCATAGATAAATCATTTGTTCGGAGATTAATACTGCAGCATGATTCAACCTATTAGTCATTCAATCGAGACAGGTGGTGAATAAAGACAGTCTTATATTAGATGTCATCACGTACAGTCGAATTTTGTGATCGCAATTGAAAAATACGCGAAAGGAATTATTTATCGTTCCAAACAGAGTGTTCACTTGAGAATAAGTACAAGTATTGTGTTTTTGTGTTCTTCATACAATTCAGTGATTATATTATCGCGATCGTGTGATGTTCTAGTGTTTCGTGTTGTTTGATCAAAGTTTCGCATTTTTCACGCCGGTAAGTAAAGAGAAATTCTCTCAAGTTTTCCTCATATTTCCATCTTTACTTTCAACTTCATTGCCTTTTATGTTTTCACAATCACAAAGGTGCCGTTTGTTGAATATTTTCCTATGAAGATATACTTTCTTCTGATTTTCGTACTTTCCGTTCAGAACGGTATTTTTTCAGAAGAAAATAATAGGAAAAGAGCAAACCAGAACAAAATGAGACGATTCGAGATTATTTCATGAAAACATATTTTTTGCTATATAGGGTGTTTTAGATTCAGATGTACAAACATCGATGTGTCTACCATCTTTTATAACTGTGATACAGAACGTATTCTTGATGTTGGCAATATCTTTATCTGGTCAGCTCATAACTTTTGAACCATGGTGTATAATCGATTCATACTCGATAGGTATATTCAACTCATATTACTCATCAAAACTGAATAGGAATCGAATTTAGAATCTAGAACTGTTATCCGGGAAAACAGAAAACTTCTTCTTTTTCAAAAACAACACTCTGTTTATTAGAATTTTGTAGATATGTTTCAATATCTGCAAAGAGCTGGAAAACTTAATGAATTGGGCTACTTTTCAACAGTGTGCATCCAATTCGACTTTTTTTCATCATCATTTTTATAAATTGAATTTTTGTAGAACTGCTAATTCTGAATTCAATTTTATCACAAAAAATAATCAGTCCTCAAAGTTCAACTTCATTAGAGTCGAATTAGGGTGAACTCCCGATAGTTTCCATTCCATAGAATAATTATTGTTAATTAGATATCTTCGAGTGCTCGTTACATTTTCACTATTAAAAAATAATGATAACACAAATTTGATTATGTTGCTATGCCTCGAGTTATGCACAAAGGTTAAAAAATAAATACCATATTATATAGCTTTTGCCAAAATTATATTTTTAGCCTGTTTAATTTTTTCCAATCTTGTATACTATATATCTTTTCCCCCCGTATAATTTCATTATCGTCATTAGTGGTGAATCAAGACAGTCAGTCTTATGTTAGATGACAGCACATACGGTCGAATTCTGTGATCGCAATTGAAAAATACGCGAAAGGAATTATTTATCGTTCCAAACTGAGTGTTCACTTGAAAATGAGTGCAATAAGTGTAGTGTTTTTTGTATCCCTCATTCAATTCAGTGATTACATTATCGCGATCGTGTGCTGTTCTGGTGTTTCATGTTGTTTCATCAAAGCTTCGCATTTTTCACGCTGGTGAGTCAAGAGAAATTCTCTCAAGTTTTCCCCATATTTCCCTCTTTACTTTCAACTTCATTACCTTATATGTTTTCAAAATCACAAAGGTACCGTTTGTTGAATATTTTCCGATGAAGATATACATTCTCCTGATTTTCAAACTTTCCGTTCAGAACGGTATTTTTTCAGAAGAAAATAATACGAAAAAAGCAAGCCAGAAGATGATAAGACGATTCGAGATTATTCCATGAAAACATATTTTTGCCGATACAGGGTGTTTCAGATTCAAATACACATACATCGATGTGTCTATACTATCTTTTATTATTGTGATACAGAACGTACCTAATCTTGATTTTGGCAAAATCTTTATCTGGTCAGCTCATAACTTCTGAACCATGGTGTATAATCGATTCATACTCGATAGGTATATTCAACAACTTTTCAACAGGGTGCATCCAATTTGACTTTTTTTCATCATGATTTTTCGAAATAAAATTGTTTTTTGAACTCCTAATTCATAGTCCAGTTTTATCACAAAAAAATAATCAGTCCTCTAAGTTCAACTTCATTAGAGTCCAAATTAAGTGAACAATCGATAGTTTTCATTCCATAAAATAATTGTTAGATATTTTGTGCTTGTTACTTTCAAGGTCAATATCTCCGAAACGAAGCGCGATATACTTTTTTTCATATAAAGTACCAACATTATTTTGGCTCACTCTACCGGTCCTATATCATTTACAACATTACCTTTCCGGACATCTTGTATAGTTTGCAAATATTTCCTAAAACTATTTTTTATTCATTTGGGATTGAATCAAAGTTGCCAATTACATTTAGATAGCTGTGGACACAACATAAATGCCATGGAAACAAAACAGGCTTTTTTGACATCTCTGTTGGTCTTTGAATTAAGATGGGATATTCAGCAGTGGAAAAATACGAAATTGTATAATTGTTCTATTATGAAAATATTGCGGAAACTTCGGTGATGCAGCAAGAATTTAGTCTAAATCGGATTTCTTTTCCAGATTAACAAGCAAACAGACAGAAAGCAAAGTGTTTGATACTTGCCACTAAGTCGGAGAAAACCATCCAGTCAAGACGGGCCGAACAGAAAATCCGCAGAGAGAACTGACCAGAGAATACTTTTCAGAATTCATATCCTTATATTCGTACAGAAGGCGATATATTGAATTCCTTCACAGATTCTCAAGCATTTCTGATATGTGATATTTAGTTGCAGATCCGAAAAGCAAAGTGTTCTAAACTTAGCAATAAATTGGAGGAAACCATCCAGTCAAGACGAACCGAATAGAAAATCCGCAAAGAGAACTGACCAGAGTATACTTTTCAGAATTCTGATCCTCATATTCGTACGAAAGGCGATATATTGAATTCCTTTTCAGATTCCCTAGCAAACAGATAGACAGATATTCACCTTTATGTCTCTATGGAAACACGACAGGTACCCTTACGAGGGGAGAGTATCAACTCAGATGCACACTGTTTGGCATTTATGGTTCTTATTATAACCCACGAAATTCAAAATGTAGCAGATGTCTACTGGGAAAACCACTATTCGGAAGGAGAGCGAACATGAAGCGATTCAGTTACGGTTGTTGGAAATATTATTCAGGTATGTTTCAGATTCAACATCAGTTTTCTCATGGACTTTCTGATATGTGATATTTAGTTGCAGATCCGAAAAGCAAAGTGTTTGATACTTTTGTCAATTAATTGGAGAAAACCATCCAGTCAAGATGGACCGAACAGAAAATCCGCAAAGAGAACTGACCAGAGTATACTTTTCAGAATTCTGATCCTTATATTCGTACGGATGGCGATATATTGAATTCCTTTCCAGATTCTCAAGCAAACAGATAGACAGATATTCACCTTTATGTCTCTATGAAAAAAAGTCCATTATCACAATAGGTATTTGAAAGAGAAAGAGACATACTTATTTTTCCTAGTCCTAGTTTCTGGAGACTTCATCAGAAACTTACCATGCAAAATATGGACTGTTGATCATTTCAATCATGTTCTTTTAGATGGGCACTACAAATAGTTAATAATCAGTAATAATATATATCTATGAATCACCACTTTACCTTGTTTTCATTAATTGGAGCAATGAAAGTGGAAAAAGGTAAAGGATATAGGAAGTTTTTTCAACTTTTTGTAGTAGGTACATACTTATACATCCAGTTTTCAAATTCACATTCGATGCTCCACGATTATCCATTTTTCCATCCAACTGAACTGATTTTTCATTTTCAGAAAAGACTTCTTGAGTTTACTAGTGCAACCATCAACAGAACACAGTTGATTTCTTGGTTTTTGAGTGATATGTTGATTCATGATTTATAAAATAATGTAGAATTGTGTCGATAATTAATATGAAGTTCTTGTCTAGTACTCAAGAAAATCATTTAAAAAAAAATCGAAGTAATTTGTAGAATGAATTACATGAAATATCAAATAAATGAACAGAATAACAAACAATAACAAAAGTTACCTTGAATGCCCTGATAAACTGGTTCAAATGTGCCCACCAGATGACGTATCGGAATCATCACCTTGTCAATTGACCATTCCAGAACCAGAACACGTGATTTTGACATGGTATCTTGAGGGGCACATACACTATCTGTTAGGTTACCTTTGATGAGCATTGCCCTGGCCATCCCTGCCATAATCACAATATAATAACAGTTTCACCAAAGAAAATTATGGAATTCTTCCTGGTTCCAACTCGGATTTCAAGGAAAACGATCCCACTAATTCTGTTTTCATATGACAAATCTTGACAAAATACAATGTTTGCCCCTCAGCAACCTGTCAAATGACGTAGTTCTGAAATGATTATGTGTGAATTATGAGACGGCTAAATGGACTGTCTGACGGGTTATACTTCGTCAGACAGTCCATTTAGCCGTCATTGGTGAAGTCAAGTTCATGTTACGAAGATTGTCGGCAGCGCCAGTGCCAGCAAACAACGACAGCCTACTGCCGCGATCCACTTTTGTAGATAATAATTAAGATGCCTGATGGAATGAAAAACACGCCCAATCACGATCACGATGATCTAAGACGTCAATTATTGTCATTTTTGTCAAGTCAGTTGTCACCTTGTGAGATTTGTCAATATTTTGGTACAATTTATCAAATATCAATATCCAATATTGTAATTTATTTAATTTTAGGATGTGAAAATAAAGAATATAGCCGAATAGTTTCTCCAACAAAGAAACGTCAGCTTGAAAATTCTAAAGACATGATGTGAGAAAATTAAATCATCATGAAGCACCCTCAGAAGTAATTCCCCAATGTATGTTGATGGAAATAATATGCTAACAATTTGAAAGTTTCAACTTGTAGTTTTCAGATGATTGTCATGGACGATAGTCGTACTATGACTTTCCAAAGTGGAGAGTTTCCTAATTCCTTATTTCAGAAGCTATTTGAGCAGAAGAGAGCTAGCAGATTTTGTGATGTCAATCTGTTTGTTAACAACAGAATCATAAAGGCCCACCGCAATGTCCTTGCCTGTAGCTCACCCTATTTTGATTCTATCCTCAAGCACCACAAAGTTATTAGAGAACAACTAACTGTATCATGTTTAGATAGTGAAATTTTCAATACTGTACTGAATTTTATGTACACTGGTCAAATAACCATAGAGCATTCCAATGTAGAAGAACTTCTCAAATTAGCTGACCATTTCATACTGACCAAAGTTATTGAATACTGCATAGAATTTTTAGGCACCAAATTATGTTTGGATAACTGTTTATTCACATATTTTCTGACTAGTAGATTCAAATTGAAGCACTTAGGCAATATAGTAGAAAATTGGATTGCTAGTCATGTTGAAGATATTTGTAAAGGAGATGAAATCTTAAGGCTGAGTGCTAATGAGTTGTTGAACTTCCTCAAGAATAAAGTAAGTAAAAACAATACAAGTGGTGTCATAGGTCTGGAACATTTATTTTTCAGAATTTTGTTCTGACTACTAGTGGGGCACTGAATTTGCTTTCTGAATGGGTACAACTAGATGTAGGAAAAAGAGAAAAAAACTTTGAAATGTTAATCAAGTGCTTTCCCACTAATGACTTGGAACCAATTGAAGTTTTCAAACATTTGGATACCTGTTCATTGTATATTAAAAGTGAATTATGCTTGTACAAATTTTTAGACTATTTATTGAGAAATAACTGGATGTTATCAAATTTCAAAACTCGATATGATGTTTTACATGTCAAGTATGGCCAGGTAAGGATATCTTACATTACTTTGATAAAGATCATTATGTACCTCCACATGTTTTAGATGTCACTAAGTGATAAACTATCTGATACTGAAACTAAAAATGATAGAATTGTAGTTTCTGATAAAACTTTGTTAAACCACCCCCATAATAATTTCACATCTGTGTCTGTGAAAGCAAAATTGAAAAACAAGAAACAACTGATTCTCAAAAAGCTCATGCTGTTTGGGCTTAGACCAAGTGTTAGAATGGCTGCTTTGAAAATGCTAGCTTGTAAGAAGAAAAATATATCTTTGAATGAAAACGAGAAAGAAAATAGTGATGGTATGACAATTATTTATGAACCACTGGACAAAAAAAACTGTATCTTATTTTTTTAGTGGATGACCCTGATGAAAAAGTTGGAATAAAATGCCCCATCTGCTTCATGACTATCAATGACAGTTTGTTACTGGAACAGCACCTTGCCTTGAGTCATGCAAAAGATGTGACTTATAAATGTGGGCTTTGTGCATTTGTTTGCCAATATCATGGAGATTATCTCAACCATATGAAAACACACTTTACTGGACCACCTTTCAAATGTGACTACTGTGAGTTTGAACAGAATATAAAAATCTTCATTCATATGAATATAACAAACACTCTGTACATTGATTTCTATTGAGTCATATTTTTCTTTACTAAAACACATTTCATTAGCATAATCTTGCAGATTGCAATCAATTAGAACTGAATAGTTCTCAATACTCACTCAATTAAATTTCAATTTTGAAGCTGTTCAAGTTACATTTTACAAAAATAATAATCTCAAAATACTACAACAATATTTGAAAAACCCGAAGTTTGAAACTAGGGATGGGATAAATCTTTTTTTCTCAACTGATTAACAGAAGTACCTCCTTTTCAGAATGCTCAATTCTCTATTATTTCTTACATATGTTTGAATCATGTATAAAAAGTGATAATGTGATTTATTTTGGGCAAAAATAGATTTATTATACCTTCAATATCTACATGGAGTGAGGAATATGCTCTTCATATCTTTTGCCTATGATTCTACAGGTTTGCCCAATATATTTCTTGATCTAGTCATCTCAAATTATTCCATAATATGTTTGCCTTATATAATTTAGTATTTATTTTAGCAGGGTTACCTAGATGACTATGAACGGTACTTTTGCTGTAAAAGCTCTATTCAAAAATAAGCCAAAAACTTGCGTTAGGAAAATACAAAAAAATCTAAACTCAAATTTTACTTCCTATCTTTGTTTAACATCAAATTCCATTGGTATTTTAGTAGATAAAAAACCTGAATTTTGAAACTAGGGATGGGATTCATCTTTTTTCCTCAACTGATCAACAAAAGTACCTCCTTATTTCAAACTGCCCAATTCTCTTCCATTTCTCACATGTTCAAATCATTTATAAAGTGATAATGTGATTTATTTTCTATTTTGGGCAAAAATAGATTGATTAAACCCATAATATCTACATGGAGTGAGGAATATGCTCTTCATATCTATTGCCTATGATTCTACAGGTTTGCCCAATATATTTCATGATCTAGTCATCTCATATTATTCCATATATGTGTGCCTTATATAATTCAGTATTAATTTTAGCAGGGTTACCTAGATGACTATGAATGGTACTTTTGCGGTAAAAGCTCTATTCAAAAATGCGCTAAAAAGTTTCGTTAGGAAAATACAAAAAAATCACTCAAATTTTACAGCCTATGTTCGTTTAACATCAAATTTCATTAGTATTTTGGTTGATAAAAAACCTGAATTTTGAAACTAGGGATGGGATCATCTTTTTTTCTGACTGATTAACAGAAGTACCTCCTTTTCAGAATGCTCAAGTCTCTATTATTTCTTACATATGTTTGAATCATGTATAAAAACTGATAATGTGATTTATTTCGGGAAAAAATTGATTTATTATACCTTCAATATCTACATGGAGTGAGGAATATGCTCTTCATATCTATTGCCTATGATTCTACAGGTTTGCCCAATATATTTCATGATCTAGTCATCTCAAATTATTCCATATATGTTTGCCATATATAATTTAGTATTAATTTCAGCAGGGTTACCTAGGTCCTAGATGACTATAAATGGTACTTTTGCAGTAAAAGCTCTATTCAAAAATAAGCTAAAAACATGCGTTAGGAAAATACAAAAAAATCTAAACTCAAATTTTACTTCCACAAATATCAAATTTCATTGGTATTTTAGTTGATGAAAAACCTGAATTTTGAAACGGGATGGGATTCATCTTTCTTCCTCAACTGATTTTGATGATGCCATTGCCGACTTTGCATCAATAAAATCAAGAAAAGTATTCTAGTATTCACCTGAAAAAGAATATTTGTTGTTTGTTGTTATGTTTAACGTGTGAAAAAAATATGATTTGATTCGTTGTACATAATGATTTCTTGTTATTGTTATATGATGAAAAAAATCAGTTGAAGGATTATTTGAATTTTGAAACTGACAATTGAAAATTAAATGTTTGGCGGCGGCGCGGCGGCATCGTAAAAGTTAGCCCCCGGCGTAAGGGAGTATAAATCCGGCACTGAAAGCAGCTGCGATAGTGAGTTTGAAAATGTCCATACGAAATTTCCAATGTAACAGCTAGTAGGTATAGGTATTCTCTTCAAATTACAGTATTTGATACAAATGAGAATCAATAAAGGAGAAATTGTATTCTACAAAGAAATATACCTAATATGGAAAAGTGGCTCATTGATTTGTTATTCTACATGGTTGCCGAAAAAATAGTGTACGCAACACGTCTAAAAACAGTTTTTCTGGACTCGCAGACTTCCAGGACTCGCCTACGGCCGACCTTGAATTTTGTCTACCCGTCCAAAAAAACAGTATTTTCCCGACTTGTTACGTAATAGTAATTTTCCTAACAAGTGCGGAAAGTGATTCGTTCCCGCACGCGACTGCCGTTGACACGAACGACGCGAAGCGGAGTTCGGGCAAGCAGTCGAGTGCGGGAAAGACACTTTACGCATGAGTTATGAACAATATTTTTTCTACAAGCGTAGGAAATTGATCGATTTGTTCAATTCATATAGGAACAACTGACAAGAGAAATATATTCTCTATCTACTGATTATTAGTAATAGCTATTGTGAACTTACAATTTGACGCAATATGTTTGTATAGGTTCATTGTGGAAGCCAGCAGGCCCATTAGGTGTTTGGTTTCTAGGTTTCAAACACTTCTAGGAAATGAGCCAAAAATACTTCTTCTTCATTCGGTATTTTCAATTCTTTATTGTTGCACCATTCAATGGATCGCGTGTATAGCTTCTCATACCTTTCTTAAGACCTCGTTGGTAATAACGCATCTGTATCGCATTCATATAGCTAGTAAAGCTGGAAGTTTTTGATCACATTGTGGCAATTTTACTGAATCGGAAATGACAGTAACGCTGTGTCAGTCACTTCGACAATTGCAAACTCATTTGAGGTTTGATTGGCATGACAACAATAATGATTCCTATCAGATCAATCCAAATCTATAGTGGGATTTTTATAATAATCAATTTTTATTTTTCAGTATTTCCTAATTTTCACAATAAATAGTGCAATTCGATGGAACATACATACTTAATACTGTAACAAACAAACTCAAACTCTCATATTCCATCACCTACCACTTATATTTTGCGATATTATCATATGTTTTTCCCGCACTAGTGTGGGAAAAATGTTCCCGTACTGTTGCGGGAAAATTACACTTTCCAAACTAAATTGCGTGCGGGTATAGGGTGAATCACGCACGCTTGTAGAAAAAAGTATTTTCAGGTGAATTTTCCATTGAACAAATTTCCAAACTGATCTCACATCGCGCCCAACATCTCGACGAGTCCATCTACAACTGCACCTTTTGCTCCTTCAAATGCCGCCTCAAACAGAACTACGTGGCCCACATGAAGATGCACACCCCCGAGAAAACCTACAGGTGCGACCATTGCACCAAATCCTTTCGGTTCAAACAGAACCTAGAGTCGCATCTGTTGACGCATGCGTCGGAAAAAAGTTTGTCTTGCGATTCTTGCGGCTTCCACACGAAGTATTTGAGTCACATGATCGCTCACAAGAGGATACACGCTTGTAAGTACCTAGTATAGGTTTCTCTAATTTGTTAATTCAAAGGAATGGTGAGTGGGAAAATATTCAGATTCCTGACATGAGTTCACTCACGTTATATTATTGTTCAGTATAAAATTGTGTAATTTTGCACTTATCATGCGATGTTTTTTTTTTTCGAAAATTTCTTTTGGTACTTACGTATTTTTGTCTGAAAAACACGAATTTGGTAATGAATATGCGAACAAACCACTATTTATCGAGATATTTCAAGAAAGAGTTCGAAATTTTGCATTCTTTTCCCCCTTGTGTTGGATGCATTTACAGGTACTTGCTCTTTCTATTTTGTCATTGGACACTTTATATACTCATGGTGTACTTCAATTACACATTTTAAGATAGAAAATTCAACAGGAAATATGATTTTCATGGCGAGTTTTTCCTATTTAGTGAGCAAGCATACCAGATGACGGCCATTTGATCCATAGGCAATCCAAATACGAGATGTCAAATGTCAATAGAAATAATTCAATTTATATAAACAGGTACCTATTCCTTCGATTTTACTATTTCATTGATTCTGGGAATTGTGATCTTAAGGTAATTCGCTATCGCAAATAGCAAATAGGTACGAATTATCATGCATTGCCAATCCCATCTGAATGATCCACTACTGTGTCGATTCTGACAGATTAAAATTCAGCAGTTAACGACGTTGACGTTGCTTTTGCTCCGACATCGACAACAGGAGTATCAATTTTTGCCGTTTTGTTATTCAAATCTTCGCTGCAATTTATATTTTGTGAAAAATCAAGAGTTTTGAATTCATTTTCAATTATTTCTGACGACTTGATATTCGGAAGATGTTCTGTAGGAATGGCATCTTGTTTCAAATATTTGTGATTTTTGGAGGTGTGTAATTCAAGAACCGTACTTTCGCACTTGTTTGGGAACATTCTGAATGGAAATGTTTTGAAGAAATACGTGCTGTAATATGAATGTGATGATAATATGATAGGTGAATACTTTGAATATCTGAAGTTCGAGACATCAATCACGAAAACAAATAATACCAATGACAGTTATATCCCAGTTGACGTCATGCGCAGAACAAGACGACTTTGAGCTTTCTGTTGAGCACACCATCTTCTCCTTCCACTATGGTAAAGCTGAGCACTCAATACATATGTTAAACTGCGGCGATTGGTCTCGAACGTCAAAATCTGTAGAGCTGGGCACTCAATATCGATATTATTTGAGTATGTATACATTTATGTTAAACTTTTCTCTTGTGATACCTATTAGTACCGAAATAAAAAACGTTTGTTTTGGCGAGATCTACCCACCCTTACATTTTGGCACAATAGTATCCCTGTATATCTTGGGAGCAAAGGTTCATTTCCTCCCGTGCGGGAGGAAATGGATACCTTTGCTCCCTTGATATATAAATAGCTATTTAGTTCATATACCGAAATGTTCACTGTCCTAATTTGAAACGAGCTTCTACTTTCATTCGATAACGTGTTAATGAATTTGGTTTTTCCTCTTCGCGTTTATTACGATGTCATGTTTATCGCAGTAGGCGTAAATCAAGAAATTGTGTAAGAAAGGCCATGATTAGAATGACTTTACTTTCAGCCGACATCTTCCGTTGTTCGTACCCCCACTGCAAGTACACCACCTCGAAAAAATCCCAGCTTTCCAACCACGCGAAATCGCACTCGGGTGGGGCTCGGCCACATTCGTGCCCAGTGTGTGGCCGCGGCTTTATGGAGAAGTCACACCTGGTGAGTAGTGGTGGTAAACCATATATGTATTATTTCTATATATGCCGCATCTCCTATACGATATCTCAACAAAAATGGGACCAAAATGAGAGGTACTTTTCGAATCTATAAGGACGGAAAGTGAAGGATGGAAACAGCCATATTGGTTTCGTATTATTTTTCCCCTACGTCGGCATTAACGCCTATTGGTCGATTTAGTTACCTATAGAGACAGAAGTTGGTCCTGCTTTAAGGACAGCTATGCTTCATAATATATAGGGTAGTAGATATATGTGGTAAACTGTCGAACATTCTTACTATCGATAATTTCTATCGTTTGTTTTCGAACAGTCGATACCATTGACATATAAAAAGAGAAAGTAGGTTCATAAACACTTTGTTTGTTAACCTAATTGGCTGCTTTGTTTGTTTCAGTAGGTTTCTTATGCCTAGGGTTCCTCAATGTACTTGACCCTGTTGTCTTGACGTTTATTGTATTAGAGTACGGACACTCGACAAGTAGTAAAAACGAATTTGAAGTAACTCATAGGTTTTGTCACAAGGACAAGAATATATGTTTTCCTCTTGAATAAAGGATTCTTACATCTTCACGGAAGAGTACATCCAAGGTTGGTAAAATTGATGATCATTTGTAGAGGAAGGTTGTTTCGATCAGCATAACGTGGTGAGGGAAAGTGGTGAGTCGTGACGTAATCCAAACGAAAATTTCATCTCGATGTCAGGGTACTCTATATTTCACAACTGTATCAAAGCAAATTCACCAATCCAGCTGTGATCTGAGATCATACATACATTTTTATGATCCCAACATGAAATTTTGGATGCGATTACGTCACTAATTACCACTTCCCATCACCGCATTCTGATCGAGGCAACCTCCCTCAACAAATCATATATACACATATATATATATCTTTCTTTGTTTTCCATTTTTGATTGAGAGTACATAGTGTCTCCTCGAGTGGAAAAAAAGGGTACGATAAATTAATTAAAAACTTAGTTTAAAATATGAAATGCTAGGGCTGAAGAACCTCGATAGAGATTGATGGCAGGTTGGTTTGTACATATGTAAATACCCTGGAAGTAAATATACTATTAACATGAAATGATAATAAGGAACCGAGAGGAATGTATCTATTCGTTCAGTGGTTTATTTCAATAATCATTAATTTTTGTACCACGAAAGTTCAGAGTAGGGTTAATATTGATAAATTACAACCAATAAAACAAACTTTTATTTCAGATGGAACATTTTCGGACATACGGAATAGGAAACCATAAAATATGGCTGTGCCGGGTAAACAACTTGGAACGGCTGTCATATCTATCTTTCTTCCAACTTTGATAGTTAATATCTTCCGTTGGCGAAAAGCTATCATGTTGCGGTTTTCGTCGGTCCGTTCAGATTTAGTTTCTCTATTACATCGTATAATGATATGCATACCATTAGATTTATTCTATCTCAAACTTGTATCGTTACCTGTTGCTAAGATATGGCCGACAGCCGTTCCTAGTTGCTCACCCGGTACACTGTACAGCGCTCGTCTCAATAAATGGTGCACGAGTTGAGTGTTCTTGTCCTGTCATTATCTTTTTGCACTCCAGAAGTTTTTTCAAAGCCAATATAGGCTGGAGAGGTTCCGCACTTCCCAACTACGCACAAGTTCAGTCTTAGGATTTTAACTTTGAGCAAGTGATACACAAATAATTCAATTTGACAAACCTTTGAAATCTATTTATGTAAGTTCGATTCAAAATGCTTTATTTTCATAAGTAAAAACACACTTGTTGACAAAGCTTGTTAAATTACATGAAAATAAATAACACAAAGTACGAAAATAGTACGACAAATAACAAACAACATTCAAAAGCTCGTATAGAGAGAGAGAACTTCATTTCAAATTCAAAAAAGTTATACCTATTCAGTAAATCAAAACTCCATTGAAAAATATTCATCCAGGCTATAAAGTGGAGTTTGGACGAGTAGTGCTTTGACTTTAGTGCGGAACTTTTTATCACATGATATTTCTTTGATCTCAGTTGGAAGATGATAGAATATTTTTATTCCATTATAAATGATCGAGTTATTGACCATAGTGGTTCGGGGTCTTATCAACTTAATTTGACCATTCTGCCTTGTATTGTATCGTGACGAGACAAGTTGTAAGGCATATTTGTTTTTTTGAAGTTCGTGTACTGTAAGTTCCCGCTATTTTCATCAATTTATTTGTGGTTATTTCTGACAGTCAGTGCTTGTCATAGTGTCCGTACTCTAAATTTACAAAAACCTCAAAGCAGCAGTGTCTAGTACAAACGCATTAAAAAAAAAAGCGTACAAGTATATTACAGAGAGAAATTAACGTCATCCTATTCTGCATAAAACGGACTATCGGGAATGATTGCTTACCAAATGTTGACAGTAAAGTTGTCATAGATTCTCAAAAACACAAAGCATTGGCTGAGCCAGTTTTACACAACTAGAACTAGGATCCCGAAATCCTCTCTTTTCAATACTTTTACGCTTTTTTATTGAATACGACTGTACAGTAGTAAATGTTAAATCGAAATTGAAGTTACCCAACGAGACGAATAAATGTCACCCTTTTTTATATGATTCTATAGGGTCGTTACAAACCTATTTTCTCCTGAGAGTTGTAATGACCGCCGATCAGATAATATGCAGGGTGGTAAGTTTTGAATTCAAAGCCCTGTATGGTTTCCGTTGCCAGGTGAGACACGAGCGCATCCATCTCGACGAGAAGCCCTTCAAGTGCGCCCATTGCGACTACGCGAGTTCCAGAAGGGACAAGCTTAAGGAGCACTACACACGCCATCACGGCGAAAATGCGTCTGCTAAAGTACCCTACAAGGCACGGCCTGTAAGGCACGGTGGAGCAGGCCCAAGACCAAAGTCACAGGTAAGAATTTTTATTGACTATTCCACTCTTGATCTCGAGAACAAATCAGAATCGACCATTTTCACGGTTTCTTCTGTATTCTAGCGATATTTTTTGTTTATTAAATTTTATCGGACTTGCTCTACCAATACAGAAGTCGAATTGACCCACACGTGACCAACAAACCTCGTTTATCAGCGATACAATTTTGACATCGTGTCTGGTCAAGATTGCTTTGGATTCAAATCTGAGACAATAACCTAAGTTCCTACTTTATTTTATTTACTTATAATTCGCGTTAGTGAGATATTTTGTACGGAAGGCGAGACAATTTTATTCTGGCTGGACGTTTCATGTGTAATTTAAAAAGTTTGTATATTTGTTGACGGTCTGACACAACAATACTAGTATTCAAATTCCTTTTTAAAGTAATCTTCTTCAATCACTCAACTCCTTGTGACTTACTGAAATAATTAAAGCTGATGTAGCGCAACTGTTAGGGTTGTTGCGCGAGGATACGAAGGTCCATGGTTCGAGCCCTCGGCGACGATATATTTTTTTTAATCATTCCATGTCACATAAATTCAATTTATTTTGTTTGAATTGGATAGCAATTGTATAAACTCTTTTGAGAGCAACCATCTCCAAGATAATAAAAAAAATATTGTTTATCAAAATTGTACATTTTACTCTGTGAATAACTATGTAAGTAGGTAGGTAGTTGATTTCTAAAAAAGTAAATTCTGTATTTCATTACTATCATTATGTTTTTCTTCGCAGTTCGAGTTAGAATATACTTTAATTATGTTTCCTGTTTCTTATATATATTGTCTCATTCAATCATGAAATAGTCATACGAATACAACTCGTGATACTATTTTTCCTGGAAATATTCGTCGATTGAGATACTCCAGCTTGCTGCTCTAATTTCGCTCATGACATTGATCCAAAACTACTCGCCTACGGCTCGTAGTTTTAATAACAATGTCAATCACGAAATTACTAGGCAACAAGCTGTCGTAACAATCACTGAATATTTCCGGCAAAATATTATCACTTGTGGTATTATATATGAAAAAAAAAATACAAAAATGACACTACTTCGACAACATATGCTTTTATTCTGAACCCCAATTCTGTCTTCCCTCGATTTTTCAGCATAACTCTATACAGCATCATATATCCCACGTTTCAAACTAGTGGCATTGCGCCCTAGTAATCTGATCCCACGATGCTGATCACCGGTACGGCCGATCAGTTTTAGACTAACTCTTGACTTCTTATTATTTCTCTTATCGAATGGTTTTGAGCAAAGACAAAAGTCAAAAGTGCAAAGCACAAAAGACAAAAGTAGCTCGAAATTGTAGAACTCCGCAGATGCCGACACTGACAGAGCCTTTGTGTCTTTGGTAAAATGAACAAACATTGTTCTTTGCGTTTAAGAACTAGTTCTTGAACCAACTAGATTAAATTAATAATCAAATTAGCTCTTAGGCTTCTTCGACTAACTCAAACGCAAAGAACAATGTTTGTTTATTTTGCCAAAGACACAAAGGCTGTGCCACTGTCGGCATCTGCGGAGTTCTACAATTTCGAGCGACTTTTTTCTTTTGTGCCTTGCACTTTTGACTTTTGTCTTTGCTCAAAACCATTCTGTAGATTCACTTCTACAACAGAAAAATTCCAACTTGTCTCAGGGTACTTTCCCTAACTAAAGAAGACGAACCAAGCCACAAACTCAACAAGTTTTCGAACCAAGGAATACTTTTGCTTCTGAACAAAAGGGTCAGACGCGCCACAAAATTCGTGGAGATTTGCGAAATCCCAAAAGTTCTTTTGCTTTTGTCAAATGAATCCGAAGCAGTAAACAGGGATTCGGGTTTCACCTTAACCCAATGGTATTTTAGGGTACAATATGTGAGCTATCGATCTTCCGGCACTCATCAGTTAGGCGAAAAAGCCTAAGAGCTAATTTGATTATTAATTTCTCTATGGATTTTTTGCCTCGACGATAGCAGAAGATGATTAAGCTTACAATTATCAGCATCCAAATAACGACTCCGCAAACTTCCAAGAGGGTGTAACTATGTTTAGTGTCACTTTGAGCAGTAGTTCCTCCGCTGTTGCTTGCCTGTGAAATGATCACTTCTTCCTTTGATTGTGTTTTTCCCATTATCTTGATGATCAGATGATTATTATATATAGTTCTTCATTTTCCCAAACAAGTAACCATCTGGATCGCCAGGTAATGTCCTGTCTTCTTATTAGATCGAAGTTCGAATTATCGAAACATATTCAGCAGAGCAGGGAAGAACAACAGAGGATAGTTCACTTTCGATTGGTCTATTATAGAATAGTTATAAGTTCATTCAAAGTTCATACCGGAATGTTCTCTGTAATCTACAATACCTAATTGCTAATCTAGCTATTACTATAGACAATAAATTGATGAATAAACTAACTATCGTAACACTTTCGGAAAAGCTGTGCTGGACTGTTTCGAAATTGTACCTGATTTCAAGGATATAATTAAACAATATATTATAAACATCCACTACAATAAGATCTTTCAGCATTCCTCAGAAGAGATAAGTTTCTTTCGAATGCATAGAGTTCGAATAGTCAGAGTTTACGGTTACCTTCAACTTGATGATGACGCCAAGTGGAAACACTGAACCACAGAGAGTAACAATTGTGCTAAAAATGTCCGCTCTAATTCATTTATGGTGTATTCGTTACTTATTCGCGGTGAACGGATTGTTCTAGGCTGCTCAGGAAGTAACACCGACCACATCCACGAACAACGCGAATTTCACACAAACCAGCAGCACTAGCGCGACCCCCTCGAGTCAGACCATGGGATCGGAAATACAAGATTTGATTATGCACCATCAGAATCATTCTGCATCTACGGGTGAGTTATTTTCCCTTGCCACGTTGCTCCACACATGCCCGATAAGCTGATGTTTCTGGAATTTGTGACAGCAACACGGGTCTCAGCATTGCAATTGTCTCGCTGAGGACAGAATGGCTTAGAGGACGATTCTAGGCGTGGCTAAAGTATATGGTCAGAGATCGCATTGCCCCCAGCGGCATATAGATGAAAAGAGGGTTTTCTTTTAATTTTCCGCTTATTACCAGTGAACATTTTCACTCACGATAATTTTTGCATTGAACATTGGTTCACCTGGGTAACTACCTCAGACTCAGGGTGATAATATCAGCATATACTAACAAAGATTTAGAATGCATCGAACTTCTTTCTCGAATTTGAAACACTTCGAGCGGGAAACATCTCTACAAAAAAAATAACCTGTCATTTCTTGAAATCGTAATACTAATATCACTCAGCAAAAAAAACAAACGAGGCGATTAAGAACAAAATTAATCATAGCCTCCTAAAATTATGTTACGGATTTTTTATTTCTTGGAGCGCATGAAAGAAAACTCCTACGATGCTCGATGAATGAATCTGCTGATATCATGTGACTACAAAAACGGTTCAATTTTTTGTATTTTGATGAGAATACCTTTTTTTATGCAATTTGTCTTTCTATCAAATGCTCCTATTCTCCCATCAAAACCAATTCAAGGCAAGAATTTGTCTCGAAAAGATCAGGACTCACTGTCGGAAAACCCTTTATAACAGTATCAGGGATGTATAGAAGTGTCATTCAAATTTTATCAGCTTTGGAAGGATATATCTACCTTAATATAATAATAATACATTTATTCTTCATCATGATATGTGGATATACATTGTACAGATATTCTGACAGATTTTTTTGACAAACAATTGGCATACAGCTTCAGAATGTGAATGTGGAACGCATCCAATTCTGTTCTTCCACCAATGCCATTGGTAATTCAAGAAAAAAAAAAGAAACAACAAAAACAAGAAAGAGAGGAAACATAATAAGATAGTTTTGAAATATATTAAGTTGGGAGAAAGAAAGGTGAAGAAGAAGAAGAAGGAGGAAGGAGGAAGAAGAGAAATAATAATAACTCCCGGATATTGAGTGTCCAGAAGAATACCTTGCTGTACAGATTGTTTAATCTCGATGCAATGTTCTAGGAAAAATACCGTTCAAATATAGTTTTGGAATGACTTGGAATTGTTGAAATGGTTTGACGTCTTATGTTGAGGTTATGCACATACGCTCGGTATTATACTTTTTCTATTAAACACAAGAGTGTTTTTTATGTAATTTTTTTCGCTTTATCAAATGCTCCCGCTACCATTTTTTCATCGGAATACAAGGAACAAAGTCTCAAAAAATCATGACTCCCTCTGTAAACATCATTTTAACTTCATCAACTTCGGAGGTTCGGTACACATTTTTGATTCACCCTGTATATAACGGACTAGCGACCAACCTGACGGCGATTAACACCAACTACCACCATTTCGGCGATCCCGCCGAGTTCCATGCGCACAACCACGCGCACAACATCCACAACCAGATACTCGGCCACAACCAGCGGTCGACACAGCAGCACAGCGGCAACAGCGCCGCCGCCAGCAGTGGCAACATCGCAAACCATCACATGTTGGCCGCCGCCAGGACGAACCCATCGACGGCGACGTCGACTGCTGCGGCGGTGGCGGCGGCCATGATGTTGGATCCTCGCTTCCATCATAATCCGGCGGTGAGATTTCCATCTGTTTTCTTCTATAAAAACTTGTTTTCATCATTGCGCACGCCTGTGATTGCCTACTAGTCAGTGGGAAACCCGAATTAAACCGTTACCCCCGATATGACATGGCCTGCAGGCTCCGTGGTGACGTCACCTTAGTGAGGCCTAGAGTTCCTGAATGTACTTGACACTGCTGTTTTGACATTTTTTGTATATTAGAGTACGGACACTACAGTGTGTGTACATTTATACCAACGAAATACATATACTATTCCTATGAAATGAGTCTCTTTTTATGAAGGTATATATTATATACGTTCAGTTGAATATTTTTTATCACAAACTAAATTTCAACCTATGAAACATGCTTTTATTTCTTATGGAACAATATCACTTGTACAAGAGAGTGGTAGGTGATGAGTAATTAATAAATGAAAAAATGAGATGGCAACAATAACAGCTGGTTTCAGTTAGGATAAATAATAATAAAGTTTTTCATAGTATTGTTCATCGAAACTATGAATTTTGCTCAAAATTGCCTGGATATTTCCTTATTCAATTTTCTTGTATTTCTCTGAAGATATTTGCTGATTTTGCTTCAAATCTAAAATAATTTTTAGGTAAACGTTCTGAATTTTGCTAACTCTGACTTTTGTATCTAAATCTTTTTGCTTAAGTTTATTTTCCAACTTTCTATTTGTTTCTTCTATTTGTTTCCTGAATTCCTCACACTCTTCTACTCGTAAACCTGGGATTTTTTAATATTCCTGCTCTAAAAATTCTATTCTATTCTGAAAGAGTACCTGTTAAAAATGCGTTGAAAAATTTTCTATCTCCCACCAAGAAATTTGAATATCTCGCAAATTTCGTGGCCTGAACCTATAAATTATGCCGGCCGCATTATATTCTGTTTCCATGTGTGTAGAATTACGACGTTATCCGATGGAAATTCGAATAGACTGAATTGATTTCCCGTGTTCTCACAGTCTCGCAACTCTTTCAACCCCTGTTTCAAAATTGGGATAATTCATTTTCTGATCTGGTTTTGAATTGAGCCAATTATGTCTTATGCATTTCAACAAATGTACAGAATCAAAAAGATAAAAAAGAGGCGTGATGTATCTGCAGGATGAGAATAAACAATACTGAGTTTTGGATTTTGCAAAATTACTCATAGCTTACTCTGATAATACAGAATACTCTGTAATCAATTTCCTCTAATTTATTTATAGCTCTCTTTATAAAGAAAAATTCATGAGGTGATCTATTTTGATGTTGACTGTATCTGAATGAGGTAATATAAGTACTCCAAAATGTCTTAAAAATTTATAACTTATTGTATGAATTATTGATGCTAAAATTATGGAATTATTCGAATAATGATATCTCTTTGCAGGATGTATGTAATTTAATTTGCTCAGAGAGGAACAATAAAGCTGAGGTGTTTTCGGAATCTTCATCGAGATCTGAAACCGAGTCAGAAACCAAAGAGTCCAATACATTCGAAATATGTTTCAAAACCCTCTTTATCTGCTTATCAATGCATTTTCCCGAATTATTTATCTCGTTTTTATCTATTTCAATTAGTATTTTCTTGATTTGATTAATATTATTAGAGATAAAAGGTGTTTTCAGATTGTCTTTTAGAGATGTTTGTATCGCTAGGCCATACAAAAATGATTCCACATCCAAAACAAAATAAGACAATTTGGATAATGTGACTTTTTGCGAATCGATAATTTTGAACCACTTTTCGGGCAACTAAAAAGACTCTAATACAACTAGAAATTCTTGAAATTCTGTGTAGCAAAATGATTTTTGGTAATTTTCGAATTCAGTTTCACTTTTGGTAAGTGCTTTTGCCAAATTTTTAGTCTATAGTATCTCAAGTTTTTCACCACGACTTGTGCGTAATTTCACATCTTTCGATAAATAAGATGGACAGTTAGGAAATAGAGTAGGAATATTGTTTATATATATAGCATCTTTAGTTGAATGTAATTCACATACTCCACTGTACTCAGATGGAGTAAAATCGTCGCGGTGAATTGCATATACCCACTTTTTCAATAGTTCCTTGTCCAACGGGAAACTAGAAGTATGAACTTTTGGACCACCCACATAATTCCCCCGACAAAAGGGAACACAACACTTGAAAGGCATTGTTATTTCGCTTATCACAAAACAAAATATTTCACAAAACAGTAATTTTTCCGCCAAATATTTTGATGAATAAACAATAAAAGAATTCGGGCACGCGACCGCTTCTCACACATACCTAAACAAACTGACGACAGTCGACACGCGAAACGCGTGGCCTCAGTTAGCTGACGTCACGAGCTGTTCGCTACGAGCCTTATTCAGGCCTTGTTAGTATCAGGGGTAACGATTAAACACAGTATCGCTATTTAACATCAAATGAGTTGTTCGGGAGAAAGCAAAGTCGTTCAAACCCATAGACATCATATAAAAAGATGGGAGACATAGCATTTCATTCATAAAACACTAATTGTTTAAATATAGAACATCAATCGGGTGCCATTAAATATTACAGAAAATATCAAAAACGTTGAATATAAATGTTCTACATTCGAAATTATTCAAGGTTCCATATCATCCATCTTCCACACCGGTCTCTATGGCAATGGCTGCTGTCCAATCGTCCCAGCAGATCCAGTCTTCGGGACAAACAAGTGAATACCCGTCTACTATACAAAACTGTATGACACTTTTCTAGTCGAAAATTCGTTGTGATTCATCTACTTGAGTATTATTGTTCTGTTGTTTAGTATTTATCAGTATTATTGTTGTACAAGTTTTCTTATTGTTTTGTTGCTTTTCTATTTATATTATACACATTGAATAAATGTAGTTATTAGCAGATTTATTATTGACTCCATAATCTAGAGGTATATGTACCCTGCTACCTTTGGGTTGTAACTCCAGTGGTTTCTTTATTCGAAAATATCAAAATGTATTTGTTCAGGTTTTCATTTGGCGCCGTGAGCCGCATTGTTGCTGCTTTACTGAAAAGTGTCAGTAGCTCATTTGTTTCAATGCTTTAGGTTTTGTTCTCGTTCGAAAAATAAACAGTCTGAAACCATCGGAAGCATGCGCAGTTGCACGGAACATTTAAAATGCCAACATTTTTGTGAAGCTACGGGCATGCTCCTGATTGTTCGGACTGTCTATCTCTTGAACGAGAACAAAACTAATAGCGAATTGCATTCGTAAACCTGGTTTTGCATCAGTTTTGCACCCGCACTACGTTATTAGTTCTCTCCAAAATGTGAACTGGTGCATTCCCAATGGAATACGAAATAATAAAATTTTATTGTTGGAGGTTAAATCGGTTTCTCTTTGTTTATAACTTGTCCGCATCCTGAAAGAAACAATTCTTGACTTCAATTAAGAACAAAGTAAATCTTTCATGGAAATAATTTTGAGCAGTTTTTTTCAATAAGTACCTCTTCGTCATTGAATTATAGTGCAAAACACTCAACAAAATAATGAATTATTGGGAAGTAATCTCTCTTATTTTGTTGAAACCTCCAAATTTTCATCACTACTTGATGATGATGATCAGATTGCCACTCATTTTTGGTTTTTAAACCATGCATATTCAATGTTTCCGCCATTTTCAAAACTGCACTGACTTCGCACGACCTATTATTAGGGCTCGTGCGAGAATTGTTGCACTGAGCTCTAAACTATGCGAACCAGTTTTCCAATCGAATTCAAAATCCGACACCAGTTTTACCAATGGAATACAAAATATGCACTCAGTGCGAGCCAGTTTTACCAATGGAATTCACTAGAAGGTATATGTTTGACAAGCAATAAACATATTTTCAAAATAATTTAGTAATAATTTCTAAACACTTGTAAACATTCTCATTAGTAGAACGTAAAACGCATGCGTGAAACGAATAATGATGAAGATGGGAATATCGCGTCAACGGAGACTTTGTTGCATAGATATATTCTGAACCATAGACAATCTCTACTAGAGATTGTCTATGTTCTGAACTTTGATGGACTTCAATATATCTCGTTCTCAACTTCTAAGGTGTTTTGTGCACATCAGCGGCTTGAAGGCAAGTATGATTTTCATTTTCATTCACTTGATGGTGCTTGGCTCAGATCAACAAAGGTCTTTTGTTGATCTGAGGTGCTTGGAGTATGAAAAGCAAGTAGAAAAATAGATGTACCTGTCTACATGATTTGACTTTCATGCTAAGCTCCATCTAATCATAATAATAAATTATTAGAGGTTATAAAATACATATACATACCTACCTTAAAGAATCAATTTGAAATATGTTTTTAATGATCTAAAAATATTGAAGTGTAATATATAATATTATAATATATTATATTACAATAATATACAATGAATAAGTAGAAAGAAGACAAGAAAAAGGCTACCAATTAGCAATCGCCTAACTGGAGGAATCATGCAGTTTTCAGTGGTGTAGCCAATGACGGCTAAATGGACTGTCTGACGAGTACTACATGACTGTCCAATCACTCAGTTCAGTGTATTCTCCACCAGAGGGGTTTACTTGCCGTCCTTTGCGGAGAAGTCATTTGTTTAGCTCTCATTCGGTTGTTTTTCAATAACTTAGGTTATATTGGATTATTATTATTATTATCAAGTGTCAAAACTTTGTCACTGTCAGGTCCCTGATGTGTTCTGTTGAATATCGATAAATTCCTTTACTTTTTCGGATTTTCATTCAATCAAGCATTCTTCTTTGTGTTTAGTTCTGGTAGTTTATTAGTTTATTTATTCAGGTTTGCTAGTTGTGTCTTCATCATGAATTTACAGCCTTCTAGCGTATGAAATGAAATGTATGAATAATATCCTATCAAATATCGGGTTTGCTTTTTCGAATCTCATACCCAGTGATAAACTCCACAGCAAGAATGGTCGAATTTTATTTTGGGAGGCATTGGTAAGAAAGAATATGATTTTTCATGTACACTCTTCTGATGATTTTCAATTTCAGCCTCGATTCCACCATTAGAACGCTGGTGTTAATTCTGGTGTTGAAGTTTGTGTCAATGATTTTGGAAGACACTATAGAGTGATGATCAATAGCACTACATATGGTGACTTATCAGGATGGGGACATACATTCAGAAAGGATCGCTTACCATAATTTTCAAGGTATGTTTAGTCTGCATTGTTGTTGCGTAGCCAGGTAGGGTAGGAGTAGTATTGTTGAAAACTGTTTCATGTGAGCCTGATGGTTCAAGCCATCAATGCAACGTATTCAAACATAAATTACCATATACAGGATGGGCATCCCAAAAAGCAACACCAAGAATGGAAGAGGAATGGAATTTAAGGTATGCTCTTTGAATCCCAGAGAATCATCAGTCTAGGCCAACATCTGGAGTTTTTTCCAGTTCCACAACTACAATTTGAGGTATTTTGTGTTCCTGCTTCCTGGCAAATATCACAGAATAATGATACTATCAGAGATTTTCAAAAATGTTTGTCACTGCTGATGATTTTGTCACAAAAAATTTAAATTAATTATTTGGCCTAAGTTTATGTATTATGTATGCCCATCTATCAATGAGATCCTGTATGGCTTTCTTGTTTTCTTGATGAAATAAGTATGAGATGGTATGTGAAATAAGGTAAAATGTTGTCACTGATACTAGCCCACTAACTATAGCTTCCCCATGTAGATCTAAAAAGATGAAAAGAGTGCAAACTCATCTCTTGAAATGCATATAACTATTTCTGTCTCCACAAAAGTTTGAAAATGGTTGAAAAATATGGATTGATAGATAGATAGATGATATTATGTATAGAAAGCATTTATTCAAGTGATATAATAATTTTATTTCATAGACAGTCACCACATGCAATGAACAATTTCCTTTTCCATTAAATTTTCTGATGATGAGCTTATATTTGAACTCAAAACATGCTTCTTCTCTGCTGATTTTTGAACAGATGATAAAAATTGTGGGATACACAGTGACATATCATCTTCCTCTTTTAGTTCCAGTGTCCAAAGGATCTCCAGGTAACTTAGCTTCATCCTCCAAAGTCAAGATCCCATATCCAAGCTGTTTTATATTCATTGTGTTGCCATCCCCAGAACCTATGAAGAAATGTTGCTATAGGACATTTAATGATTTTGAAGCTGGCATAGTTCTATCAATTTTGCAATACAATTTATCTGTATATCTGATATGAAATATATAAGTATGAAATGATGAATTGATATTTAATTTGCTATTCATGGAGATACCTGATATTGTAGTTAAAATGCCTGATAATTTTTCTGAACCCTCACCTAATTAAACAACTGTTCACAAAGCTCACCTTATAGTGAAAATTCTGGTTATGCATAGATAGATCATCAGAATTGAATGTCTCCAGTCATCATTCCATCAAACCTCATGAAGAGCTGCTTCAACATTGTGTTGAGAAAATTCAGTATCTTTCTGAAAATACAAATTAAGAAATATCACTTGAGAATCTTGAGATCACAGATTTTGTGAAACTATATGAAATGTTGCAGTACATTTGACTTTGAAAATACAGCAGTATCTGGTTATTAGGGCTACCATGGCTCTTATTAGGCAGTTAAAAATTCAATCAATGAAATAATTGAACATGTCCTTACCTATTCACGAATTGACGAAGGTGATTTCCACTTGAATGGCATTATTATTTATGCATATAATAGCGTTATTTGGCATGAACACTCCTATAACCACTTCATTTTGTTGGCCTTTTCACAGTTTTACTTGGAATTTCGAACAAAGCTCTCCAATCTCGAGTGACAATGAGTGACAGGCTGACAGTAAGAAAATTTGTCAACGATCATGAATGCAGGTTATGTTGAATAGCTCATTTGACACAGGAAATAGATGACGCCACTTGCCGTCCCATCAAAATATCATTACAGGGCGATTTGGCGATTTTCGCTGAATGAACAGTCATGTATAACCCGTCAGACAGTCCATTTAGCCGTCATTGGTGTAGCTGCTGATACGATTTTTTGTGATAAGTTTCCAAAATTCATTTTTGTTTTTGGGATACTCTTTTAGCCTCTCTAGGTTTCTGTGACGGAAAAATGTTTGACCTTTTCATCTCTGTTGACAGGTTATAAAATGTTACTTCATATATTACTTTTTGCCCATGGGAAAAGAATGAAAACTTTTTTCCAGGATATATATATATATATACACTGTTGATGGCTGAAAAATAAGCCAATCCGTCTCCGAGAAAGAACTGCAAGTCCTTTCATATTCCATATTCCACTATAGGTGTTAATTAAATTACTATAAACAACCACTTCCCACTTAATTAAAATCAAATTACAAATCTTCTCAATATTGATTTTGTTTTTTCCTCTCACCGAAAAAATCAGTGGAATTTTTTAAAATTAAGCAATGAAATATTTTATGAATAATATATCATTGGGTCAATGGGTCCAAACATTATCCAAATTATCCAAATGGATCTTTGATCCTTTTGTGTTTTGATTCCATATCATTATTACTGATATTTTTAAGGTTTAAATTGAAGAATGTTATAACACCAAATTAAAATTTAATTATAGGAAAAAACAACATATAGGTATATAATGCTATCTGAGAGGTCCTGCAGGGTTGACATCGTTCTCAACTTTTATATTTTTCACTTCAACAATTTCTGCTTCAAGACTATCCATGATACTGGAATTGTTACAATAACTGTCCTTATCAAGTAACCAGCTTTGATCCTCCTCAACTTCTTGGATCACCACTAAAAACAGCTGTTTTTCTTTTTCATCCAATTCATTTCTCAAATAATTGATTAAATCAGTATCCTGAAGAAGATATTCATGAGTCTCATGAGTTATTTTATAAGGAGGTTTATACTGACATTTCCAATTATTTCAGGAGCATCCAACTTGGAATCCAAGTTGTAAAATGATCCACCAATTTCCCTGATCGTCACCCAATGTTTTCTTCTCAAAGGTAATGTCAAAAACCCGATTTTATAGTCACTAGGTACATTCAATACATATCCACAAATATTGGATAGATTCAAACAACTAGGATCTCTGAAACAGGAAGGAAGTGTGGTCCATGTTAAAATAAATCCAAGATTACTATTTAAAACCCTACTTTCTCTTATCAAACCATATTGTGTCATATCCTCTCAATTGCAGTGCTTTCATTATAACATTGATATCATAATTTCCAAATCCTAGCATAGATTTATGAGGATTAATCCATTGGTCAGGGGAAAGGGAATGGCAAATAATGTCCAATTCTGGCTTCGTGAAGGCATTCTTTGCTTGAAACAAATTGTTGAGGGCATGTAAAGCACACAATTCTCTTATTTGCTTTTCATGATATATCTCAGGAGATCCCATAATAAATTTTCACGATTATTTTTTTTTAGTTTGCAATTCTAGTAGACTGTGGTTCGTATTATGAAATGAAATAATTATTCCCATTTTTCCTCAACTAATTATTTGAATTTCTTTCCATAGTAAATATGAAATTTGTAAATCTAAAAACATCAGTACGGAAGAGTGCCTTGAACGTATTTGACATTTTTTCTGTCATTTCGATTTTAAATCTTCCGTAAAATGTTGGAGGCACTCTAATGGAGTCACTGCTGGCGAAGAATAAATGTCAAATGTCGGAGTTTTCGAGTCTATTACCTTTCAGAATCTGTTACCTTTTTCCAAGAAAATCTATTACGAAAAAATCAGACCGAAGACTCGAAGAGTGAAGAGACTTTGATTTTGAGGTTAGATTCCTGATTCCTGTTTCATTAATTTGAATTTTCTATTTGTTTTGTGAGATTTCTGAGAGGTGAAAATGCCTAATTGGAATCAAATACAAGCACAACTCCGGCATCCCGCAAATCCTGTTGTTTTTTTCGATATTTCAGTTGGAACAACAGTGAGTACTTACCTATTAATTCTTGTCGTTTTATGTTCCAGGCATCACTGGGCATCAGTTTCCAAATGTCTTGTGTAAAAATTCATCATAATTTTAGGAAATAGGGCGCATGATATTTGAACTGTATGCAGATGTAGTGCCCAAGTCAAGTGAAAATTTCCGGCAATTTTGTACTGGAGAATTCAGAAAAGATGGGGTACCTCTGGGATATAAAGGGGCCAGTTTTCACAGGGTAATCAAAGATTTTATGATACAGGGCGGCGATTTCGTGAATGTAAGTTCATAAATAAATCCATAGTAAAATCGCCGATTTTATCATACACAGTAATTTATAGGGTGATGGAACTGGTGTTATGAGCATATATGGAGGAAGTATATTTGCTGATGAAAATTTCACATTGAAACATGATAGTCCTGGGCTATTATCCATGGCTAATAGTGGGAAAGATACTAATGGATGTCAATTCTTTATAACCTGTGCAAAGTGTAACTTTCTAGATAACAAACATGTTGTGTTTGGAAGAGTTATTGATGGTCTTTTGGTAATGAGGAAAATAGAAAATGTTCCCACTGGCCCAAACAATAAACCGAAAATACCAGTTACTATAATACAATGTGGACAAATGTGATCAGATCAGATTTAAGACTTCTAGGAGTGCTAAGTTACTGCTCAAATTGTTAATCATAAGCTACTGGCATTGAGGAGAGAACTAAGATTAATAATATTTATTTTTGATGGTAAGAAAAAAATTTCATGTGAATAAAACTTTTTGTAATTGATTTTTGTTAGATGTGATGTTACTAGATGTTACTATGTGAGTTGAGCGCCGGCAATAGGCAGTGTTGCCACGAATTTTTTACCATATACCACCAACATGCCACCAACGATTCAGAGCAATTTTTGCTTCAAAAAAGTAATTATAGGCATTTCCATTTAGAATTTCGGTAGACAACGCTGATGTTGCTGATACTAACCTCAGATGATTTGGGATCATGATTATAATGTAATGGAATAATACCTATTTATGAAACATATATGCTTTTGAGCCATTTATCCATTTAGGATTATGGTTATGAAATATTTCGAAATTTTCCTGATTAAAGACATGATAACATGACAACAGAACGAATCGTTTGACGTATGACGTATTCAGAAATGACAGTAATATTGAACATTAGAAGGTGTAACAGAGACAATATGACATATTCCTTGAAACTTTTGCATTCTGTGCAGCACAGAACTCATGTATTTAGTCACTGTCATATTAAATTAAACAAATCACAGAATGTTTTTTTCTCATTTTTACGATCCATGACCGAAAATGACACTTCTACATTCAACAGTGTGGCTTTCTGCAGATTTATCACAGAGATTTATACATAATTTGTATAATTATACACAAAACGGCAACACTGCTAATAGGTTATAGCAGGAAACTGAAGTTTTTCAACTGAGGTGAGAGGTGAGGTTATGATGTAGGTACTACTTCAGACAGGCTCAATATTTCGATTTTTATTTTTCGTAATTTTCCATACCAGCAAATAATTATTATGCCTGAAGAAAAGAGACCTTTAGAAGATTCTCTTAGTAATGATGAAAGTAAGAAGAAATCGAACATACAAACTGACAGTGGCTGTGGTACAAGTTGTGATAGAGGAGACTCTGGGACTTCTGAGTGTGACAGTAAAGAGGTGAAATTGTTCAATGGAGTTGAAATATCCAAACTAACGAAACGACAACGGAAAAAATACATGAAATGTCTGAAATGGGACCAAGTAAAAAAAGAAAAACGCTTGAAAGAACGTCTCAAAATGAAGGAAAAAAAATACCAAGCAAAACTAAATAACATAGATTTAGGTCCTAGTCGAAAGGAATTGAAGAGAATCAAAATGAAAGACAGTCCTTGCAAAGTAAGTGTATGCATAGACTTGAGTTTTGATGAGCTGATGACAGACAAGGTGAGAGACTATTTTTTTCTTCTCCATCTGTATTCCCTACTATGTGGCTTTCCAGGATATGGCAAAAACAATCAAGCAAATCTTGCGAGTGTATACTGAAAATAGAAGATCTAAAACTCCTATGCAGTTACACTTGAGTAGTTTCAATGGGAGGAGTAAAAAAGAATTCAGTAGGCACCATGGTTATGAACACTGGGACCTCAACTTCCATTCTATAGATTATATTGATATTTTCCCTAAAGAGAATCTAGTTTACTTGAGTAGTGAAAGTGATAATGTCTTGAGTAAATTAGATGATGAAAAAATTTATATTATTGGTGGACTGGTTGACCACAATTCCCAAAAGGTAAATGAGTTTTCAAAATTATTCCTAGGCTTGAATTTTCTTATTTCACAGGGTATATGTTATAATAAGGCAGTTGAACAAGGGATAGATCATGCAAAACTACCAATTGATGAGTATTTTTGGATGAAGCATAGAAAAGTTTTGACAATTAATCAAGGTAGGTATTTGAATGTGGATGGTCTGATAACAGAAATTTTCAAAGCCAAATATTTTAGTTTTTGAGATTTTACTGTATGTTAGTAAAGGAAGTACATTCAAAGAAGCTTTTGAACAAATCCTGCCAAAACGAAAACAGAAAGTAGCTACAAATAATGAAACTGATGAAGATAAGTCAATTGAAGATGATGAAAAAGGTGTTGACATCATGACTGATAATGAAAAGATTATTAATCCAGGTGATGCAACTGCATTTCAGAATTCCCAGGAGACAGAAAATGGAAACTCATTAGATCTTCCTCTATGTACAAATATATGAGAAAAATATGTGAACAAGAATACAGGCAATTGAAAAATATTTGAATCTATTTTCCATCATTTTATTTAAATGAAAAAAAAAAAGCATCAATAAGTTTCAGCACATAATAATCAATTTTTCTAGTTAATTGATGAATATTGAAAAACTTAAATCCCATGTTGTTTCAACCCAGAAGCTCAGAAAATTTATATAATCAAATCATTGGGTTATTTTATGTCCTTGCCATCAAAATTGGGATAAAATGGAAACCATCCTAAACTTTTTAATGTCAGGTGAAAATAAAATGGTCAAAGTAATTTCTTCTAAACATTTTGCCGGTTAGTTCAAACTTCAGACGGGCCCGCGGCATTTATGTTTTGAGCTGCTCCTATGAACTTTGAGGTCAACTTTTAGATAAGGTATGATGGGCAGTTGAATAAACCTATTGGTTATTTGTATTTACACTTTATTTCTTTTCACAGGGTTATAGTTAATATTTCACTCAATAGAATTAAAAAATATTAATAAATAAAGTCATATTCTAAAAAAGAAAACTGAAACATATCACATGGTTAAATAATATCAAGTTGAGAATCTTCAAACCAATAACTACTTCACATCATCTGAATCGATGATTTCAAAATCACTATCACTACTGCTACTTTTACGTTGCACAGGGGCAGTTGTGACAGCCGATTTCAGAGCATTTGCAACAAAAGCCCCTCCCAATGTTGCAAAATTGCTGATCACCCCACCCAAGCTACCAGCATCAGAAATTACTTTTCTGGAAGCATTGTCCACAAAATCTGAGCTGAACTTCAACCCTTTTCCTAGGTGTTTTTCTTCCTCAGAAGAAGTGTCTTCACTGAAATGTGATGACTCAAAATTAATGTCTGGTTGTTCTGAGTCAGAGTCACTTGACAAGTCATCAGGTGTGTGAGTTGGTTTCCTATGGAAATGCTGACTAGGCAAAAGATCTTCTTCTCTTATATCTTGCTGAGTTTCTACAAAATCCATGAATGATGGCATTGCACTCATACCACTAATCAGAGAATTTGAGACTGAATCTAGAAGGAATACAAAATGTGACAGATATAAATAATATTCTTTATATAAATTTTTGATTGAGTAGGTATTGCTCTCAGATTATTTGTTGTTGTTATGGACAAAATCCTAACATTGTTACACATTTTGATGATGTATCAAATCACTATCATCCAAATTTCAATTACAAATATTATTTATTATCAGAATTGCAAAATTCCTATCATCATTACTTCAACTTCTGATATGATAGTAAACAGCATGATATTATTATTATAGATCAATATTTTTATCTTAAAAACTTGCCAGCAGTTCTGTCAGTCAACAGACTATCCAAATCTGCATCCTTCTGGTCAAAATCCTTATCAGAAATGAAAGGAATAAGCTCTTCTTCAGCCAAAACACCTAAAAAGAAATAATCTGTTTTATACTGTCAACTATCCAGAAAAGCTCACCTCTGGTGTTAGTCAATGATTTGATAATTTCACTGAAGCTTTTCACATATTCATCAGGTATAAATTTGAATCCCAATGGTATGAAAAAAATTCCTAATATTGTGAGGTATATTAGAACATATCCGGAAATATTTTGTGCCACAAAACTTATGAAGAGAAAAATTATGCACATTCCAATGCAAAACTAGAAAAAAATAACATCAATGTGGTAATTGCAGTGAATGGTGACACAAAAAAGTTTCAGAATTACAGTTGAGAGTTCCTTACCGATGATGGATTTTCTCTTCTGAGTGTTTTCAAACTGATTATTATATCATATGGATTAATACAAATTTCTTCAAAGGCATCTACATACTTTGCTTCATAACCTGTCAAATCTTTATTTTCGAAATATGAATCACAAATGAAAATTACCAGAATAATAGAGAACAGAAAACCCAAAAACTTCACCTGCCACTGTACCACAATCCTGTAAAAAAGTAAAACTACAATACTTCATCAGGCATGAATCAGCTGAAGGATGAAGTGAAATAGGGATGATACAAAATTGATGCCCAAATTTGAGTGAAGGTCAAGCAAAATATCACACTTATAGTAGGCAGATGGATATTTTTGGACTTACCAAAATATAAAATTTACCACTAGAAATGACACCAAAGTTTGAGTAATGTCTTCCCAGCTCAAAATTTTGTAAACCTCCTCAAAATACATCTCATATTTGCTCACTTTTCTCTTATGTTTGTCTTCTTCAGTTCCTTTCACAAAGAAATAATTTGTGAAGTAAAGGAATTTTTGAGACAAATAGTTCATGATCATTTCAAAACTATTCCATTGGCATTGGATTAAATTTACAGTTCATAAATCATTATCAACGAATGTTAACGAAATACTGATATACGTAGTTATAAATGATTATCGGTGAGCAATACGCATTTCAGCATAATGAAATCGACATCATAATCATATAATTCATAATAGTATTCAAAATATCACATATCACATGCAATCGTGCAAATTTGCAAATGCGCACATTTGTCAGTGTCACCCGTCAGCGGCCGTCACCGGGTCATATGACAGTTGACATTGAATCACAGAACCACCGATACTACCGTCGAAATAAAAATATAGGATGCCGCAGAGAAACTTTTTTGGAAAATCTGCCAAAATGTTCAGGGGTGAAGTGAGGAAGTTGGGAGGGGGGTGTCCGTGGTTGGGAATTTGGGATCATTGGTCCTCATTTCATCGAAGAGAACGAGCATAGAGAAAGAAAAAGATAATTTGGTTTTGGTTTGTCTATGAGAACGAGATTTCATGTTCATGTTTCTCTGATTGCCGTTTGTTGATGTGGTAGGTTTAGGTAATTCTATTATAAAATGCGCGTTATGAATTTGCGCCTTTGGTTAGATATTTGTAAATATCATTCGATTTAGGCAAACCAACTTAGGATAAAATGAGTAAGGCACCATAAATTGAGTTGATAAAATAATGGGACTAGAGCAATTAAATTATTTTTTGTTACTTTCTTTTTCACCTCTGATACCAACAGAAATTATAAATTCGCATATAAAAACAAAGATATCCCCGGGTGCGTTTTTCATTCCAACATTTTATCATGCGCATGAATCGAAGAAACCATCAAACTGTTGCAAAATTCCGCTGGAATATTGATGGACATCCATCAAACTGTTGTGATAAAATGCGCACTTTTAAATCACTTTTCGAGAATCCAGCAGCAGTTTGGAGGAGATTGACATGACAGTTGACACATTTTATTGTTGTTTTTTGTTTTGATTTGATAGAAAACAATTAATATTGAGGATTTTTGAGATTCTTGAGAGATTTTAGAAGAAAGAGTCAGTGTTAATCAATAAAATCGAATTAGCCTCTTCTGATTCTCAAGATGACTGACACACAACAAAATCCGTGTTTCCATCAATGTGTTGTATAAACCATTGTTCAATCTTTCCAGCATAAATTCCAGCAAAACAATTGGTGACGTCACGACAAAAAACCGCATCTATCAGTGCGCACTTTCTTCGATGGAATGAAAAACACGCCCGATTGTCTGATTGTTGGATATTGTGTATTGTGTGTCCAAGTGTTAAAATAATGGCCTGGTGCGCGTGGCATGAAATTAAGGTTGGACCTCGGTTGGACAGTGAACAAAACGAGGTAACGAACATTAGGGTGAGTTCCCAATGCAGCGTTTTTGCTATACGCGTCGTGCGTCATGCAACCTTGGAGAGCGTTAAAAACTTTAATATTTGTTTACAAATGACGACGAAATAGGAATGTTGACGTCATTATGACCTAGGTGCCTCCCAAGGAGGGTAGAGTTTATAATCCTTGGGTGCATCCCATCACTTTCACCTAAAACCCTCTTCAGTAGTCAGTGCGACTCAATGAAATGTATGTATTGGTGCGACTACTTGATATTTAGCTCTGTTACGGAAGTTATGGCTGATTGAATTTTCGCAACTGTCAACCGTTACTTTTATATGTCATTGTCATTATTGTCATTTGAATGTCATTTGCATTTTTGTTATCTTATGTTAATGAATTTTATGTTGAATAATGACATGAGCAGGGATAAGTTGTATTCAAGTTTATGAAAATTAAATAATTGCATTTCATTCTCGTCTATTATAAAGGCTAATAGATATAACAACATTTCAGTGCTTCCAAAGGTAATCTGAATGTTTAATCTGAAAACAATGTCCGGAGAAACTACCATTAAGGGCAACCCTTCTCAGTATGTCAAGTTGAATGTTGGGGGCTGTTTGCACTATACCACAATTGGCACCCTCACGAAACATGATACCATGCTACGAGCTATGTTCAGTGGTCGTATGGAAGTTTTGTCTGATTCAGATGGTAATTAGTTACATAATTATTCCTTGCCCTGTAATGAATCTTCAACAATTCAACTATTCTAGGTTGGATTTTGATAGACAGGTGTGGTAAACATTTTGGTGCAATTCTTAATTTTCTCCGAGATGGAAGTGTGTCACTACCAGAGTCCACAAGAGATATTGCTGAACTGGTGGCTGAAGCAAAATATTACTGCATAGCTGAATTAGTGGAATCATGTAACAAAGCATTGCTCAAAAAGGAAAGGGGTGAACATGAGCCTACTTGTAGAGTACCTATGATCACATCCCAAAAAGAAGAAGAAATGCTTATTAGTTCTACCACAAAGCCCTCCATCAAATTGCTTATAAACAGACACAATAACAAGTATTCTTACACCAGTACTTCAGATGACAATTTGTTGAAAAACATTGAATTATTTGACAAGCTATCTTTGTGGTACAGTAGTAGGGTGCTATTTTTAAAGGATGTCATAAGTACTAGTGAGATATGCTGTTGGGTTTTTTATGGTCATGGCAGGAAAGTATCTGAGGTTTGTTGTACATCCATAGTCTATGCTCCTCACAAGGTGTATACCAAAGTGGATTGTCCAGAGGCAAGAATATATGAGGAAGCATTGAATATACTATTGTATGAAAGCAGGAATGCCCCTGATCAGGAGTTGATGCAAGCTACATCAACAAGGGGGGCTGTATCTGGAATGTCCACTTATACCAGTGATGAAGAGGAGGAGAGATCAGGTATTGAAAGACTCAGGTCCAATAAATCTAATAACCAAGCTTGATCTTACCATATTTACTAATTAACCTTATACAGGGTGTGTCATTAGTGTGGCAAAGTGAGATAACTGCTTTACTATTTGAGATAGATGATTAAAAATTCCAGAGATGATCTAGGATCATGAGCAGTACATATCCAAAATATTTCTTTTTATACAGGGTAACTCAGAAATGCGTGGTGCATCAAAGTAATACTCTTTCTTATGGGACACCCTGTATTTCATTGCATTTTCGCATTCTTCTTTGTGAGCTGATTTCATCAATGCATCACACTTGGGGTCTAGCGAGAATGATTACAGAGATATAGGGTGTTCAAAATCGAGATTTTTCAACTTTGGGATTTTTTTTGCATTGAAACTATTCATTATTGGTCAAAACGGCTTTCATGTCCCTATCCCAATTTTTTGATTTACTATCTACTGACATTTGATTGGAACAAATACAGGGTTGTTCAAGATTCAGCATTCTGATCACCCTTGTATCTGTTCCAATTAAATATCAGTAGATAGTAAATCAAAAGTTGGGATAGGGATATGAAAGCCGTTTTGATCAATAATGAATAGTTTCATTGCAAAAAAAATCCTAAAGTTGAAAAATCTCGATTTTGAACACCCTATATCTCTGTAATCATTCTCGCTAGACCCCAAGTATGATGCATTGATGAAATCAGCTCAAAAAGGAGAATGTGAAAATGCAATGAAATACAGGGTGTCCCATAAGAAAAAGTATAACTTTGATACGCCACGCATTTCTGAGTCACCCTGTATTAAGCAAAATAATTTGGATATGTGCTGCTCATGATCCTAGATCATCTCTGAAATTTTTATTCATCTATCTCAAATAGTAAAGCAGTTATCTCACTTTGCCACACTAATGACTCACCCTGTATATTTAATGCATACAGGGTGATTCATTAAGAATGGGCAATCTTTGAATCACAGATAATGTACATATCAAAATATGAAGATTTAACTAACATGCCTTATTAAAATGTAGCTGGTTTAGGAGATACAGGGTGTTCACAGGGAAGATTGTATTTTCAAATTTCTCAATAACTCAAGTTTTAACAGCATGAGAAAGTTTAAATTGTCTAGCTCTAATGGTTTTTGCATTTTTGTCTCTGTTCCACTTCCAGCATTTTTATTATTTTCAATAATAAAGTAAGCAAAGTGGCACTGAAATAAATACAGTGATCAATGATGACAATCTCAAAATAATGTTTTTCCTTGAACACCCTGTATCTCATTAACTAGCAACACTTTGATAAGGCATGCTGGGCTGAATCTTCAAATTTTGGTTCTATTATTTGTAGTTCAGAGATTACCCTTTCTCAGTGAATCACCCTGTATATTTATTGATAGTAGGTATCTACTATTTAGTTACTAATCATGTTCTATATTGCTGATCAAATTAACAACAAGCACATTTTTGCATCTGAATTGAACATTCACTATTATCATATTCTCACTCATATTACCAGATGTCAACAAGTTTTTTATCAGCAAATCTAGTAGTCTCTCTAGTAGTAATAGGTCAATTTTTAGAATGAAAAAAAAAACATTTGAATATCCTGCAATTATTCAATGTTGAATATTGCAAGAATGTGCTTGTGGCAGTTCATCTGATCAGCAGTTTATTTATATAACTTTTTAATAGTGGCTCAAAGAAAGGAATGAAAAGACTGTATTCCCTCTATCAATTAAATACAGAAATTCAGCTGGCATTGTATTCAGCAAGATATTTAGCTTTCAACATAATATATTCTTTAAATTGTATGTTGGCAATACTGAAAATCATTAAAAAAACACAACTCTAACCTTATTTATATTGAGGTTATTATAACACAAAATTTTCCTCCAAATTTTCATAATTTTTTGTGGATACCCTCAATACCTATTTTTACTCTCACTCAATGCTTGCTGAACTCCTATCTTGACATTGTACCAGTGGCGTGGCAGTATTATTATTCTGGAGAATATTTGACTGATTTTAATTGATTTACTCTTATCTGTTATCTGAAAATTATGAAAATAATTGTAGAAAGTTGATGTTCTGCTATTTAATTCTTTCATGGGTTCTTAACCTTAAAAAATAGTATGAAACATATACAGGGTGCTCCAGGAAGTGTGAGCAATCTCCTGGATGTGAAAAACGCACATCAAACTAATTGAGGTTTTTGTTAACAAGTAAAAAATAACTACTAGCACTCAGAGATGTGATTTGACCTTCTCAAATAATGAATATCCTCTTACATTATGTGAGTTTTGGATGCACCATTTTTAATTCCAATGATTTCCAATATGAAATCACATTCAGATTTAATTTGCTCAATATTTTTCCAAACTCGATTTTTTGCCTGCTATTTTTGTTTAAATCGATTTTACTTGAAAATAGTGCATCACTGATCAAGATGTGTGCAAGTGTCTTTTTTTTTTGGAAATGTCTAATTTTACTTACCTGAAACCAAATCATTCCAATACATACATTCATACATACATACATACACATTCATTCAAAAATTCAGGGTCATATCTAACCCATATTGATCCCGTTTGACATGCTACTGAATAACATTTTGAATCTTTTAACACCAGAGAAGAAAATATATTTTCCAGAAAGCAGCTTTTGCCCCTCTCTCAATCTCTCAATGGGGTTATGTTTTCTGGAATAAAATGTATGAAGAAATACCTTCAATTTTGGTATCTTAAATCTGAAGGATATCCCACAATTTCTATACAAAAATGTAGAAATCTGAAAATTCACCTTTCTTTTCTCTTTCCTCAATATCTCCATATTACAATAGGTCGCGTGCACGATGACCGACCCTGGAGGTAAGATATTGAAACACAACCTCACTCTTCTGTGAATTATTGAAACACAACCTCACTTTTTTTATTTGTTTAGAGGAATCAAAGGATTGAAGTTTTTAACAATATTTTGGTATACGAATCGTGTTTTTCGCGATATTCATTTTTTCAACCTTGCCTTCGAATTGTGCTGTTGTACAATGCACAAAAAATGCAGCGAGGGACGAAGGAATATGGTTTTTCAGGTAAATAGTAATCTCGCATTGTTTTCATTATGAAATGTTGTCATTCCTTATTTAAATTCCTTCTGCCACTTTTACAATACAAGCTAACTGCTAATAGATTGTCTACACCACACAGGATCATATTTCGTCAGCATGTCAGACCAGTCCTCCCGTTTGATTGCATAAATTCAATCCTATTGCAAAAAGAAATTTCGATGAGAAATCAGAGAAATTACCAAATTTCAAGAATAAAAACTATGTGAGTGACTATAGTAGGTACTTACTTTCAAAATGTACCAACCGGATTCCTTCGTCTCACGCTGCATTTTTGGTGCATTGTACAACAGCACAATAGGCGTTTTCGGAAACTTACTCGGGTTGTTCGGATCCCTAACCTGAACGTTCGGTTACCCAAACCGAGAACCTCTGTTCGGAAACTTGAATGATGCTAACTCGATCACTGACTCGTGTTGATTTTTCGTGTCCCTACTCAAAAGCAGGGTCGCCAGAGTTGTAAAGGACACCGCATGCGCATTACGGAATTTAAGTCAATCAAAAAACGCGGGAGTTTACATTCGACGATAACAATAATAATAAAATGATCTGCATGTTGGGAAAAATCACGATCGGTGATATACATGTTCATTTCAATCTTCATAATTTGATTAAAGTCATTCATTGAAAAGAGAATTTGGGTAGGGGCGAAGTTTGTGGTTATGTGCAACAACACATATGAGACAAGTACACCAATCCACAGGTGAATATAAATATTTGTAATCACATCAAATAATTACTTGAATATAATGTGACCATTTTCGTCAGTCAAATTCATGAAACCACAGGAAAAATATAATATTCAGTGTTCCTAACCTGACACGTTCGTAAACGTTGAACACGGGTAGATGATCCGAGTTTTTTGTCACGTCACCTATCTGGATCGAGTTATCAACCCAGAGTAAGTTTCCGAAAACGCCTAATTTGATGGCATGAGTGAATTAATGAATAGCCGAAAAATACGATTCGTATGGCAAAATAAATGTGAAAAACTATTTCAATCACTTGTAAACAAATAAGAAAAGTGAGGTTGGGTTTCAATGTTGTGCCTCCAGGGTCGGTCATCTGACAGTTCTTGCACGCAACCCATTATTGTCAGTAATGACGTTTTAAATACCTTTCACCTTACAGTTCGTCCATGAAATCGGATTGGTTGGAGCAGTTGAAAATTGAGTGCTTTATTTATAAATCTTCGCGTTTTCTTGTCGGAATACAAATATCAACCAGTTTAATTAATTTTTTATGGTATTTTCTGTGATTTATGATTTTGTATGTTATAATTATGTATTATACCTATTCAGTGTGTTGTTTCTGTATTTTTGTCAACTTCAGAACTTTTTAATGTAGTTTTCAGTTGTTATTGAAAGTTTGTTTGTTGAATAAACTTGTGTAATACTATTATTTTATTCCCATTATCAACCAGCTTCCTAATATTCGTAATTAAAGTTACCGAACAGATTTCTAACCTTATAACGGCAAACAGCTGCCATCACAAACTGAAGTTGGTTGCCCAATATGGCTGCCAAAGTTGGTTTAATACCGAAGATTCACCCAAATAGAATAGTTAATAGTATCTACCCGTGAAACATCACTGAAAAAAATGAGAATCTTTGGGATGAATATTCATATTTTTTCATGTAAATTTTATTCAGGTAGTGGAATAGAAGAAAACTTACTGATAATAACAATGAGTATGATCCTTGATTATATACACTAGTCACACTAGTGTATAATATAGTATCCACCCGTGAAACATCACTGAAAAAAATGGTAGATTTCGGAAGAAAAAACAACTACTTTCCTGACTAATGCCACGCAGAACATTGAATTACATCCTCCCGAAATCTATGCATCGACTCGTAAAAACGAATACAGATACAAGTGATTCTTTCCTGAATGCCTATTGATTTCGATTTAGCCAGGCCACGCTAGTCACCTACAGACCACTTCCGAGCTCTGACTCATCAGTGCAGGGCAGTTTCCAGCCAGCAGTCCTAAGACCGCTGACTAAGTCAAGCCTAGCCAAACAAAAATCAAGTCGCCATTATATTTCCCCAGAGGCGTATTTCCGTTATCCACGTGGTATTTCAAAGACAATATGAAAGCAACGCCATCTGAGTAGAAAAGAAGGAAAGAAACACTCCAAAACTGAAATTGAGCTCTTTTCTATCTTGAACGAGAGAGAGAGAAAAGTTCTCTCCTCTTCCATCTCTCTGCAATGCTACCAATGTGGCCGCATTGAAATATAGAGAGGTCCGATAAATATTTCCTTGTCTAACCTCTAGTCTGCGCTACTGAATTATTTTCCATTTTATAATGAATATCACGTCATGTGACTGATGACATTTCGAATTTTCAAGATGAAATTTTGATTTATATCATACCTATACCTATATATTTTTACATAATTTGTTAATATCTTTAAATTTGACACTCTGCTGAATTGAAATATAGTTCAGCGGCACAAAGTAGATCTTAGACAAGGAAAGATTTATCGGACCTCTCTATATTTCAATGCGGCCACGTTGGTAGCATTGCAGAGAGAGATGGAAGAGGAGAGAACCACTTTCCTCTCTCGACTCTCGTTCAAGATCAAGATAGAAGTTGCCCGACTGGCGTAATTTCAACTACGAGGTATAGCCACAATGCTCGAAGTGAAATCATGTTGAATGAAATGTTAAATACAAAAAGCTCCAAGTCATATCCACACACATAACGTTCATTAAATGAACAACAATGGTAGACTTTCTTGGCTGATGCCAATCGGTAGGATGTAATTCAATGTTCTGCGTGGTATTAGCCAGGAATGTAGTTGCTTTTCTCCCAAAATCTACCATTATTGTTCATTTTATGAACATTGTTTGGAAATTACTTTGAGCTTTTTGCATTGTGGCCATCTCGAAGTTTCATATTTTTTCATGAAAATTTTATTCAGGTAGTGAAATAGAATAAAATATACTGAAAATAATTATAATATAATATTAGGAATAGGTATATTGAATTCAAATATTTTTATTTCTCTAGAAAATCAGTCATTTTCAAACGCATTATTGGTGTATGTCGTTTGGGACTGGGATATCGGTGGAGGCATACCATTTCTGTTGAGCAACTCTGTTTGCCTCCTAAAAATTGTTTCCCTCCTTCTATCTATAGCAACAACTGTAGATTTTCTGATTTCTTTATCTGAAAAAAATATTTAAAAGTGATAGAAGTACCTATACATATATCGATTCTTACCACGAGAGTCAACTATTGAAATAACTGTAGTATGATACTTGCAATGTATTTATCTCTTTGTAAAATATACAATGTAACGTGGGAGTTAAAAAAATTCCAAAAATGCAACTCAAGCGACAAGTCGATTTCGTTTTTTGAAAGTTTAATTTCTTGATTCTGGATTTACATGAGCAGAAAAATACCTCTTTCAATCTCAGATACCCAGCGAGCACAAAAACATCTCAGAGATGTTAAAAGTACGAGATTTCGAGACATTGAACCTCCACTGCGATGTTCTGTTCACACATGAATAGAACTATTATAGAACAGCCAATGTCCGCCGCAGGCGGCAATTATCGAGATGTCCTTGATATGTCACAAAACTACCTTCTCCCTAGTTCTTTTTAAAGCCTTTTCATGGACACAACAAAACATTTTCAAAACGCGTCTTGCGCACAGTAAATCGCTGTAAAAAAACCATTTTCGAGGTACTTTTCTGAAGCCTTTTGTCAAAATGAACTTTTGCATTAGGATTCCATTTCCCTTGAATGAAAAAATGCATTAAAAATAGATTGAACATAAAAATATTTTCTTGATATGGAATTACCTTCTTAATCGGTTTCTGAGTAGTGCTTACTACACACAGACATATAATTGGAAATAGGTTTCCCAATTTTTGAAATGTTCTCCACATGCAATGCATAATTTTGCAACTGCGGAGAAGCTGATGTGTATTGATAAATTCGTACTTTTATAAATTGATTACACTGAGGCACCGAACAACACATCTTGCATCTGATGGTCATTATTACAAACTAAATAAGTCTTCTAACACAATAAACTTAACCAAATTCATTTCTGTTCGTTAGCAGCGTGATGTAAGCGTGACACGCTGCAAACGCGAATGCCAATTGCGAACAAGAAGAACAAAATCGAAAACAAATCAGAATTCATCGTATTGTGACGTAAGCATGAGACGTTGTGGTGGGGCAAACAAAGAAAGGGCACGAAAGAACAAAAACAATACTCTCAATATCCTTCTAAGACCTCTTTAGGAAGTGCATATTACGCCTCAAAAAAACATCCTCATGCCTACATTTTTAAAACATCCCAAAACATCCCAGGGATACCTCTCAGTAGGCAAACAAAGAAATGCCACAGAAGAACAAAAACAATACTTCAATATCCTTCAAACACCTCTTTGGTCAGTGCATATTACGTCTCAAAATAACATCTTCATGCCAACATTTTCAAAACATCCCAAAACATCCCAGGGATGTTTGTGCTCGCTGGGTAGGAGTTCTCATAATTGGCAGTAGACCAAGAGCGATTGGGACAACAGATTATTTTATCATTAAAAAAAGCATGCACCTTTGCAAAAAATAAAATTGAGCCTATCGAATAATTTTTGTTCTGATCTACATCACCACCGTGTGCCTATACTTTTCAACCGAACTATTTTGTCTTGATATTCAAGATTTTATTACCAGTTTCTTCTCCATTTCTAACCCTTTCCAGTCTTGTGTGGAATGCCTTCTCCAAATCTTCTATAATAGGTCTGGGTGTTTTGCCCTTTTTGACAGCAAGAAAATGTGCCGTGTTCCTTCTTCCCACAGGAGCATCTGCATCCTTGTTTTGAGCGTTTATACCTTGTAATCTGGAAAATCAGTAATGTCAGGTTACATTCAGATATCGAGTTTTTGTAGTCAAATGATATCAGCAGATTCATTCATCGGTAACAATATTTTTGAAGGCCACGTCGAACATTGAATTATATCTGATGAACATTCAAAACGAGAACATGAAAAATAAAAAATAAAATCCTCCGAAATTGAGAATTGACATTCTTCTTCAAATCGGATGAAATATGATGTATAATGATATAGAAATATAACTTACCAATATATTCAGCATTGAATAAGGAGAATGCAAATTCTCAATTTCAGAAGTTTTTATATTTTATTTTCAAACTCTTATCGTGTGTGTTCAATAGATATAATTCAATGTTCGTCGTGGCATATAGCCAGGAAAGTAGTTGTTTTCTATTGAATAAACTGAAAAAGAGTAGATATTCTCATCACATAGAGAATGCGAATTCTCAATGTATTGCTTCATTTAAATATATATCCATTTTCATATGTTCATAATTTATTTCATATTTGGAATATCCTTAAGCTAAGATCATTTATTTTGAATGAATAAACTATAATTGTATTATTTTCTTCATCAATAACTATTGATATTTATTTTATACTTGAACTTGGTAGGTTTTAATGTTCAATCGTTTTTTTTTTTATTCATTTCCAGAGTACAAACATACATATTATCCATTTTTTTTCTGTCATACACTCGTTGCTGTAAACTTGTTTAAGAAGCAATAAACTATTATTATTATTATTTATTATTATGTTCATAATTTATCTGAGAATATTCCTTTTCAACACTTTCACACTCAATCGGGGGGTTCAAACTTGAACGATGGAAACTTGTGATTTTTATAGACCTCTAATCGCTGATTCGTGATAGAGTCTCAATTCAGAATTTCTTTCCACGCCCTGTATGATGAATGTCAATTTATCACACACCCAAAAGCAATAATTGATTGCAACATTATCCTTTTTCCTAAATGAATATTTATAGCGCTTTAACGATATTTTCTCCAAGACATTCCTTACTTGAAAATCCTCTTTACATTATTTATCGGATCTCTTTCTAGAATCTTCTCTTCTGTGAGATCGTCTACTTTTGCACTGCCAAATAGTCCGAAGTCCAGAGCCGTATTCGCCATTATTTGACTGTAGGTACCGAAGCGATGTACGAACATGCCAAGAAATTGAATGAGCATCAAAGCGGCGAATGTTAACAGAAAAACGAATCCGATTGGTTGCAGTTGGAGATTGGTTTTCTGAATGATAATCTGGAACAAGACAATCAAATTTACTAATAGCAAATACGTTCAAGTCAAATATCGGCAAACAATCAATTTTTCACACAGGAATCGTTTTATACAACTCATTACCAAGTCAATTGAGGCATATACAGAAAGCAACTAGATTCAAAATAAACTTAAAAAAATATCTGCTTCAGAGACTTTGATAATTCCATTTCCAATTTGAATACCTTCTTATAAAAGACTAGGTTGATATTGCATGATTATTTGCATTTTTTTTTACTTGTTTTATCTTATTGTAATTTCATAATTGTATGTATAACACTATGTATATTGTTTATGTATCCCTATTATAAACAACTATGTTTCTTGGGGTAATAAAGACAATCAATCAATCAATCAAAAAAAAAAAAAATTTTGATCAAAAGGGAATTTTACGGCGTGATCGTAAAATTAGTAGAAAGTTCAGAAAACTAAAGAAAAAAGTGCCTTTACAGATATACTGGGCGGCACAGGAGACATGCAACAGCCTGTAGTTTTTTTATTTGAAGAGATAAAACTTTGAAATTCACAAGGGTTATATTATCGATTATGGCGCTTTCCTCGAACCCAATGACAATTTTTTTCAACCATCTGTTTGATTGGAAGTAGCCCAGCTTTTTTTTTCAAATGGCACCCTGTATATTTCTGAAGCTTATCTCATTCGCCTTGAAATTCTCTATTCAACTATGTATCACAATTTGATATTAGTTCATTAATTGGCTGTTAAATTGCATTTTTTGAAATACATGAAGTTGGCTGTAGCCCGAATACAATGACATTTCGATGCTTGATAGGCTTAGAAATCCAAAGATCATCAGTTAGGTTAGACGATATCATCAGAATATTTTCCATGTCATAAGCGGTCCCAGAAGATCTCCAATAATTTCATTGAGTTTAAAGAAATCATCAGAAAATAACACGATATTAGGACTATACATCAATTATTACAACAATTTCAGTTTCATGTATCCAAATGGATGATCATATTATGGCTGCATGGCAAAAATGAAAGACGAATAGTGTTTTCACAAGTAGCCAAACTTGATTCTCGATTGTTTGCCATGACAATAAAACTTTCATACAATTAAATATGTATTTATCGATAAAAACATTATATCCAATGTATTTACCATCGAGAAGAAAAGGTCTTGTATTTTTACTGTTGACTAAAAACGTACACATAAAATTTTGGTGACGGAACATTTTGAATTTTGGTGGCGGAACATTTTAATTTGAATTTTGGTGGCGGATCCTTTGCACAAATGATCTGTGTGGTGAGAATATTCTACCTGCATCAGGTTTTGTTCAATTTTCAAGGATATTCGAATTGTAGTTTCCACAGAGTGACAAATTTGTTTATGAACCAGGTGCTCTAATAGAAAATACCGCGCCAGTGCCAGGTATAGGAAATGGACGTGGAAAATGTTAGGTTAGTGAGCATACCAACAGTAATAAAAGCGATTATTTATTTCTCTCCATACTCTCTACTGTGTCTAGCTCGATAATCGAATGAAGGTAAAAAATATCGTTGTTTGAGACAAAAAACGGTAATTTTGCACTTATCATGCGATGGTTTTTTTTTCGAAAATTTTTTTTGGTACTTACGTATTTTTGTCTGAAAAACACGAATTTGATAATGAAAATGTGAACAAACCATTATTTATTGAGATATTTCACTATAAAGTTACAAATTTCACCTTCTTTTCCGCCTGTCTTTGGGGCGCATTTAGAACAATTTGCCCTTCTTTTTCCATCATTGGACAATTTATATATATCACACAATGTTGGGCACATATTTTTTATTATATGAGTCAACTAGAAATATGATTTTCTTGTGATTTATCCATGTTTAGTGAAAAGAAGGAAGAATATCATTTGAAATAATGGCGTGTGTGATGTCATTCCAAAGCAATCTATTGACATTTGACATCTCCTATTTGGATTACCCATCGATTAAATGGCGGTCATCTGGTATGCTTGCTCACTAAATAGGAAAAACTCACCATAAAAATCATATTTCCTGTTGAATTTTCTAGCTTAAAATGTGTCATTGAAGTACATCATGAGTATATGAAGTGTCCAATGACAAAATAAAAAGAGCAAGTACCTGTAAATGCATCCAACACAAGGGGGAAAATAAGGCAAAATTTCGAACTTTTTCTTGAAATATCTCGATAAATAGTGGTTTGTTCACATTTTCAATATCAAATTCGTGTTTTTCAGACAAAAATACGTAAGTACCAAAAAAAATTTTCGAAAAAAAACCCATCGCATGATAAGTGCAAAATTACCAAAAAAACTATTGCTGGCCGTGATTATTCAAAAACACGTTATCCATCCCGAAAATAAAGAAAGAAATACATATCATACTCATCAAAACAAAAATACTTAATAACTATAATATGGTGTATTTCTATCTCCAGCATGGGTATGAAATGCCAAATCTGTCGAAATCGGAAACAAATCAGGTATGCATCCCAACCCAAATAACCAACCGTAACAATGTTTTTATTCTTGATGACCTCTAGTGCTTCCTTTCAAGTTCCTAGGAGCTAAAGTTCAACGTCAGCTCCATGCAAGGAACTAAATGTGTTGCCTAGCAACATACCTTTGTTTGTGTCAGTAATATAGAAACGTCAATTCAAGTGCTAATTTTGGTATTAGGGTAAGTCGAGGATGGATGGCCATAGAGCAGAGATGGCCAACGCTCATATTTTCCAAACTTAACACTGGATGTCGCTGCGACGCAGTCACAGTGTAGAGTGCATGGCGGCCATGTTTATCGACTTTAGTGCCAGGATTTCACCATATTTATTTCAATGCATATTGAAATATTTTATGTGCCGTTGCGCGGCGTATGAATCATTCATAAACCTGAGATTTTCGTGCTTGTAATATGTGTATATACTATTCAGAATATTCTAACCTCACTTTTGCTAGAGTTTTTTAGAGGTGAGTTTGCCATATGGCCATCTCTCCTGATAGTCCTGATAACGTGCAATTCATTTCAATTTAATTCTTTCAGATGCCAACTAAGTATATCCGGAAGAGTACTTCCACGAGAGGATATTGGTCAGAAACAGACCTCAAAGATGCTATGAGAGCCGTGAGAGATGGAACAATGTCAGTAAGAAGAGTCGCACTCACTTATCAGATACCCCGACTATCGAATGTATGTTCGAAGTCCTAGGATCTACTTTGATTTTTCATGTTATTTCAAAATTTTTTAAGGTGGAAACCTACCTAATCACTATCAGTTTAGAGAATAATTTGTTCTGTTTTGGGTTCTAATCGGAACTGTCGACTTACTTTTACTTTATTATGATCTACCAGTGAGTAAAAATGAGTAACTGATGAGTTTCGGATATGTTTATATAAAGAATTTAAATTTGCTGATTTTTTTTGATCGCGGGACTCAATGTCACCAGGTGGCGCTCGGTTTTCATCGTTCCATGTCAAAGCCACGTCAAAACTGAGGGAAACAAACTCAATCCTCACTCAATCCCATTAGTGCCATTAGCTTGTGTACTGTGTACTGATGAGAGTGATAACACTTTATGTAATTGACAAGTTTGACAACCACAGCTACAGCAAGATGTATGCAATGTAGTCTATGCACAATAGTTTGTTTTCCCCCAGTTTGAAGTTCGTATTATGTAACCTAGATGTCGCCCACTTCGTGAATCTCGCGAATAATCCTTTACATCTTTTCCTTCGTAAAACATATGGCTATCTATCCTAAATCATATGGCTATCTCTCCTAGGTACTGGATTAATTCATCATATTTTTTTATCAAATATATTTTTCCTGTGGATTCCACTATAGACGTCTTCTGCATTGTGCATATGTACCGTAGAGAATGAAAGTTCGATGAAAATAAGGAACTTTTTCCTGTTTATGGCCATCTTTCCTCGACTTTTGTGTCGGTTGCAGAAAAATATAACTTAGGGCACTCACCTCATTTTGATCCGTATAATAAGTGAAATTGAATTTTGGGTCTAATGGCCAGTTCAAGTGGAGAACATCTTGCTGGATATTCAACAGAAAAATAACCAATACAAACAGGGAGTTCAAAGTGAAAAACGTGATAACCATCTGGTCTCTTAGATCATTCAAATCTTTAGCAACCTTGTCCTGAAAAATTAAGTAATATTAATTAAATACGTATGGTAGAGTATTTATTTCATTCCACGGTGAAAAATTAATTGGCTATTCGAGCGCACCTTTGTTGCAGTTTCATCTAGAGGAGCCAAATATTTCTCAATGAATTTATCCCAGAACTTTTCTTCTTTGCGGTCTAAGTAGTCCACGGAACTGTTGATGAGCTCTCCATCATAAAACCAACTGTTCGGTGGGACATCGTCTGCTGCTGGTGTAGCATTTTTAGAATTGTCTGTTTTCGGGTTAGATGAACCCATTTCAGGTGCCCTAAAATATTCATCTTTGAAGTCTCCATTGAGCATTAGTGTTTGGGACCAATATAGTCCGAAGAATGTTATCACCTTATACATTTTATTCTTGAGAATATTTGTAGGAAGCAGGAGAATGTGACCAATCATTCAGATTATTTTGTTTTTGTTGAGCCTTCGAAAATGTGTATTTTCTTTATCAAGACTAACCAAAAACACACCTTACATTTGCGGATCAACCTTATTAGGTATACAGGGTGGGCCACCAGTAACGCCTCGGTCTCTAGAAGGCTAACCAGTTATCTTCTTGGAATTCTTTCTCTCTAGGAAGCTGCATGTCAACATAGGCTACCATTTGAAATTATTTTGAAACATACTGGATGTCCCCAAAAATCACAAAACACTGAAGTTGAACTTTTTTCAAGCGAACACCCTATATATTATTTCATTTTGAGATTCTCCCTGGTGAGCTGATTTCCACAATCCATCATACTTGGGGTCTAGCAGTTATAATTACTGAGATATAGTGTGTGAGAAATCGAGATTTTCCAAGTTCAAGAATTTTTTGTGTCTAAACCATTCATAATTGGTCAAAACGGCTCACATGTCCCTATCTCAACTTTTGATCAACTATGGATGGAGGGTACTATCATCCGCGAAGCTGTGTACTGGACATGGGGTTGCTTCCAACAAATCGTTGATATGGAGTAAAAATAGTGTTGGTGCTAGAATTTATCCTTGCGGAACACCAGCATAGAGTCAGATGAAAATCCTTCGACCACTACATGGAGATACCTGTTCGAGAGAAAACTAGCTAGCAGAGATGAACGAGTCTTTGGAAAGAGATGTTCTGCAGGTCTCCAAAGTGACGACGAAGGGGTGCGAAGCCTCAACTCGACGGATTTATCTCGCGGGGACTGCCAAGGGAGGAACAATTGTTGATATTTCAGAAGAGCATCCACCATGAACATATCTATAAAAAAGAGCCAGATCGCCAACTTCTCTACGGTGTTCCAGAGAAGTGAGTGAGGGAGGCATCACCCACGAGACGAATTGCCCTTTTTTGGACGGAATCCAAAAGTTTCAGGGTATGTTTGGGTGCTGCGCTCCAAATATGGGAACAGTATTCCAGGACCCAGGACAGGTCGTATTTGTGCCTTATCGATCATAAGCAGTATAAATTACTATTTCTAGGTGACTAATAACTTTTACTATGAAATAAAAATGCATTATGAATAGATATAGGTATTCACCTGAGACCTTGTGACCCTTCAAGAAGCAGAGTTTCCTTAGTTTTTCTCTTATCTGTCTGAATGGTAGGCGGACTGAGTTGGTTTCTCTCTATACGATCCAACTTTTCTTGAAGTTCTTTCATCGAGGCTTGCATGTTCTTGAGTATTTCTTGCTCGGTAAGATTATTTTGAAATGTGCAGCATAAGACTTTGAACAGTCCGGCAAACGAAAATTCAAATGAACCAGCATTGTCAGCGTTATTTCCGAAGAATGAATAAATCTTGTTCTTGTTCTTTTCTTCTTCTTTTTTCTTTTTTTCTTCTTCTTCTTTCTTCGCCTCTTCGCCTTCTTTTTTATCTTTTGATGCCTACCTCAAACAAATTTGTAGTGATATACCGGATGATTCTCCAAAATATCGCGCACCATAAAAAAGTTATGGGATTCGATCCGAGCCACCTCGAAGAATCACCCGGTATACCTATACTGGCGTGCTGAGCAAAAATGTATCGTGTCCGACTTATCGTCGTGAGATAATACACTCAGTTCCAAAAAAAGTGACGCACTTGATATTTGACCTATCTTCTTGAGAAGAAAAAAAAAATAGTAGGCCGATTTTTATTTATTTTTTGTTTGTTGGTAGGTGATGCATTTGTCTTAAAAAAATAAAGTGGTGAAAATTTGTTCTAAGCCTCCTTGATGGTGGTGGAATAACTCGAACCATGATTTATTCTTAATTTTTGACTCACCCTGTGTGTTAATTGAGTGATGGCATAGAAAGTGCTTACACCCAATACGAAAGAGCGAGCGAAAGAGGCTTCTTTTGCGAGCATTTTGTTATTTTATTCATTGATTTATCACTAAAATATTCCGAATTACAGCTTTTTTGCTGATACCTTACGCTTATCCCACAAATTAAATTTATTGAAAGATCAGAGTACTCAAAATTGATTGGGTTGTACCTACAGTACTCTGGTAGGATCACATTGTCTTTAAAAAAACAAATGCCGTTGCCATAGCAACTAATTTGTTGTATGCCTCCATATTTGACCATTTGTCGTTGTGTCATTAATTGAGTGTCTTGTTTTGTTTCAAATAAATCCTGAACAAATAGCAAGATTAGTTGCGTTAGTAAACGATGGGCGTAGTAAACGTTACGCCGCTCATGCAGTGGGAGTTCATGAAGCACCGCTCGAAGGGTCGGTTCTGGTCGCCCCCGAAAAACTTCTCCAAGAAATGATCGCTTCTTGAGATTGCGGATTTTACGGAATCGATCAAATACTGCAGTGAATGTTCAGCAAGATCTTCGCCAAATTCGTGATGTTGCAGTAAGCATCAGTAAGTAAGCAGACGGTATGTAGACGTCTAAAATAAGTTAATTTAAAAGCTATAGGAGACCTGCAAAAAGTCCCAAATTATTGCCCGAACATCGTGCTGCTAGAAGAAATTTTATTTAAAATTATGGACAGTGGAATATTCCTGAATGGTCAAATGTCTTGTTCACGGATGAGTCAAGGTTTTGCCTTAACATGGTGGATGGAAGAAAAAGAGTGTGGAGAAGAACTGGTGAACGGTTTAATCAAAATTTAATGGTGGGTCCGTTATGGTGTGGGGAGGGATTTTAATGAATGGAAAGACACCCCTTCATGTTTTTCCGGTGAGGCAGTCGATGAATGCCCAAATTTACATTGACATTTTAGAGCAGTATGTCTTACCTTATGCAGAGTTAGTGGGCAATAATTTTATATTGATGCAGGATAATGCCCGACCACACACCGCAGCAATATTGCGAAACTTCTTAGAAGCTACTGGTATTACCACATTACAATGGCCTGCGAGAAGCCCCGATATGAATTCTATAGAACATTTGTGGGATGAATTAGGGAGAAGGGTACGTTCTCGCGAGAGGTCTCCGGAAAGTCTCTCAGAAATGGCAGATGCATTAGTGGAAGAATGGGATCGTATACCAATGGAAACGATAAGCAACTTAATTTCCAGTATGCCTCGTAGATTATAAGTTCTTAGAGTTGCTAGAGGAGGTAATACACGGTATTAAGCAGTCATCCTAATTTATAATTTTGAAAAATATTTTTTTTTAAATCATTGGTATCAGTTTATTTCATTAGAAAATTGTTTCTCGATAAATTTAGAACGTTGGTAATCTGCAAGGATTCAGCAAAAAAATCTGTAATTCGGAAAATTTTAGAGATAAATCAATACATAAAAAATCAAAATGCTCGCAAAAGAAGCCTTTTTCGTATAGGGTGCAAGCGCTTTCTATGCCATTACTCAATTAACACACAGGACGAGTCGAAAATTATGAATAAATCATGGTTCGAGTTATACCACCAAAATCAAGGAGGCTTTGAAAAAATGTTCACCTCTTAATTTTTTTTAAGACAAATGCATTACCTACCAACAAATTTAAAAATAAATAAAAATCGGCCCACTATTTTTTGTTTTTTTTTCAAGAAGATAGGTCTAATATCAAGTGCGTCACTTTTTTTGGAACTGAGTGTAGTTATTCATGTACCAAGGACGAAGCACTGTCTATTATAGTCGAGTCTACAAATTGATAGCCGAGGCCATAGCCGAGGCTAGCAATCAGGCGAGACAATAGACAGTTTTTCGCCGAGGTGCATTTTACATTTTTACGTCGACCTCAAACACTTATATGCACATCACGGTCCTATGACTAATATTCACAAGTGAAATCTATCGGATTTCGCGAATAATTAGTTTGAGAACATCAAATGACAATAATGAGCGTGTAGGTGTACAGTGTACACGTAGAACTTTTAACTCAAACCATGTTTATAATGATCCTTTTATACATAAATAATAATTGACATAATTCGATCGAAAAATTAACTGGAATGTTTCATTTTTGGACATAAATAATAGTACCATTTGAAAACGGACCCTCTTATGACATAGAAACCTCATCTCGCCATAGTTAAAAGACAATACCAAAAGCCCGACGGAGACTGAGGCAACTGATATATTAATTTTTTCAACTGTGATCTCGCGCTAATTCACTCTGTCAGAAATCATGTATCATTCATCTCAGTCTGGAATAGTCTTGTATTAGGGTTTTGACGTCATCGCCTCGTTTTCAGAGGTCCGAAAAATCGGGGATTTCAATAATTTTTTATAAAACGTAGGGAGCTCACAGAAACGGTTCGCGGTGGTGAGCTAGTTTGGGCGAGTTCTATCGAAATTTTTGTGATATATAAGCCCATGTCTCAGACGCCCATGTCATACGACATAGATTCAGAATACGGGGTATGAAAAATTGTGTAGCCATATGGTCACTCGAACCGATAAAGGATTAAAAGAATAATTTTTCCTCGTTTTCAAAAAGGCCTTCAAAAAGTATAGGTACATGTTTGTGCTTTGACGTACGAAAATATGTCACTAAGTACCTGCCGGTGAAATTGTAAAATTTGACAGATAATCTAGCGATTTCTTCAACTTAGATTACTCACGTCTTTCTCAGGTGGAGGAGCGATTGTCACATCCCTCGTACCCCAGGACACATTATTCATGTTGAAAATAGAGTATATCACCAAAAGCATGTACATGCTCGGTACAGTGACGTAGTAGATGACGCCATACTTGAGACAGTAGAATTCCTGCGAATGGTGAAAACATTTTTAGATTCAAATACTGTCTGTAGGTTAATCGAGGAGGTGGTACATTCATTCTTCCAAATTTTTTTGGATTTTCTCTCCTCGTTTCTATAAAATAATAGTTATTTATGTATTGAGGGAATTATGAGGGCCTTAATTACCGATGGCAAACTTTGCGTCCCGAGGGCCTCTGGCCCGAGGGACAGCAATTGCCAGAGGTTATTAAGGCTCTATAATTCCCGTGATACATAGATAATTTTATTTCTGACTGATTTCATTCATTAGATACCTTCCCGATTGGAAGTTAGAAATGTTTTTCCGTATAGTTTCAATGTCATCAGAACGTCAGATGATGATCTTGACTACCGCGAATAGGAGATTCCCTATTGCTACGTTATTGCGTGGTTGTTGCTATGCATTTCTTATTTAATTTCAGCTAGAGGGAATTATAGCATCTATAACATCCCAAGGGAGTTATGACCCTCATTATAGATATCGTAACTATGACGATATAATCTTATAATGTCACTGTCAGAAATAAAAATATGAATATTATTTCAATATACGTGTAGTGAGGACAAATCAGATGATTTGCCCCAAACTGTCACTGCGTTTAAAGAATTTTCCTATCAGAGAGCCTGAAAGGAAAATTCACCAGCTTGTCAGTGACAATTTGTTTTGAAAATAATTTGGAGAAGAGAAATAAAGGTATATAGAAAAAATATCAAATTTTCACTTATCTTTGGACGGTTACGGACCGAATGAGTTGAAAAATATAAAAGAAGCAAGATAATTCAGAATCAAATTGAAGAAATATCTGCTCAGTAAACTTTAATTCCATATCTACTACCTATAATCATTCACAATTTGATTAGTTGAAATGGATTATAATATTTTCATTTTATATTTCATTATAATTTTTTTGAAGAAAATAAAAATAATTGTGCAATTATTATTGTTTCGATTTATTATGTTATATGTAGTTTTGTTGTATACAGGGTGTCTGTGAAAGGTTGGAACATGGCTCGGCTGTGGACTCCTGGGATAAAAACAAGTTGATTTAGGCCAACTTACCTATATCCAAAATCGTCTCGTTGAGTTGGTACAAGGCGTTGAAGTTTTTTTGGGAAAAAATGATTTTTCTCATAAAAAGAGTAATTTTTGGCATGACATGTTCTGTGACTGTAAGTCACGTTTTTAGATGTTTTTGTTCATCATCAGTGACCTGCGAGTGTTTGAAACAACCATGTTGCCGTACAAATTTGGTGATCTTTCCGAAAAAAAAAAACTGGAAGTTAACAGTCTGACCTTTAAAGTTATCACTAAATTGGTACGGCAACATGGTTATTTGAAACACTTGCAAGTCACTGATGATGATCAAAACCATCTCATAACGTGACTTACAGTCACAGAACATGCCATTCCAAAAATTATCGATCTCAGCCTACTCTCTTTATGAGCAAAATTATTTTTTTCAAAAAAAACTTCAACGCCTCGTACCAACTCAACGAGACGATTTTGGATATAGGTAAGCGTGCCTAAATCAACTTGTCTTCATCCCTAGAGTCCACAGCCGAGCCATCTCCCAAACTTTTACAGACACCCTGTATATCCCCATTATAAACAATAATGTTTCTTGGCGTAATAAAGTCAATCAATCAATTATACTTGATAATCTTACCTGCGGGTGCATGAAGGCAGCTATGATGAATATGAGGGCAGTGATGATCAGAAACAGGGAAGATGGCGCCAGCCAACCATCATCTTCTACTTGAATAACTATACCGATCAGAACTGTCATCATCACCAGTGAGTAGAGGATGCTCAACATACCCGCAATCATTAGCTAAATGATAAAATTCCATGAAACTCGTGTACAAGTACAAAGAAAGACCAATTTCTCGTTTTGTAATCGAAAGGGTAGAACTTGAATTGGTCTCTACAATAATGAATTGAATTGCCTCTTTACTAACAGACCGCTTTTCAGCCATTAGCCCTCATCAAGTGAGTTTGGGTGAGGTTAGGTGAGTAGTGTTGCTACGTTCGTACCAGGCCAAGATGGCCGCCGCTGGAAGTGACGTCACAAGATGAAGTGACATGACACGTGACAGATGTCACGTGACAGATGACAGGGAACACAAGGAGTGACATATGACAAGTGACAGATGACAAGTGACATCTGTCATCTGTCACTTCCGGCGGCAGTAATCTCGTGACGTCACCTCCGGCGGCGGCCATCTTGGCCTGGTACGAACGTAGCTACACTACTTAGGTAGTCATAACTTCAGACAGAGATCTTTCTGTTTGGAGACTGCTTTTCCTACAGGGTGTTCCTTAATTACATGCTAATAGACAAGGGGGTGAAGTAAATATGATGGTAGGTTCCACAGTGAGTGATGGAGAAATATTTAAACAAGTAACCAAGGAATCCCAGGAAAATGTCCGACAACATGTGCCGTTCGAATGCGCGTACTCACTCCCGCGCGAGATATGCTATTCTGGTTGTTAGGTTTTCTGTGTCCGTACGCTAAATGGCATTTTAGTTATGTGATTAGAAAAAAATTGGTGCTCACCTGGGTGTCTGATTTGCAAGTAGCACAAATCAATATGTAGAATAAAACAGGTGCTATGTTGAACCAGAAACTTGTCATCTGTGACATCTTGAATGCAGATATGAAAGCCCCCACAAGCATAAGGAATATGGTTCCAGGTCCAATGGCTGTTCCAATCATCAAAACTGCCTGAAAATGTTATCACATATTATATAGGTTGTCACAAAACTCAGTATCAAGATTTCAGGGGCTTATTCTTCATATGAAAATATGACATTTCAACACCCTTGTATACAATTGTGGTGGCAATGCATCATGACATTTTTGTTAGACAAAGAAACAAAATGACGACTCCAAAATGGCAAACTAGTTTTGTAATAACTATCATCCAATTCTATTCAAAATTCTTATCTGGAGGATTTTGAGGTCGGAGATTATGATTCTTTCGTCAAAATTGGTGAATTCAAGATGGCGCATCCAATATGGTGAACGAGTTTTGTAATTATGATCCGATTCCATTCAAGCTTGGTATATGGGAGTTTTCGAGGTGGGAGATTATGATTATTTCGTCAAAATTAGTAAATTCAAGATGACGGATCCAATATAATGGATGAGTTTTGTAATTATGATCCGGATTTATTAAAAATTTGTATATTGGGGTTGTCGGAATCAGAGATTATCATTCTTTGACAAAAATTGAAAATACAAGATGGTGGATCCAATGTGGCGGACGACTTCAGTAATTATTATCCGATTCTACTCAAAATTCTTATTTAGGGGTTTTCGGTGTGAAAGATTATGATTATGTCGTCAACATTGGAAAACTCAAGATAACAGATCCAATATGGTGGACGAGTTTTGTACTAGGTTTTGTGATTACATAGTTTAGTTCAGTTTAGTTTATTTAACAACGTTATGTAAAAAAAAATTATTTGTTGCAGGTCATGAACATTACATCTAGTGGGTAATGTAGGGTTATGAACATAAGTGCATAACGATCGATACATATAATATATGATCCGATTCTATTCACAGTTGGTATCTGAGGCTTTTTGGGGTTGGAGATTATGATGCGTTCGTCAAAATTGGAAAATTCAATATGACGGATATATATCTTTCGTGAAAGTTGGGTACTTAAAAAAATATGAGAACACAAAAAATACGATTTTGTAATTCGCCGAAATTAAACATTGCAAATAAATAGAAGTTTAATGAACTGAGCAAACACCCTTCTATAGATACATAGATAGAAAGAGGTAGAAAATAAAATAATAAAATGATAAAATTGTGCTGATAAATACACTTCAGTTTGGCCATCTATGAACCGGTGTTTCTTCAGGTTTTCAAACTACTATTTATTCCATACAGCTCTTCCAGTTTTTGAGATATTTTGATTGAATTTGAAACATGGTTTCGTTTCAGGTTTCACATCATTTAGTATGCGAAGTGATTGTAAGAATCTACAGGCATATATTTTCCCCACTCGATTTCAATACCTGACCTGATATAAGATGTAGAGTCTTGAAATGTTGTCGTTTTTCTTGATGATGAATTTATAATCGCTCAGAAGATCCAGGATGTTTGCAGTTGTTGAAGGCATCCATCTTCTTCGTTGGTTGTAAAACTCGTTGAAACCTTCTGGACAATGAGTGTAAGCATCTGATGCTGCTGAGTATTCCACGCGGTAGCCTCTTTGGAGTAATAAGGTACACAACCATCGGTCCTCACCTATCCCAGAGAAGAAACATTTTTAATATTTTTTTGCAAAATTTGTATATCGCTTTTTCGGAGTTGGAAACCAACTTTCCAGAAGTCTAAGCGTGTGCGTAGTTAGAAAGAGTGGGACGTTCAGCTCATAGTGAATTTGGAAAAATTTCTAGGTAGCCGATATGGGCTACCAGAAAAATCGACTAGAGTCTCGAGATCATACCCGTGTGTTCACCGAACTCGCCCGATCGTTCCCTAAGCGGTGGGGAAACGTAAACGGGCAGCAGTAACTATACGTTATGAATATTGGCGCGTGCCTGAATTATTTTGGAGTCAAATTTGTCAATTTAATGTACTTCGAAACGGAACACTAGTAGTTGTGCCTTCTTGTTTTACATATATTATAGGTAGACATCAAATCAATAAACATAGTGCTCTCGCCATCGGTATCGGAACTTCGCTATGGGAAAAATGTTGAATAACTAACTATATTGGGATGAAGAATGATCTATACATGGTGTATCTAAATAACACCGAAATAATTCAAGGGATGATTCCTTGTGATATAATATGATGAATAAAGGTCATATAAACATGTGTCCTAAACTTGCTTCGTTTTCGAGGTACAGGGTTACGTCCTGATTTCGATTCCGAAGTGATTTTCAACCTATCTTGCCTCCTAATATCATTTTCCGGAAATGTTGGTGGGTCCATGACCAGAGCAGTGTTTTTCACTGAAGATTACCTCAATTTGGTCATAGTTGGTATATATATCTATCGCTCCTTAAAATTGAACAGTTACGTTAGATATACGGGTTGATATTCCATTATAGAAGTGACATCATGCACACTGTTTATATTTTTAAATACATCCAGTGGGATTGAATTTCATTTCATGTTGAATATTAGAGTGTGTTTTTTAATGTGATATATTTGTTTTGTTTATTTCATATATATATATATATATTTTTAGTAGGCATACTAGTACTTCTTTTATATAATTCTGAAATCTGATCCACCCTGTATTTGTTTCAATTAAATGGCATCAGTAGATAGTAAAAGAATGTTAGGATAGGGACACATGTAAGCCATTTTGACAAATCAATATAGGTATTGTATAGTTTCGATACAAAAAATCTCGATTTTTCACATTCTATACGTATAGGTATACCTTGAGCTTGATCAACGAACGAAATCATAGCTCTATTAGAAGAATCGAAAAATGTAATAAAATATAAAGTGTTCCATTTTGAATAACAAAGCTGCTACTACTATACTACTAAGTACTACATAACTATACTAATAATAATTTCTAGTGAAGCATATGAACATTATCGAAAATAATTTGAATAAAACGAGCGTCCTCGCCAATAAAACATAAGCATAATATAATATGTACATATAGTTTCATGATTTTCGATGAGTGGTTCGCTATTTACATGTAGGACTCGTCGTGACATAGCGAATTATTGCAAATCAAAGCATCGCTTTCATTATCTGATAGGTCGCAGTAGATCACTTGATGCCTATCAAATGTTTCTTATTTATTCGAAAAAAAAAAAGTTGAAATGTGATCAAGAAAACTGTTGGTGGCCCACCCCGTACTGCAAAAACAGAGACAGCATGAGAGAAGCTGCCTGTCCACTCATTGTATCATGACTGCAGGCTTACGTCTCGGTCTCCCCACCGCTTAGGTAACGATCGAGCGTGTTCGGTGAACACACGGGTATGATCTCGAGACTCTTATGAAAAATCGAGAGAAAAATGTCATGCAAACCATCTATTGAAATAACATCTCCGAAATTGTACCTCATGTAATGTGAGACAAGTACCTACCTATCGAAATTGAAGCAGAAGAGTCCTACAAGAATCTATACCGTAAAACTTCCCCGACTTGGAACGTTTTCGTCAGAATATTGGTCCTGAACCGTCGAATACGTTAATTGGGTGCAAAAAAACAAAAATACATTACTTTCGGCCAAAAGTAATATATGGCAGGCATTGACGAAATTCAATGCCTAGTGGCCAATTTTTGTGAAAAAAAATTCTTCACCGAAGACATTCATAGGGCATCCTCCGAAATGGTAACAAACCCAGTTTGTCAAAGGATTTTATTTTCAATATTACCTTGATCATATTGTACGTAATGTCTAGCCTCTGATGGCACAGTGGTGTACTTCGCCATGACGTTGTCGTCCATCAAAGCTCCAGCTCTGAAGAGGGAGAAACATCCAGGGCTACACAAGACGCAGCCTATGACGTGTTCTGTAGCCTTCTGTAGCCAATGCCCAACGGCATATTCGAACACTTGGTACCAAGCCATGGCTCCAGAACCTGTGAAATAAAATACAGGAGAGTAGATAAGATTCGCCGGTTCTGGCTCTCCGTCCAAGGTCACTGTCCTCTGACCTTGGGTGGAGTGACCTTGGACAGGAGCGACCTTAGGCGGGAGTGACATTGGACATAGTGACCTTGGGCGGAATGTATTCGTATAGCGAAGTTTCGACAGTGCGACCTTGAACGAATGTTATCTCGGGGAAGGGGGGGGGCGAGATAGAGTGACCTTGAAGATCGGTTATACGAGTAACTTCTGCATGTTCTTGGGAATGAGTGACCTTGAGTTATAGAGAGATCTGGACCTTGAAGAGAGGTGGCAGCGTTTGCGACCTTGAAAATGGGAGTAAGCTGGTCGAGGTCGTTTTGGTAGAAGTGGGGTGCTGTGTTTCGTCATGACTCCCAATAGCTGTGTCAATCAGAGCACAGTTTTCTCTCAATGTAGTGGATCAGAGTAAAGGGTTAACTTCTGAGCTTCATTATTAATTATCTTTCTGAATATCTGTACTTCTTTGAAGAGGTTGGTGTAGACTTTCTGAGGTTCTGTAATTCCTCTATAAAATCTTGTCTGAAAAATCGATCTATGTTATTATCTGGCCGTATCAGTTTGAACCTCTAACTAGTGCAAGCCTCACACTTGAAGAGTATAATATAAGAGGCTGATTCTTATTTATTTTATCGCATGTAATTTGCATTTTGGGATCATAACACCAATTAATGTGCGCCTATGATGTGTAGATGTTCAATTTGGTGGCAGTAACAGGTTCAGTTACAGATAAATGCTTTATGCATATTATACATTTCATCTAACGCAGAAATTTCATCTTTGGGAACATAACATCTCTATTTTTGGGTGTATGATAAATTGACATTCATCATACAGGGCGTGGAAATGAATTCTGAATTGAGACTCTATCACGAATCTGCGATTAGAGGTCTATAAAAATCACAAATTTCCATCATTCAAGTTTGAACCCCCTGATTGGGTATGAAAGTGTTGAAAAGGAATATTCTCAGATAAATTATGAACATACAAAAAATGGATATACATTTATATAAAGCAATACATTGAGAATTCGCATTCTCTATGTGATGAGAATATTTACTCTTTTTCAGTTAATTCAATAGAAAACAACTACTTTCCTGGCTATATGCCACGACGAACATTGAATTATATCTATTGAACACACACGATAAGAGTTTGAAAATAAAATATAAAAATGTCTGAAATTGAGAATTTGCATTCTCCTTCAGACAAAAAATATGTATATACACACATCATTCTGAATATTCAACAGAAAACAACTACTTTCCTGGCTATTTGCCACGTCGAACATTGAATTATATCTGATGAACATTCAAAAGGGGAACATGAAAAATAAAGAATAAAATCCTCCGAAATTGAGAATTGACATTCTTCTTCAAATCGAATGAATAATATGATGAATAATGATCTAGAAATATGACTTACCAATATATTCAGCATTGAAATGAAAATTGGAATGTATAGGAGAAGTATACTGGCATGAACTCTGATCTTGATGAGCTTGAAAACGTCCAAAAATAATCATTCATATCAGTGATATGGGAAATATTATCTCTCACACACAGGTTATATGACTTTATTGCAATGAACCCATTTCGGATCTCTGAATCCTCATCAGTAACCATGATGTCCACTTATTCTTACAGCCATTCTTCATGATATACACAATTTTCATCTCTCTATAATACCACTAAAACCGAGTAAAACTATAACAAAATGACATCTGAGAAATTTGTTGACATTCTATTCCTGTCATTTGGACGTTTTTGCTTTTGGGTGTATGATAAATTGACATTCATCATCCAGGGCGTGGAAATGACAGGAATAGAATGTCAACAAATTTCTCAGATGTCATTTTGTTATAGTTTTACTCGGTTTTAGTGGTATTATAGAGAGATGAAAATTGTGTATATCATGAAGAATGGCTGTAAGAATAAGTGGACATCATGGTTACTGATGAGGATTCAGAGATCCGAAATGGGTTCATTGCAATAAAGTCATATAACCTGTGTGTGAGAGATAATATTTCCCATATCACTGATATGAATGATTATTTTTGGACGTTTTCAAGCTCATCAAGATCAGAGTTCATGCCAGTATACTTCTCCTATACATTCCAATTTTCATTTCAATGCTGAATATATTGGTAAGTCATATTTCTAGATCATTATTCATCATATTATTCATTCGATTTGAAGAAGAATGTCAATTCTCAATTTCGGAGGATTTTATTCTTTATTTTTCATGTTCCCCTTTTGAATGTTCATCAGATATAATTCAATGTTCGACGTGGCAAATAGCCAGGAAAGTAGTTGTTTTCTGTTGAATATTTAGAATGATGTGTGTATATACATATTTTTTGTCTGAAGGAGAATGCAAATTCTCAATTTTAGACATTTTTATATTTTATTTTCAAACTCTTATCGTGTGTGTTCAATAGATATAATTCAATGTTCGTCGTGGCATATAGCCAGGAAAGTAGTTGTTTTCTATTGAATTAACTGAAAAAGAGTAAATATTCTCATCACATAGAGAATGCGAATTCTCAATGTATTGCTTTATATAAATATATGTATATCCATTTTTTGTATGTTCATAATTTATCTGAGAATATTCCTTTTCAACAATAACATCTCTACTCTTTCATTGTCATTTCGTGAATGAATCGAATGAGTTCTCATTACCTATAGGATGGATTCTGCCACAGGCAGCTCCCAAACTTTGGTTCTTCTTCATATAGTCTACAAGAAGATGTACTGCCTGAGGTTTGAAGTCGATATCACCATCGAGCGCAAGTATGTATGTGTTCCTCGAGAGATTTTTTATTCTGTCTGCAGTCAAATCATCATTGTCCATTATCCTGAAAAAAATCGTTGAATACAGGTTCGCAGGTAACGATTTAGAAGACTGTAACCAGCAAACAATTTTGGTCGGCTTTATGCTGGCCTATAATATGCTGGCCAGAACTGGCCAGAACGACAAAATTCCTGTGAACATTGATGGGCTAATACCAATAGGAGACTCTGACCGTCATCAGGGCCAGTAAAAAAATATGACCGCCACGGGATTCGAACCCTGGTCCTCCGCTATCACTTGGTTACAAATCGAACTCATATTCCAACTGACCTACTACATCTTCATTGAAATGATATGTGTGTACCGGATTTGATTACTTTCATGATAATATTTGTATGCTAAAGGACAGAATAGCGCAGTAGTTTAGCGCTCGACTAGCAATAAGAACGCGAAAAGGTTGCTAGGTTCTATTACTGGCAGAGCAAAGAACTTCTATTTATAAAACGAGTTATAAATTCTAATTTTCGTAGCCTTGGCCATAGATGATTCCGCACGATTCGCTGTTGCCTTCCAATTAACAGTGCTGCTCCTAAGGTGGCATATAGAGTTAGTAACAAAGCCTAAACAAAACACACATGAGCTGAAGGACCTCTCGTAAGGTGAATGGACAGTTGGTATGTACATACATGCCAACGAAGTACATATTATACTTACTTACTTGCCTCATTTAAATGCAATGAATGCACATTAGTAGTAAGTATAGTAGTATATGTACAGGGTGATTGACTATGGATTTCTCGACTTCAACAGCTGATATCTCGAAAACGAAAAAAGATATTTGAAATTTAGAAAAAGTTACTTGAATGAGATGTCCTTTCCTTCTGGAAAATGTGTTTTCTGCTTGATTTTATCATTTCATATACAGGGTTCGTGAAAAAAAATTTTTTTTTCAAATGGATCCCCCTGTATATTATCGCATATTTGGAAAGAGCTATCTCTCCTGATTTTGAAAATATATACTTTTCATATATTCTATCGAGTGCTTGACGAAATATCAGCAAAATTAAATATCAATATTTGGTCCAAGTTAGCTATGGTTGAAATAGAATGAGAATTATGATGATGAATAAGTGAATTGACATTTGGTCAACATTCCAGTGACATAAGTGCGCAAAATGTCGACAATTTTTTCACGATGCCATATCCACTGGAACAAAGAAGAGATATTTTGGAGTGCTATTTTTCAGTTAATAAAAATCTTGCTGAAATACTTCATAAGTTTATGAGGAGTTATCCAGGCAGGAGATTACCAAGTAAGAATTATGTAAAGTATTTGGCTGCTAAATTTGACAGAACTTCCAGTTTGTCGAATATCAAAAGAATAGTGAGAAGGCAAGACAACGAAGACGAGGAACTTCTTGTAATCCAGTATTTTGTTGAGGATCCTTCACGGTCAATAAGAAATGCAGTGAGAGAGTTTCAGCTATTATTTTGTTCAACATACCTTAAAGAAATATAAATATAGGGATTTCAGAATTAGACCATGCCACAAACTCAATTATGATGATAATGAGAAGCGGATTGAATTTTGTCTTGTCATATCTGAAAGATTAAATATAAGTAAGTATAAGTGTAAGTGTTTCAGCAAGATTTTTATTAACTGAAAAATAGCACTCCAAAATATTTCTTCTTTGTTCCAGTGGATATGGCATCGTGAAAAAAATTGTCGAAATTTTGCGCACTTATGTCACTGGAATGTTGGCCAAATGTCAATTCACTTATTCATCATCTCATTCTATTTCAACCATAGCTAACTTGGACCAAATATTAATATTTAATTTTGCTGATATTTCGTCAAGCCCTCGATAGAATATATGAAGAGTATATATCTTCGAAATCAGAAAAGATAGCTCTTTCGAAATATGCGATAATATACAGGGGGTTCCATTTGAAAAAAAAAATTTTTTCACGAACCCTGTATATGAAATGATAAAATCAAGCAGAGAACACATTTTCTAGAAGGAAATTACATCTCATTCAAGTACCTTTTTCCAAATTTTGAATATCTTTTTTCGTTTTCGAGATATCAGCTGTTGAAGTCGAGAAATCCATAGTCAATCACCCTGTACTTTATTTATTGTTCATTGAGGAGCTAGCTTTGAGTCAGAAATGGAATTCTGATATGAGGAAGTTGATTACAAAAAACAATAATGAAATAATATAAGGTGACAACAACAACAAGAAAAAATCTGAAAAATCTAAAAATGCTAAATCGATCAAGTCATGAAAATAGCCACATGTGTTTTTTCAATTCAATTTCAAATTTTGAAATGTCCCTGCAATTTTTTATATTATGTGGTAATTTATTGATTTCAGCTATGGTAAAGGTAGATCCCGATTTGGATACAATTGTCTGAGTACATTGATGGTAGTTTGACCGAGGAAGTTCACATGCTTTGTGAAACGAAGCTAAAAATCGAGCCACATACCTAGATTTTTCATTTCGGAAACTACAGGTGGTATATCATCGTTAATTCGAATGTCCAGCAAATTTTGAGTTTCTTTTCTAAATTTTTCAGGTCCAAATAACAATACTGCGGATTTTTTAGAGTTGAGTTTCAACTTATGTGCAAAAGAAATATCGAATAACGCTTGCAGATCGCGAATAATGGCAAGCTGAAAATATATCTGCGTAGTGGTGAATATTGCTCACTTTGATTGATTGGTGGAAATCGCATATGTAGAGACTAAAAAGTAACGGTCCAAGGATTGAGCCCTGTGGGACGCCTTTGGAGAGAAGTAAATCTTCTGAGAAGATACCATCGGACCCTCTGTGACCTGTTATTGCGTCCACAGAGAAGACGTAAAAACTAAGTTTATTGCATAAAATTTCATGATCGAGAGTGTCGAAGGCTTTACTGTAGTCTAGTAAAACCAATTCATCAGCTGCACTGAAGATATATCATCAGGTATGGACTAGAGAGCAGTTGTTGTGCTGTGTTAAGCTCTAAAGCCAGATTGCACAGATGTGATACTATCGCGTTGATTTACAAACGAGACCATCTGATCCTTCAATATCATTTCGACAACTTTCGATAGGCAAGGCAAAATGGTGATTGGTCTGAGGTCAGAAAAGTCAGAAGGTGAATTGCACTCAGCAGCTAGAGGGATGACAACGCCATTTTCCAGCACTTATTTTTTCCGAAAATTGTAATCTGATCTGCGGTCAGAAAATATTCAAGGTGGTAAGTTTTGAAATGAACACCCTGTATATATTTCAACTATCTTTGTATGCATACTATGGTCACTTACTTGAATCCAAGAAGATAATACATATACATGACCTGGGACCAACGTTTCTTCGGTCTAATTTTGGCCTTGTCTTTCAGATGAGCGATCATTTTTGTTTTTCCTGGCAGCGTCCACTCCAACCGTCCCCCATAGGGTGTGGGGTATATCAAGGGAGTCTCAATCTTCACGTTGGTCTCATGGACCTCGCTGGCAGCCTTACTGACTGTGGCTATAAGGTCCAGCACGAAGGAGTTCAGGTGGGGATCTTTGTCATCTTGACTCACTCTGATGAAAGCGTCATCGAAAAAGATGTGGGCTGGAATGACAAATGTTGGTGTTTTGAAACTTTGTAGGTTTATAGATTTGGAGATCAAGAACTGAGATTCACGAAATGCACATTCCGAGACATGTCGCCAGCCTCACCATCTTGCCAAGATGGCGGCCAAAAACAGTTTTTTTGCGGATACCTAGAAAATTGTGCGTATGTTGAAAGAAGAATTAAAGAACCAGAGACGCTTTTTATGCGCATTTGATTTACGCAAATCCAAATTTTATACCCTAACACTATTTTTTTCGTTGGCTCAAGAGTTTTAGATGACTGTACATTCACTATAATAATCAATTTTTACGGACTATGATATTCATTACTAAACTGCTCCACATTTGAAGTGAGACAAGCGAACATTTTGTTTGTTTTCGAACCGTGATAACTTTGGATGAGATCAACCGATCTTTGATTAGTTTTGAGATTGTGATTGCCCAGTTGATTGGCTATAACATATTTTTTTTACGTTTCTCCACCATTTCGGAATTATGACCTACAGGATGATATCTGAAAGTGTGATAATTTCCGAAAAGTTTGAGGTCGCCCCGTTAGCAGGATAATTTTTTTAACATTTTTCTGACGGCAAAAACATGAACCCTAATGTGTTTCCTCGAAATGGTTTCGGATTCATCAAGATCCATACAGGATGTTTTGAGATATGCAATATCATGGATTAGCAAAAGTGATTTCGTGATTGAACGAAAAACCTTCAGGGTTAGTTCGCAGGGAGGAATAAAGTGAATGTGGAGTGTGGTTATTTTATGAATAAAATTGTCGAAGCTAGGATGCTTTTTTTCAGTGGATATAGAGAATGAGAATTGATGAACATATACCACGAAGAGAATACAGATAATACGCAACACAATATTTTTTTAATAAAGAAAAATTAACAACGGCAGATGTGGTCGATTATCAATATTTTGTTACACCACCCCTGGCCGCTGCGAGAGCCCTAACTCTTCTCGGCATACTTGTTATCAAGCCATCAATGAAATCTTGGGGAATAGCTGTCCATTCTTCCACTATCGCATCTTCCAGTTGTTGAATATTCATCATTTCACCTTCTCTTCTCTTCAAACATAATTTTAACCTAGCCCATACATGTTCTATTGGGTTCATGTCTGGAGATACGGGTGGCCATTCCATTCTTTCAATATTATGTTGTCTCAGAACTTCGGTTACAATTCTCGCACGATGTGGTCGTGCATTATCATCGACCAGTACGAAATTGTCTCCAAAGTTTTGAGCAACTGGTATAACAACATCTCTTATACACATGTCACGATATCGAACAGCATTCATACTTTCCCTCAAAATAACCAACGTGGTGCGATGATTCATCATGATACCGCCCCATATCGGAACACCCCCACCCCCAAATGCCACCCGCGCCTCCATGTTTTCCTCCAGAAACCTCTCACCCCGTTCTCGCCATACTAAAATCCTTCCATCTGATCTGAACATATTACACCTACTCTCATCAACGAATAAACATCTCCTCCAATCAGCTATTCCCCAGTTCAAATGGTTCTGAGCCCAAAGTCTTCGAGCTATCCTGTGGTTCAGCTTTAACAAAGTACAAGATGCCCTCCTTCTCGCTCTCAGATTGCGCTCATGAAGCCTTCTTCTGATTGTCTCATCTGAGACAACAACTCCTGTTGCATTTCTTAGTGCACAGTTCAGTTGTCCAGCAGTCTGTGTTCGAAGACGACGTACCGAAGTAACTAAGAAATTATCATTTCTATCTGAAGTCTTCCGTTGTCGTCCACCTCCGTGACGATAATTAGGATCTCCTGTTCGATCGTGACGACGGATTGCCCTGTATATTGAAGCTCTTGATGTATCGAAATACTGTCCAATGTCTTCAACATTCAAACCACCATCTCTCATTCTGAGAACCATTTGTAATTGTTCATTAGTTAGTCGTGGCATATTTTATTACAATAATCAAATGTTTGACAATTTCTGATTATTTCCCAGACAACATATTATACCGAGGGGTTAACCAATGAATTTAAGGTATTCAAAAAATTCGAATAGCCATTATGTTGTTCAAAATTGCATATCTCAAAACATCCTGTATGGATCTTGATGAATCCGAAACCATTTCGAGGAAACACATTAGGCTTCATGTTTTTGCCGTCAGAAAAATTTTAAAAAAATTATCCTGCTAACGGGGCGACCTCAAACTTTTCGGAAAGTATCACACTTTCAGATATCATCCTGTAGGTCATAATTCCGAAATGGTGGAGAAACGTAAAAAAAATATGTTATAGCCAATCAACTGGGCAATCACAATCTCAAAACTAATCAAAGATCGGTTGATCTCATCCAAAGTTATCACGGTTCGAAAACAAACAAAATGTTCGCTTGTCTCACTTCAAATGTGGAGCAGTTTATTACGATTTATCGAATATGAAAGAAGTTATAATGCAGAAAAGATCTGAAAATTATAATCTCGAAGCCAATTATCTAACGAACTGAGTATTATTGTAACTTCTGAGGTAAGTTTGCATAATCAATTTGATTTGATCTGAAGAGTATGAGGTACGTTTTTGTAGACCTTCCTTTTAGGAAAACCTTTAGACTATCTTTTAGTATTTCCTCAAATTCGATGGTGAGGTATAGATCTGACCTAGAAAGAGTATCGTACAAATGGCAACATTTACAGTTCTTTACAGTTTACAGTTTACAACTCATACCCACTTTCGAATTCGTAGTAACCAGGTAAGTAGTACTGTAAGTAAGTTCTGGTTATTTTATGGGCACATTGATCCTCATCCATCCTGAAGATTGACTTCAAGAATTCCATCATTTCTTCTTTGGTTTCGTGCCACATTGTTCCACAAGCATAAATGCGAGTAATGGAGTCTTCGTCGGTTTTTGTTTCAACTGGAAAAGATCAAATAAATAGAGACTGGTTGAAACAATTTCTGACAGCATCATGTTTTTATTCGGTATCAGATTATATAGAGACCCCTCTGTCATATGATCATCTTCACTGACCACAAAATATTCCTGAAAATATCTCCTGAAACTAGTCTGTGTATAATTTGTATGGTATTGTCTTTTTGACTGTATTTTTATTTATTTTTCTTGTTTGTACATTATTAAATAACTTATTGATATTTCATACTTTATGAGTAACTCAGGAATCGACTTTTTCATTCTGACTTGCTGCAAAATGTTTATCCATTAATGTGGTGGAAGAGAGTATGTCTAATAAAGTATGTCCATGTGTATTACAATGATAGATAATGGGAGAAATATTACATCCTCCGAATGAACGAATACTGATGCAAATGTTTCTTTCCTGAATGCCTATTGATTTCGATTCAGTCAGGTTAACGCTCGACACCTACAGAACAGTTTTGAGCTGATTGGCCCTCATCATTGTAGGGTAGTCTCCAGCTAGCAGTCCAAAGACCGCCAGCAAAGCGTAACCTAGCCCAACAAAAATCAGGTCAGCATATTATACCCTCAGAGGAATCTCAGATAGACAATATGAGTGTAACGCCATCTGAGTAGGAAGATCGGAAAGAAACACTCCGAAACTGTAGTTTCCATATCGGCGAGATGTGTGATTGGAGAATTCAAAATGCTCAAAATGGAATGAAATGTTTATTCATAGTCATTTCCACAAATGGTCATAAAATAAACAACAATGGTAGAGGAAAACAACCGCTCTCCTTACTAATGCCACGCAGAACATTTAATTCAAGTAGTTGTTTTTCTCCCGTTATCTACCATAGTTGTTCATTTTATGAACATTTGTGGACATTGCTTTGAATCTATTTATTCAACATTTCATCCCACTTTAAACATTTTGGCATGTTCATAGTTGAAAAATATCAGTTCACTAGAAAATACAGTTGTAGAAGCACCAAGTTTTATTGGTTGATTGTTCGTGAACATGCGAGTACGGGGAAGGAGTGGTATACATGTTGGAATACGAATAATTCTTAGCCTATCAAACAATCAGGATTCTATGAACTGGTTTTGGACTCTTTTCAAAATCGTACAGAGATCCCAGCGAGCACAAAAACATCTCAGAGATGTTAAAAGTACGAGATTTCGAGACATTGAACCTCCACTGCGATGTTTTGTTCACACATGAATAGAACCATTATAGAACAGCCAATGTCCGCCGCAGGCGGCAATTATCGAGATGTCCTTGATATGTCACAAAACTACCTTCTCCCTAGTTCTTGAAAAGGCTTTTCATGGACACAACAGAACATTTTCAACGCGTCTTGCATACACCAAACCGCTGTAAAAAAACATTTTCGAGGTACTTTTCTGAAGCCTTTTGTCAAAATGAACTTTTGCATTAGGATTCCATTTCCCTTGAATGGAGAATTGCATTAAAAATAGATTGAACATACAAATATTTTCTTGATATGAAATTACCTTCTTAATCGGTTTCTGTGTAGTGCTTACTACACACAGATATATATAATTGGAAATAGGTTTCCCAATTTTTTAAATGTTCTCCACTATGCATTATTTTGCAACTGCGGAGAAGCTGTGTTTTGATGAATTCGTACTTTTATATATTGATTACACTGAGGCACCGAACAACACATCTTGCATCTGATGCTCATTATTACAAACTAAATAAGTCTTCTAACACAATAAACTTCACCAAATTCCATTCTGTTCGTTAGCAGCGTGATGTAAGCGTGACACGCTGCAAACGCGAATGCCAATTGCGAACAAGAAGAACAAAATCGAAAACAAATCAGAATTCATCGTATTGTGACGTAAGCATGAGACGTCGTGGTGGGCCAAACAAAGAAAGGGCAGAAAAGAACAAAAACAATACTCCCAATATCCTTCTAAGACCTCTTTGGAAAGTGCATATTACGCCACAAAAAAACATCCTCTTGCCTACATTTCTAAAACATCCCAAAACATTCCAGGGATACCTCTCAGTAGGCAAACAAAGAAATGCCACAGAAGAACAAAAACAATACTTCAATATCCTTCAAACACCTCTTTGGTCAGTGCATATTACGTCTCAAAATAACATCTTCATGCCAACATTTTCAAAACAGCCCAAAACATCCCAGGGATGTTTGTGCTCGCTGGGATAGGTGGCAATACAGAGACATATGATCTCTATCGGAAGATAATAATATATAATAATATGAACCACCACATCGAAGCTATGGTTCATCAGATATCATTTATCAATCAGAGCGGAATATTCTCGAATATATTGGTACTCTGCCACCAACTTAGATCGATTCGAATCGCGGCCCATTTGGATATTTGCGAAGGGACCACTTAACCCTTCTATTTGCATTTTGTTTCAACTGGTTATCACGTGACGGAAGGATTTTCGGACTAACGGCAGCAATAAAATTCCTGTGCCTCTCGTTTCTCATACTCACTGTCTCTTTTCTGTTTGAATTTCTTGACACCATCCTTCTGTTTTCTCCTGTTCATCGTGATAGATTGATCGATCAAGAAGGCATCGTACATCGGCCGGAAGAACAGCAACTCGGTCGAAGTCAGCTTGTCGTCAGCATCGTTCCAAACGTGCAGCGTTATCCAAGTCTGCGACAAGAGCCAAATGAGCCAGACCCAGGCGTATTGGTGGCCAATAAACTCGTTCAAGTAAGAGAGACTGGGAACAGTGAAGAAAAGGTGCGGAGGAATGGAGTCAGCGTAGGCACACTCGTCCTTGACGTAGTTCCCGCACATCACTATCAATCCTGTTAGTAGCACTGGCACTGTGAGGTTTGCCGGTAGAGCGAAGCCGAAGGTTTGTATCAGTATTTTGCAGGAGAATTTCCCGAAGGCGTAGCAAATGTAGGTGGACGAGATGTTAATGAACCATACTATCAGAGGGATCCAAATGGTGACTTTTTCAGATTTTCCGTTGCCTGTGGCTACCGCTTCTTCGTAGAAGCTTATCGTACCTACGATTGGTTCAATCTAAAAAAAAACAGGTTTTGTTGGCATTCAAGAGCATTAGTAGATAGGTGAAGGGAGTTCTAGAACAATATTTCAAGCATTTTTGAAGAATTGAACTATTCAGAAATTTTTTGTGACAATTTTCGCAAGAATTTCGTAATCTTTTTGGGAAAATATCCATTAACAACACTTTTGAATGCTATAATTATTTTATAACTTGAATAATGATAACATTCTATTGCTATATGCATCATCATAGGCATTGCTCACCTCGGTTACATTGATGTATCGTGTACTGAACGCATCAACGAATTTGTCGAACAAAAAGTATACACTGCCTTCTCTCATCCAAAATATTATCAAGGTAGTCATGAAAAAAGCGAAACATTTCATTGGAGCTATTATGGAATACATGAAATACGTCTTGGTTTGGAATTCCTTTCTGCTTTCTCCCAATTCTTTGATCAATTTGATATTTGACTTATCCGACACGTAATTCTCCCACCATCCAGTAGAAATCAGGAACAGTGATAAAGGCAGTATGAGGTAGAGAACAGTTTTGTTTTCTACTGCTGGCCAAGCAAAGAAAGCGGTGAGTTGACAGGTTATGGCTACGATGTCCACTATTTGACTCATTGACCTGTTTAGTTTGATTGGCCAGGAAAATCTGGTGCAAAACACTGAAAACAATAAAACATCTGACATGATTCAATAAATGAGGATGTGAATTAGCTATGTCACCTCCATTGAATGAATGAATGAAAATAAAAATGAGATGAAAATGAACATATTGACATCAGCTCCCTAGTTAACCACAATTGCCTCAGCTTTAGCACAAGTGAGATTATAGTCGAATAACTTTGTTTAATCATACATCTTAGGCAGCATAATGAACGAGATCAACCAGAGAACTTTTTTCCGTTATAATGTCCTGAGAATATTATAAAGGAACTTGTTTGTTACCGAAGGAATTGAAATCCAGCTGGGATTAAACTGCTGGATCAAATGTGATGAAACATGTGATGTCAGAGGGAACATTTGATATCTCATCCGAGGCAGACATTCATCTATAATATTTCTCTGATTGAAACATCTCAGTGATGAAACATATGGAATATTCGTGAAGAAGCTGTTGCATAATCTGGTCAATTCAAGATTATATAGATTATTGATTGTCATACTCACATAATATACCAGGTACTAAACAAACCGCGTTCGTCAACATCGAACCTTTCAGGACGTCTAGTTCAGGCAGTACCACAAAGACCAGTAGGGCACTGCCTATTGCAGGTGCTAGTTCTGATATGGCTAGTACGAAGAACTCCCATGGACTAGGACGTTTCCAAGATTTGAAGAAAACGATTCTGACAGATCTGGCAAATGTTCCCAATTCGGGAACAAGGTAAGAAAAAATTATCATCCATATCCAAAGGGTGCGTTCTTCCTCAGGAAGAGTCACCACGAATTGTTCTGTTTGATCTGGAAAAAAAGTTACAAATACCGATTCTTTCATGATTTTTCAGACAAAAATAGGCAATTTGAGAAGATTATCACAATTATCAAAAACAATAATTAGAATTTTAGAACTTAGAGCTGCATGCAGTGAATATGCTATGCTAAATTCCTATAGTAATGTTTTCCCAGATTCTACAGTGTTGCATGAAGAAAAGTCCCATAAGTGCCTATGTGAAGCAAAGCAGATTTTTCTCCAGATCTACGGACTTTTTCCGTGAATTTGAAGGTCCAAAATAACAAAAATGTTTCACTTCAAGGTCATCCGTCTCCGACGAGCAGGTTACCTTCAAGCTAGCTACTCGCAAGGTGATAGTTGAGGTCAATAACAAGATGAATGTTAATATACAGGGTTTTTGAGTTGAATAACGGGTAGACCGCCCCACTTTAGACTTGAAAATCCGTGACGCAGAACATTCAGCAGATCACAGCTAACGTATCATGTATGGCAGATAAAAGTAATGTCCCCTGTTCGATTAGAACTGCAAAAATATATTTGCCATCTACATAGAAAATGCGTAAACATGTTCTTATGTCGTTTCACGAGTTTTGGTGAAGAGTTGTTAGACGTATTTCATGGTTGATGATGAAAGGATATGCTGACTTTACATTCGATGAGCATCATCAACGGCAATCTGTCAACGTCATATGTCATACGTGATACGTTAGTTGTTATTTGCTGAATGTTCTGAGTCCCAGATTTTCGAGTCTAAAGTGGAGCGGTCTACCCCTGAGTCGACCTGCATATTTTTCAATTTGTATTCAACTCAAACACCCTCTGTATTCAATGATTCATCTTTTTATTGAACTCAATCATTGCAGCTTGCGGGTAGCCAGTGTGATGTAGAATTCCAACCATATTCCCAACGGGATGAGTATTCGATCCTCAGACAGAATATTATAATCCAATGGTAAGCTAGTACCGAGAGCTACGAGTTAAGGTATGTTAATGCTTGTACGAATTCCGCAAAGTTTATGCGATCGCAAAATATGAAATTCCCAACAGAATTCGACGTTCATACTCATGCGACAAAATTTGCAGGAGATAGGGTTCTGTTATCATTTTTAATTCATTTATTTCTGGTCCCACTATTGATAGAAGTTCATCAAATCAAAGGCACGTTACACCAAAGTAATTGAAATATTTTTTTGGGTCAGTCGTTTTTATCGAACGAGGCTGTAATGATCTCCATACATTTTTCGGCATATAAATGTGCTTCGAACACCACAGCTACTTTTTTTGCGTCTGGATACATCATTAGCTGTATAGAGATGATACAATAAATGATACATTGAAATCAATTCCTCCAGAGAATTCATCCTGTGAAGAAAACTCAACCGAATGAAGAAATTATGGTATTTAAACCTAATTATAATTGAAGGGGCAAGTGGACGAAGGAGTTATGTTACAAATATGAGTTTGTGAGAAAAATAGGTTTTAGTAGAGTTAGCTGGCATTTTTTAATGAAAGCGAGTTTAATAATTCGATTTATGCAATTGTGAGGAATAGTTTCAGGTTGTTTTTTTTAATGATTTTTCGCATTTTTCTATCATATCATTTTTTGATATACCATATGATTCATGCGTACATAACCCCTTTTTCCACTTCCTGACATGTAAATAATGGGCACATACCTCCTTCTTCCATTGTGTTCTTGATGTTTAGTGTAACATAGCTCCTTTCTGCCAATGTGTATCTACTCAGATATGAAGAATAGAAACAAATCCTGACAGGGCAAGTTACATATGCATGTAACACCTTCTTCCAAGACATAACCGAATATTTTCAAAAAATGTTACTTGACCCCTTCATCCACTTGCCCCTTCAATTCTGTCTAGTCTCGGCTTTTTTCGGCCTCCTGACATGTAAATAATGGGCACATAGCTCCTTCTTCCATTGTGTTCTTGATGTTTAGTGTAACATAGCCCCTTCTGCCACTGTGTATCTACTCAGATATGAAGAATAGAAACAAATCCTGACAGGGCAAGTTACAATTATGCATGTAACACTTTCTTCCAAGACATAACCGAATATTTTCAAAAAATGTCTAGCGTCTCGGCTTTTTTCGGCCTCTGCTGTCTGCTCCCTGATTCCCCAATATTGATGTTATCAAAATAACAAAACATTTTATACATACTGTGTAGTTATGATTCCATCCGAATTCGCATAAATTTTGCGGAATTGGTACAAGCATGAACATACCTTTAGACTTGAGTTATTGCAACAACCACATAGTGAACATTCTTAACCCTGTGGTACTAACATGATTTTAATAACATCAGTACTAACATCGGTCTGTGATACTGGATGCGAGAAATGCTATTTCATTTGTCATGTCGTACTTAGAAAGTGATTTTATTCATAAAAATGCATTATGTTAGTACTCTTTTCATTATCATTTCACAGTATTTATAAAGAGAATAAGCATTAGGCGAAATCTTCTTCGGAGTCACCAAAGTTGTCTTTACCAGTGAAAAAGGGCTATACTTGGCGTTTTGGTTAAAAATATGGTCTCGATGTGCAGTAATGCGTGTTCTAAGTTTGGTTCCAATTCAGACCTCTTTTCGAGATCTTCTACTGACTCTGGATCTAACTCTTGATCCAACTAATCTTCTGAGCGCTTTTCAACATAATCTTCCTCACTCGAGTCTAGTAGGTCTGCCACCAAAAATGCTATTACATACTTTCCACTAAGGCGATTGCTCCGTAACTGAATGAAATCAAGATAGCTAGCCGCCCAACCGAATCGAATTGCGCTGCGCAATAATATGGTGAGAATAGTGGGGGCTCAGGTTCTCAGACGGCATGTTAGTACTGAAGGGTTGGGAATTGAGTACGAGTCGTTACGTGTTTGATCATTAGGGAAATACAATCTCAGGTACTTACAGATATGTCTGTTTTTGTTGCAGTATGGCCGTGTCACGTTACTTTTGACTTGTGAAATCATGAATAGTAAAGTGCCTTTTGAGATGACTGCAGAACCAAGAACTACAAGGAAGGTGACAATGACAGTCACCACTTTCAACAATTTTATTCCCAAATTTATGAATACTGATTCAGCAGCAGAACCTGAAATCGTCTTCCTCGGCTCGTTGACGAACAGATTCCACATATACCTTTCCTCTTTCCTGAAAGTATTTAGTACACATTATAATTCTGAAATAACATCAAATAGTATAATTGGCCTCATATACATAGGAACTTTTCATAAGAAAGTTTCGTCATTGGGAGGGAATAGGTATGGACAACCCTAGCACAAGTATATTGTTAGAATAACAAGGAAGATACAGGGAGTTCATTAGATCTGGGTCTTCCCCCAGGCAACCAGATGACGTTTCTTTAACGTTTGTTTCACCTCGGTAGATGACTAAGGTGACGTCGTGACTAAACATCATTTGACGTGAGAATTGACGTGAATAAGTCACAGCTCAATAACGTCAAATTTCTCACGTTTGCCTACGTCAGACAGTAAACTCCTAGGCATGACGTCGAAATAAAGTTTGAATTTGGTTAAGTCCTTGATGAGGTGTTTCCTAACTTTGTATAATAGATACACCATGCACCCATACGATGATATATCATTATACGATAAGTGATGATTTATTGTAATTAACCTCATCAAATTTTATTCTTCAAACCCTATCGACTTCTGATGGAGCCTAGAATTTCCTTGAGTGTTGAATTTTCCACATTAGCAGGCGTCAGAAATACCTGTTCCTGGTGGTTCATGAGCAAAAGTATGTGTCAGTCTCCGCTAGGCACTTTTTATTTGAGGTGGTACCTCATAAGGTATCTCGTGAGAAAGGTTCTGATAAGCTTTAGCTCTGATTTGATGAGACACAGGAACTATCCTGGCTATGTTTTGCGAATGGTTGATGATCCGTTTCGCTTTTCGTTGACTTGGAGTGGCTCTCCAGTAGAAGGAGTCCTGTTAATTTCACACAGAAAGGTTCCGAACCAAAGAATGAAGACTCCGAATATTTGCTGCAAAATGAACAGTTGCTTCAATCCCCTTGATTAACATGCCCAGAATTCAACATTCGTGTGATTTTGTTGTCTTTTTCCTTCTGAAATTGACTCTGCATTGTTGGGACGTGATTGGTGAGCTCTCAGGCCCTCGTTTATCATGTCCATTCAGTACGCATCTCTGTCAGAGTAAGATCAGCTACTCATATTTGTATCTCAAATCATGTAGTCAGTATCGGCGAGATGTGAGCTAACCGAAAATATTCTGATGGCAATGCTATGATTTTGATCGAGCTTTGTTAAAAAACGTATAAACCGACGTGATTCAACGTTGTCATTACATCTATAAATGACGTGCCTATCATCGAAGTCCTGCTGATGTCATGATTATAACGTTATGAAAGCAATGTCACTGATGGGTGATGTGACGTCGAAGTACTCTTTCGTCATATGGTTGGTTGCCTGAATCGTTTATGAATATGTCTATATAGGTTATCATAGTTAATTTTTATACATGAAATCACTCACCTTCCCTCATTTTCAGAATCCAGCAAGGGTTCTTCATCACCGAACTGTCTACGATTCCTCATATTTCAAACACTAACATATGTAGAAAATTCAAATGGTACTATTTCGTTTTTGCTGAAACAATAAAAAAAAACAACATCCTATATCCCATGAGTATTCGACAGTTGAAGAATTATTCATCGATAATTATTGGCATTCCCTGATTGACATCACAAAAATATCACTACTCTTCATACATCATCAACGCCATATTGAAACTATTATATTTTCCTCAAAGATGGAAACATGCCGAAGTAGTGATGCTTAAGAAGCAGTGCCAGGGTAATGCTTTTCCGCAGATCAGTCTCCTGTGCTCTCCATCTATGATAACTGAGCGAGTGATTAAACAGAGCTTACAGGAGTTCATCGACGACAACGAGCTGATACCAGATGAGCAGTTCGGTTTCAGAACGGGCCGCTCAACTGAACAACAAGTCTTGAGACTTATTGAGAACATAATATCGTTGAGAAATGATAGAAAAAAGACCCATCTTGCCCTCCTTGACATAGCGAAAGCATTTGACAAGGTGTGGCGTGATGGTATCTTGTACAAAATGATCGATATTGGCTTCCTTGACGATTTTATTCAGTTGATGTGTTCATTTCTGAAAAGTCAAATTGATGATCAAAGGTCTGGTATCAAGCCCATTGAAGCTGGTGTTCCTCAGGGTGCAGTTTTATCGCCACTGTTGTACAGTTTATTGACTAGCGATTTGCCGAGACCAGTGATGTGCAAGATGTCGCTTTCTGCTGATGATACGGCAGTTCTTGCATATTCGACAAATTTCGAGCAAGCAGCTATGAACCTCCAAAACGCGCTGAAAAAAGATCAAATTGAATCCTGCAAAAACACAATTGGTCGCACTCGGAAGGGAGCGGAGGCCTCCCAGAACCAGAATAGTCCTTGATGGTCATGAGTTAGAGTGGTCTTCACAAGTTAAATACTTAGGTGTGTGCATTGACAAAAAGCTCACCTGGGCCCATCACATTGAACAGCAAGTTTCAGAAGCTAAACGAGCCATTGGAGCACTGTATCCATTTCTAAACAGACGAAGTAAATTGGGTTTGAGACAAAAATTGAATATTTACATCATGGCTATCAGGCCAATTTTACTGCGTATGCCTCGGTAGTCTGGAGTCACACAGCTAAATCTCATATCACCAGATTACAAACATTACAGAACGAAATTGCGAGAATGGTTACAGGATCTCCTTGGTATGTTCGGAATAACCAGATCGCCAGACATCTGAAACTCCCTTTAATCGTGTCCGCCATTAGAGAACGAAACATCAAGACTTTTGAAAAAGCTGAAGGTCATGAGAATCAGCTTCTTCTAAATGCAGTTGATTATGACGCAGGTGATCAATCAAAGTTCTAATGGAAGAGATTGTCCATAAACTAGAGAAAATATCAACATTATGACCAAATTTACGCTTCTCTAGTTTTTGATATTCATTTGTTCCGTTCGATCTTGTTCAATTCTCAGGATGTATTTCTGAAACTTATTTGGGGCAGATATGTTGTGAAATACTCAGTATATCGAACAACAATACTCTGTGCCTCATACTTTGGCAATAAATATTGGAAATCAGTTGATAAGAATCATCGATATCAGGAAACAAGTTTAAATTGAAAATTGTCATCCTGTATTTCAATTAGAGGCGAATTTTTGAAGGCGTCTCCAGTTAATATATGGCAATTCTGCAGTCTCTTTCATTTTTCCTCGTATAAACCTCATGAAAAGTTACTGTATTTATACATTTCACAAATTTCGACCATGACCGACACTATATTCCTTTTTCGGAACATAGCGATTTTCATCACGTTTAAACATATCCTTCTTCATCCCGGGAGAATCTGGACATACTTTTTATCGCACCTTGTATATCCATCGTCAAGAATGAATATGAATTTTATACTTCTGGAACTACAATCGTAATTTTTTGAATTTTATAATTTATCTTAACGAAAATGCATCATTTCAATTAAAAATGCGTACTTTCATTATGTGACCTTCGATCCAAGAAATTACAAAACCATTTCGAGGTCAGACACCAGACATCCTCATGACGAAGTAACACTCCAATATTCCACAAGTAACACAGAGAAAATTACGTTTCATCTACTGAAGACTACGTTATTTTCAATTCCATCATTCAGTATTTCTTGTATCACTTTGTATAGACTTTTTCAGAATTTTCTGTGTTCGAACACGATCACATATCCGACGACTATACACACACCGTTGATTGTTCGGAGAAAAATTCCAACTTTCCATTTCATTCCATTAATCGTCGAAAAAATGCATCATTCTGAATGAATATTCATAACACGATTATCAAAGCTCTGAATCTGAAAATTCCGAAAACGGTTCGACAGAAAGCATCAATCAAGAGGATACAGGTGAGGAAAAAAATTTAAAAAATTATCTGTTCAAACGGTGAGGTGACGACCACGATGCAATTTTACACCCATTCAATTATCACCCTGTAGCAATGTTATCTGAAATTACAGAAGTTTCATATTGCCACAACAAACTATCAAGAGATTAGGCTAATCATCGGTGGAAACCGATTTCAAATTGGTAAGGAAATTCGTGAGTTATTCTACTTTGAATTCAGGCTATATTTTGGAGCACGACGTTATCAATGTTGACCAGTTTATATATCCATTGTTTCCATATTCATAATTCATCTGGGAATATTCCTTCTCAATACTTTCATCCAATCAACTTGATAGTTTTATAGATCTTTGATCGCAGATTCGTGATTAGATTTCTCCCATTCAGAATTTCTTTCCACGTCCTGTATGATCAATATCACTTTTTCATACATCCAAAAACACAATATTATGTTGAGAATTGAAGTGAAAAAAGGGTTAGGATGTAAATTTTTGAAAATGTAATGTCATTAAGCTGTTGGATGAAAATTTGAATCGATTTGTGATAATCGTATCGTGAGTTTTTTATTTAGAATTCGAACTTTGGGAAGAGTCTGTTCCATATTTACAAAGATATATTTCCTGATTGGAGTCTATAATAGGATTGCCAATAATTAGAAGATATAGAAGATGTTATTGAAATAAATACGTGAAATTCAAACCATGAAACCGTTCAGGGTATACTTTCGAATGGTGTTCTCGATTTTTCCATTTTTTTACTACGAGGTGGAATTTCAGGTTAATTGAGAGAGAAATTATTCAATATATTGAGAATATTCGGATTGAATTTTCTTTATCAGATATCAATTATTTTTTTCATTTCAAATGCAAATAATGAAGTGAACTTACCACTATTTATGAATAATATTTTTGCACTCACATATTTAACATTATTGAGGTATCACATCCGTTTGTTTGCCAATATTGAATATGTTTCGAGGATTTGTACTAAGATTATGAATAAAATTTTTCAAATCTTCATTCAAGATAAGATTAGATAATTTAATCTACTATTGTACAAAATTTGATTGATTATTCTCGGGAAAGTAAATGCATGCGTCATCATAAAAGAAACAAAAAACGGTTCTAGAAACAGCTCATTTATTTAAAATCAATTATCTTATATTCCTAAATTCATCCATAAATGGATTAACACTATACATTATATTTTGCTCATTTATCATAATGTCTGCTGATGAATTTTGTCTTCCTCCTAACAAAAATCTTATGAATAACAGTTTATTTTTCTATACTTCCCAGTAATTCAGCTGAACGAATATCTATTCTTTTGTGACGGGAAATCATTTTAACGTTTCATCTCTATTGACAGGTTACAAAATGTCACTTTTTATGAATTACTCTCTTTCCACGGGGAAAAAGTGAATGCTTTTATATATTTTATATAATACAACGTTGATGGCTTCTGTTGCCCTATACAGGGTGGGCCTCCAGTATCGCCTCGGTCTCTAGAAGGCTAACAACTTATCTTCTTGGAATTCTTCCTCTCTAGGAAGTTGCATGTCAACTTAAACTACCATTTGAAATTATTTCGAAACATACAGGGTGTCTCCAAAAACCATAAAAGACTGAAGTTAAACTTTTTTCTAACGAACACCCTATATATTATTTCATTTCGAAATTCTCCCTGATGAGCTGATTTCAACGACCCATCATACGTGGGGTCTAGCAGTTATAATTACTGAAATATAGGGTGTGAAAAATCGAGATTTTCCAAGTTCAAGAATTTTTTGTGTCGAAACTATTCATAATTGGTCTAAACGGCTTACATGTCCCTATATCAACTTTTGATCAACTATCTACTGATATTAAATTGAGACATATACCGGGTGATCAAGATTCTGAATTCTGCACCACCCTGTATTTATTTCAATTAAATGTCAGTAGATAGTTGATCAAAAGTTGAGATAGGGATATGTGAGCCGTTTTGACCAATTATGAATGGTTTAGACACAAAAAAATCTTGAACTTGGAAAATCTCGATTTCTCACACCCTATATCTCAGTAATTATGCTGCTGAACATTGGATATTCGATGTGTTAATCTATCTATTTTTTTGTGTCTCTCTATAAACATGTATGCCAATATTTCATTATCATCAGTCCAATCTTGGAACTATAGGTACATTCCTATGTATAACTCACGAAATATTCAAGTGCCAATGTTCTACTGCTATAAGCTTCTCATTGTTGGATAGATATTATGAATAAAATAATGCTTTTTTATTATTTTTATTTATTATGTTCTTGTTCCCACGAAAAGGAATATCCTGTAATGTTCAGAGAACATCGTGAGAACCTAGGGAAATGAGGTATAGGAATTGGTGTTCTACTCAAGTTTCTGAAGGTTATATGCCTGGGGGAACACCTCCCTTCGCAATGTGTTCCAGAGCATCGCTGTTCGTTGGATGAACGAGTCTTTGGAAAGAGATGTTCTGCAGATCTCCAAAGTGACCACGGAGGGGTGCGAAGCCTCAACTCGACGGGTTAATCTCGCGGTGACTGCCAAGGGAGGAACAATTTGTTGATATTTCAGAAGAGCATCGTCCATGTAAATATTTATAAAATAGAGCCAGATCGCCAACTTCTCTACGGTGTTCCAGAGAAGTGAGTGAGTTTGTGAGCGAGGCATCACCCGCACGAGACGAATTGCCCTTTTTTGGACAGAATCCAACAGTTTAAGGGTATGTTTGGGTGCTGCACTCTAAATATGGGAACAGTATTCCAATACAGGTCGGATATTTTTACATTCCATTTAACTAGTCCCTGTTATTATATGAACCCATAAACCAATATTACGTTCCCAACGGAACCAAATATATCCTAATTTTGTTAACAATCAATTACATGATAGATACTCACTTATATTTTTATATTCATTGTGAATATTGTTGTCACAAAGGAATTCCAATGTTGATTGATATTCAGAAAACGAGTCAAGATAAGATAAGATCTATTTTTTTCGGGAAATCGATGCGTATATGTTATCAACTTGTTAATTTCTCCTTTCACAATTGAATACATTTCATTTCAGAGCCTTTTTAAAAATCAACGAGGATATTACAAATTTCAATTGATGTTCATTAACGAATTGGCACTATGCAGCATATTCTGCATTATGCTCTTATTTTCAATTTTATCACTTTTTCTCTCTGTTGAAGATTCTGCTGATGAACTTTTTATCTTTTTCCTATAAATAAAAATATTTGTTGCGAATGCAAGTTCATTTTTCAGGGCTTCCCAATAACTCAGCTGAAAAAAAAAAAAATCAACATGAGAATACTATCATACTGATAATTGGATTACTGACATGCTCTTCCACAGAAACATTTCTGACGTTCCATAGAAATTCGAGTATTCCTATTGATATTCCAATGCTAACACCTACTGCAAGAACAAGGAAAGTACCAGTAGTCTTAGCAAGGTCTAGATCTCCTTCCTTCTCATCTTTTCCTTTATTTCTCACCTAAAATACAGTGAACAAACAATACAAGAGTTGTAATTGTGGAAAAATTAGTTAATAATGAATTCTTAACACGACAAAGACGATTTTAGCTTCATCAAATTGGACCCCGCACTTTCCTTATGGAAAATGGCTTTCGGTTAAATTCCCTGAATTTTTGGTATGATGTAGATTTTGACACCCTAAGCTGAAGTGTCCATGGGCACAAAGAAATCGGGTGACTAGTTTTCGAGATACAGGGTGTCAAGGATGAAAAGTGAAGCTTTCAGCTCAGAATTTTTAACAACTCCGAGAAATGACAAAACGCCCATTTATTCATGGAATAACATGCCTGAATGATGGTACAATGTCATCTGGGTCTCGTATCCATTATAATTTTACGTTTTGGGCTCTACAACAGGGTGAACAAAGGGAAATCTAATTCGATTAATTTTAAACCAACCGGGGTAATTTCTTTCATGAGAATTAAAGATCCAATTGAAGCTTGGACGAACTTCCTCAATCTCGATCGAAGTTTACTGATTTTTTTTTCGAATCGGAAAGGGGAGAGCATGTCATATATATGTATATCAGACATTCTTCAATGTTGAGAACGTCGCATTCTCATTTCATATGAAAACAAAAAAGTCCAAGTTTTTTTCAAAAAATGCGGGTTTTTTCAATCAATACCCTGTATTTCGAAAAATAATCGATTAATTTTGTTGAATTTTTGATATAATGTACGATTTGAGGAGTCAGAGATATTGTCATCAATATTAGCATAGGTCCCGAACTCGTACGGATTTTATTGATACCCGATATACCATTGGAGTCCAAAATGGGCTAATTTCCAACAATTCATGTTGAAAAATATTCCGGCTAGATAAGTGCGATACGTATTCCAAAAATGCAATACCTTTTATATACAGGGTGAATGAAATGTTTTTCATTTGAGCCCTGTTTCCAAAGAAACTAGAGAAAATTGAAATGTATCAGAAGCAATAACCCTCTCAAGGTTGGAACTGTTTCTACAGTATTTGAAAGCTATTTCAATTCAAAGAAGAAATGACCACAAAACGTACATATTTCTTTTCGCGGACTTTTGAATTTTGGCAGGTATAATACCTTCACCATTCATTTGTTCATCGAGTACTAAATATCCCAATTTTGTAGAAACCGCACATTTCACAGAAAACATATAAAATATTTCTCTATCTATCTCGAAAACTAGTCACCCGAATTCTTTGTGCCCATGGAAACTTTTGCTAAGCGAGTCAAAATCTACATCATACCAAAAATTCAGGGAATTTAACCGAAAGCCATTTTCCATAAAGAAAGTGCGGGGTCCAATGCCCGTCAATTTCAGGTAGGTTATAGAATTAGCCCAATAATAGTGCAGCAAAGAAAATAATCTCACATCTTCGCATGAATCTCCTTTCCTGACATCTTTCCACCATTTTTTCTTCAATTTGGTCAGATTTCCACTTTCTTGCAAGGTCAATACTGCTTTATTGATTGCACCCCTATAAGGAGCATCTGAAATAAAATATTCTCCTCCGAGAATCTTCACAAATTTAAAATATTATTACATCGTTATCTGCTTCTCAGGTGTCAATTGCATTGATTTCCTCAACTTATATCTTCAACATATTTTCGATATAGGTACGAAATGGGTCATATAGAATTATTCTATACCATGGAATTTCGAGGGTTTGCCAAAAATTTGACTTATTATTTGTTATCAAGAAATACGATTGTTTTGTAAGTACTTACAATAGGCGACTGAGTTTAAGATCTTAGCGCCACAACGGCGAAATAATCCGAACGTTCAATAATCCGAATTCTTCAGTAGTCCGAACAAGCATTTTTAATACATTGAGTACTCTATAATCTGAATTTCATAGTACTCGATAATCCGAACCTATACCTTTAGGCCTTTTTATCTCCTATAGAAATTGTTAGTAAAATGTTCAGGGATTCCCCTAATTGTTCTTTTGTTAGTATCTGGCATTCACATTACGCAAGGAAGAAAATAATATTCCGTTAAATGATATTCTTGTACTTCAAAGATTAAAAGAAATGGCCTTTATAAATAATCAAAGATGTGTTAAGCAAACAAAAATTACGAATTACTTTAGAAACTAGTATTATATTCTTACTTTTATGCATATTTTAGTGTTACTTTTTCGTATTTATGTTTTTTTTGCATTTCGTAATAAAAAAAAAAAAACTGCTTCGGTAATCCGAATTTTTGGGTAATCCGAATCGCCTTGGTTTTTATTAGTTCGGATTATCGAGTCTGCACTGTACTACTCTATGGGCCATTGGCAGATTGTTTACATCGTTTGGTAATGGTGTTTATGTTCATTTCGTTTCAAGTTTTTAAACTTCCAGCTCTGTTATTTGTCTATTTTCGAACTTTATATTTTATAGTGGTCTATTGTGTTTCGATTGAGGACTATATTATCTCTGTTCAGCATTAGATAACCTACCTACCTCTAGTTGAACTTCATATATACCATCATATATTCGAATATAAGGCTGATGGGATATTCCCCTGATAGCATGATATTTTCAAAAGAAAATCCAGCATACTTTTTGGGAATAAAATGTTCTTTCGAAGGTAAATTTAGGTATATATTTTCTACTTGACTTTTTACAACACAATCATCAAAAACCTGATTGATAAAATTCTTTACTGTTTAAAAATTCTACTGTTCATGAGTAAAGATAATCAGTTTAAAATTTGTTTGTTTTTTTACCATTACCTCAAGAAGTAGGTATTATATTCATAATAGACATACATTTGAAAATATATATGAGTACATTTTCAGTGAAGTGTAAAAAAACAATATATCATTCAGACACGTTTTCCAATCTTCAAGTTATGAATCCACACCTTTCTCCTATCGACCACTTCCTTGTTCCCCATATTATTAGTTTTAAATAAAAATTTGGACTGTCCTGATTTTGGAAAGGCATGAAAGCTATACTCGGGATTTTTTTGCTCAAGATAAGGTACACAACAATAATGATTCTTGTTTTTGAACGTTTATAGAAGTTCTCAAACAAAATTATAGACAATCAAAACACAACTACTTTTCATACAAAACACACGCAAACTAATGTAAACAAAGCAATCAATGGCCCATACATTAGTTATATTAGACAACGGTAGAGGGCGTAGGTACTCCTTAGCAAGATTCGCCTATTCGAACTTCAAAATTTTCAAGGTTATACATCTGAAACTTCCTGCACAATCACAAATTGTGCCGGTTCAACAGAATAATCCTTCCGCTATTACAACTGTCGTTAAACTGACACTCTTTGTAATTTTGCAACAAGTTATTACTGAAAATATGGCTTCCTGAACTCACTTATAGGCATGGCAATACCATAACTTTTCGTGTCCAGCCAATTGCCCACTTGCTTCAGTTTGCATTTCTTTTCAATGGCATACTCGATCTGGGTGGACTCCATCAAAAAAGCATACAAGGAGTTCTTCGTATTACACACTCTTTGTACTCCATCCGCATTATCTTTTTCGAAAACGGTCGGCCTTTGTGACTTCATGTTCATGTACATCCTTTGATAAATCGAATCATTCGATGACTTGAAGAAAGCCTCAGTAGAACCGAATCTCAGCAAACCGTACTTGATTTTGTTCTGCTTGGCCAAATCTTCTGCGCTTTTGATGGGCAGCTCCATTTTGTCCTTGGTCAGGAAAGCTGTCAGATTTGCAATGTAGGAGTTGGTGATGATCAAAGCGAAAAACCACCACATTCCGAGGGCCATCCTAGATGATATGCCTCTGGAAAAGTCGTAATAGTTATTTCTCTACGACCACCTATGAAAACAGCACAAAACACATTGATTTGTTATTGAGAAAGTGACTCGTTTCACTATGACAACATATAACAGTTAGAAAGTTCGAAAGTAAAACTCACATGGGTGGAAATATTCGAAAATCGCACAGTAACAGGGTCTATAGATTATGATGTACCAATGAATGATTATTATGCTGAATTATGGTAAGTTAAGAGTTATGGTCAAGTTAACGGAAAGTTAGTGTCGATTTAACATGAGTTATTGTCGTTAATGTTGACGTAATGTTAAGTTGATGAAAAGTTGAAATCAAGTTAATTTCAATTGAAATTTGAATTAATGTCAATGTATTGGCAATTTAGTGATTAATGTGAAGTTAATGTCAGTTTGATATTGACTTGATGTTAATTTGATTTTAATGTGATCTCAAGTTAATTTTGGGTTAATGTTGATTTAATGTCGAGTTAATGTTGAATAATTATTGAGTTAATGTTAAGTTGATGTTAAGTCAATGTTATGTTAATTTTAAGTTAATGTTGAGTTGATGTTGAGTTGATGTTGAGTTAATGTTAAGTTAATTTCACATTAATGTTAAGAAACTGTTAAATTCATGTTGAGTTGATGTTAAGTTTATGTTAAGTTAATGTTGAGTTAATGTTAAACTAATGATGTCATTTAAATATTGAAATGAAATTAAATAATAATGATAATGATATTATCACCTTCATGTGATCGAAAATGATTAGAAACATGATCCCTACTCTGGTCTTATAAACACTTATAACATAAAATATAAATATTTGTGGTCGTAGGAGAAATTGTGTACAAAACTCATTGGAAAGTGCATTCGTTTCGTTTCCCCACTCGTCGCTCTGCCCACTGTATCACTGGAACTTCTTTATTTGAGGCATAATCATTGAATCAAATCGAATTAGATAGATAGATTTTACTAATCGGCTTGTTCTCATATTGGTGTCAAATGAAAAAGTTTTGATATAATGTAATATCGTCTCGATATTAAATCGTCGCTTTCCATGTCACAGAAAAATATTATGTATTATACACGGGAAAAATATAAATTCAAATCTAATAGGTTTTCCTTGTATAATAAATAACTATTGATTTGAAATAATGATACACTCATAGGACATAATTCTTATCGGTCTCACTTTGGTAGTATATCACATCCTTGATTCATAATAGTGCCAAGAGTAGCCCAATGACAGTTCTTTATGCCCCAAATGTTTTCGAGCATTTCAGGATTCTCGTCACATGGATGAGGATTTTCCCAGTCTCCAGGTGTCATTCTGTAATAATTATCGATTACGACATGTAATGATTATTGATTACCAGGTCAAGGTTGAGATGATAGGAAAATAATTACTGTATACACATCCACTCACAACCCAGGCAACCAGATGACGTTCCAGTGACGTCTTTTTTACGTCACTTGAATCACCAAGGTGACTTCAGTAGTTGACGTCGCATGACGTGATAATGACGTGAATAAGTCACAGCCCAGTGACGTCATGTCACTCACGTCGTATTGACGTCATTCACTCACCAAACTGTGACGTCCGACTGACGTCAAAATGACGTCAAAATCACGATTAAATTTGGCGATGATACGTGAAAAAGATTCCTTCAACATGGTGTGATAAACACCATATTTAATATTGATTATGCATTGTTGAGTCTGCTTGGTGAGTCCCTCCTGTGTCATGTTCATTCAATCGCCTATTCATCAGCGCTATCCTTCAGTACGCATCTCCATCAGAATGCAATCAGTTACTTGTATTTGTATCAAAAATTGTGTAGTTTGTGTCGGCGAGATGTAAGGAAACAAAGAATAGTTTGATAGCAAAGGAAAGGATGTTGGCGAATTTGGCTTCACTTTGTTGAATAATGTATATTGATGCATTCTTTGTCACCCAGCAAAAATCTAAATAGCAAATTATTGAAAAATTTCCTGAATGACGAAGCTCACCAAATTGGTACGTCACACCGACGTGATTTTTAGACGTCATAGATACGTCACTGCAACGTCATAAGAGTAACGGTTTCAATATAGGTATACCAAAACAATCATTTCTAGTTACAAAATTCTAGTTACAAAATTTACAAGTTATACAAAAATTCATGTTACAAAATTTACAAAATACATGTTATTTCGATTGCTGGTTTATAGCAGCATCTGGTTCAGGGTCGGAATATGCCTAGGCAAATATGCCTGTTTTCCAACCCTTTACATATGCTTTCGAATTTGCAATTACGTGTGTAGTAAGGGCGAGCGTATGATACAAATATTAAATAATATGAAGGTTCATTGTAGCAATGAGGAAGAACCGACGGAACCACAGTGGTTTGGCAATCAGTTTATGCGTTTTAGATACATCATGGAGTCAATAGATTAACTATTCCTTTCTCTGGTTTCAAATCTAACCAAATTTTTCATGGTTTTCTATTATGAACTTTTTTACTAACTTTTTGAAGATCTTGTGGTTTTTTGTATATATACATAGCTTGTTGGTTCCCGAGATATACAGTGTGTCAAAGTTTTTTAGAAAAAGTTTTCTCCTACTTTTCATATCAATAATTCCAATAAAACTTGCATCTTGATTTGCTTCCATGAGTTATACTTCTGTTTCACACGATAATATATAAGTATCCATGGTTTAGAGAAGGTCTGGGATAAATGAACGTCGACAGGACGTCCCTGCAACGTCATGAAACTGACGTCTTCTTTTACCCATCTAAGTGACGTTCACTCGACGTCGAAACGATGCCGTGATTATCACGTCATAGAAAGTACGTCATAGTGACGTCATAGATTGGTGTATGACGTCTCTGACGAAAAATCACCAATTAGGGACGTAACAGTGACGTGATCATTCGTCATCTGGTTGCCTGGGAATACTCACATAACTTGGGTGTGAAGGAATTTGGAGAACAATATTGAAAATATCTCAAATAATCAATTATATCGTCGCTTCAGAGCAACACTAGAGGCGTTTTCGGAAACTTACTCGGGTTGTTCGGATCCCTAACCTGAACGTTCGGTTACCCAAACCAGGTTACCTACCTCTGTTCGGAAACTTGTATGATGCTAACTCGATCACTGACTCGGGTTGATTTTTCGTGACCCTACTCAAAAGCAGGGTCGCCAGAATTGCAAAGGACACCGCATTACATTCGACGATAACAATAATAATAAAATAATTTCCATGTTACATGTTCTTTCCAATCTTCATAATTTGATTGAAGTAATTCATTGAGAAGAGAATTTGGGTGTATAGGGGCAAAAATTGTGGTTATGTGCAACAACACATATGAGACAAGTACACCAATCCACAGGTAAATATAAATATTTGTATAATCAGATCAAATAATTATTTGAATATAATGTGACCATTTTCGTCTGTCAAATTCATGAAACCATGAAAACCAGGAAAAATATAATATTCAGCGTTCCTAACCTGACACGTTCATAAACGTTGAACACGAGTAGATGATCCGAGTTTTTTGTCACGTGACTTATCTGGATCGAGTTATCAACCCAAAGTAAGTTTCCGAAAACGCCTTAGGACATCAACGAAATCTTGGTTCCGAGATAATTCGATTAAAGATTTTCATGATTACTACAATCTCAAATATTTTGGGCTATAGTAAACGCATCACAGTGAACACTTTCTGAACTTCCCCATATATAACCCAAATGGTGTTATTTCGAAATCGTAAAATGCTTCTGGAAAAAAATAATATCGACTTGTCCTACTGTTGCTATTGAACTCTATGACATTTTGTAGTATATCCAAGAGAATGTTGATTTATCGAACAATTAACTTAGTATGTCTTGAATAATCAGCATATTGACAAGGATTTCCTCCTGCAGAGGAGAGTACTTTCATCTTTCTTTCTTGGTCATTTCAACTATGTACTGGCCCCTTGATAATGAATCATTATTCAGTTCAATCTTTGGATTCATATCAATGAATATTCACTAAGACAATCAAATACAAAACTATTCTGAAGGAGTTTTCATCAGTTCAATCGTTTCCAGAATACTGAACACGATTAGACATGTAAAAGTATTAAAAATGAGCGATAGAGCAACATAAGGATATCGTCAGTATTGGCGTGAAAATCTCAGTGCTATACAGCAGGATAAGGTATCACAACATACTGTTACATCGACTCGATATAAAATTTAGAACTTCTGCAACACAAAGATATGTTGAAAATAAAACATTCAATTACGTCATATCATAGTGTTTCACTAGGTGCCGATATAATGCTGAAACCTCAATAATCTCCAGAAGCCCTATTTTTTTGGATGTCCTACTGCTCAGAGTCGACGATATGTACTATACAAGGTGTCTCAAAAATATCTGTATACCAACTGCTCGGATTCTGGACTTGTATTAATTGAGCAAGAGTCTCATATTTTAGCGATTTATACAGATCTTATGAAGACATCTTGTATAGTTTCAGGTATCTTAATGCAATCTTTCACACACATGTTCTAAATGTTTGATGTTTTAACAATAACGGTTTATTAGATAACATGAATGGAAAATCAACCTCATTCCATGGTTCCGTACCTGGCAATGAAGAAAAGTATGAGTGATACCACCAAGTACAGTGTTGCCGAATATATCCAGACTGATATGTCGAACGGTTCCAAAAATGCAAACAAATCGGTGCCTCTTTTATCTGGGTACTTGTGTAAGATACTTATCCCTGCAAAATCAGATTATTTGTGGAAAACGTTATTGAATACCTACCTAACAAAAACAAGTTCTACGAGATAAAAACTAAAAATAGTCGTCTCCACAAGTTTACTGGCGAAATATGCAGTTAATTCTGCTTCATTACTTTTGATTGAGACGTTTCGACCATTCAAATGATCATCATCAGTCATAGTACTGATAAAGTTGATCTACGAACAAAAATTGTACTTACTTAACATCTAGCAAAAATGGTTGAACTAATGAGTGGAAAATGGCGATAAGTTATACAATGCCAAAACTGAAAGTGTGAAGTAAAATATAATATATATGTACTATAACAAGAGGAATGCAATTATTATAACTATGGTTAAGTGTAATATTGATTGAGGATTCATATATGAAATAATAAGTAATAGATATTGAAGAATCAAACATTTTCAACTAATGCTAATTGAAATCAAATTGGCGAACAAGTGTGATATAAGGAGGTTGTACTCACGTGGATCCTCCTTATATCACACTTGTTCGCCATTTTGTCTTCAAGAAAAATTAGTTGTAAATGTTTGTGTGTTCAATATCACTTGTGGGGAATTTTCCCACTCGTGTACATATTTGTATATTCAATTAACTTTCCTGTATACCATATCACATTTTATACTCTGTACATATTTCATCATCCGAAGTGTTGGGTTTTTCCCGATAAGGGTTTTTTCTACCTCTCTACGAAATGCCAACTATACTTATTGTATATTCACAACATTGATCTTTTATGACCATCTGGCTATAGGATGGTAATACCCTAATTCGAGCCCTAATTATTATTCTCGGTAAAGCTTATAGAGACCTACCTTTCTAGCTCAATAAACAATTTATTATAATCAGTTATTCTTGAATCTTCAGAGTGAACAGTCGCAAATCTCAATATTATCGGTAATACAGGTAATACAATATACGATTCAACTATCATAGTGTTCGGCATTGCCACAACTATCAAATATCCTCACAAAAAGATATTCAAAAAGGCGTACAGTTCTCCCTACAACGGATACGCCAAACACTTATTCTTTCATAATTAAATTCCTAATCAATATTACACTTAACCATAGTAATAATAATTGCATTTCACTTGTTTTCACTATTTCACTTCACATTATAAGTTTTGGAATTCATTGTCATAAGACAAATTTTTCTTTGTAGATCAACTTCATTAGTACTATGACTGATGATGACCATTTGAATGGTCGAAACATGATGTCTCAATCAAATGTAATGAAGCAGAATTTACTGCATATTTCGCCAGTAAACTTGTGGAGACGACTTTGAGTTTTTATCTCGTTGATCATCCTACTCCACTTCGAGTATGGACTACTTCAGAAGAAAAAACAAGTTCATCAAGACCGTTTGAAAATAAAAGTTTTACAGGATTGGTAATTTCAGCAAAATCGTCATTGACAGCGTTGACCTGCCTGCATTGAGCTCAAAAGTTCAATATCCGAATTTAAGGCAATAGGTCCTATATTTTTTTATCTCTTGGTGTGCACGAAATGGAATCCCTATAATGTTCGAAGAACATCGTGCGTACCTAGGGAGGATAGGGAGAGGAGCTAGGTGTTGATTTTTCTTCTGGAGATCATAAGTTCTTCGAAATACTTCCTTCGACATATTTCGAGGTTGAACTATACAAGTATCTGCTAGACAGAATGTTATTTCAGAGATATAAAAAATTGTCGATTTTTCCTGAACGGATATAGGATAAAACTCACCTAGTGTCATAAATGGCATACTGAAGTCAACCACTTGTTGACGTTCGTGAGTGATAGTAAGGTCACAGATAGCTAGATGAGCCTTCTGGAAGTAAAAATAGTTTAATTTATCCTCATTTATACATGTCACACCGTTATCGATGAACGCATCAGCAGCAGTATACTGAGTAAATAACTAATTCAATTTGTTATCGATATGATCATAATCATTGAACTAGATCTCATAACTGAGAGACACATTTGTCAGCAGGAGCTAGACAGTACTGTTTCGACCCACTAGACCTCATCAACCGCTTTCGGTCTGCTGACAAATGGGAAAACTCAACGCCTTGGGTATATCACCCAGTTCAAAGACGCCATGAGGTTCTAATCATGTAATCGCCATCTACTGGTACTAAAACTGAAACCACTCTGCAGACAAATGGCACTTCCTGACTACTTGAGTGGAATGATCCACCAGTCCTATTCATTGAACTAGATCTCATAACTAAGAGACAGTACTGTTTCACTCCACCAGGTCTCATCAGCCGCTCTCGGTCTGCTGATAAAAGTGGGCAACTCTGATCTAAATCTCTTAGCAGAGGGGTTTACTTATTTTCCCACTTTGTAACGTGTAGACGTAAGGGTCATCACGTGTTGTCTATAGATGGTAGATTCAAGCAGTGAATGGCGTGATCGCTTGATTCTACCTTAGAATTATGCCACTAGATGGCGATAACATGACTAGAACGCAAGGTTGGTAGAACTGATTATAATTTGTATATAAAATAATCATCAGTTCTACCAACCTTGCTAGAATCTCATTCGTATTATCCAGCATTATCACAATAGAAATACAGTTTCAAAGCTATACTAATATATATCTTCATTCTACTTCAAACAAACATAAATATAGTCTCAGCTTGAAGAGATGTGATACTTACTTTGTCTAAAAGATCCCCGACTAATCCATTCCATCTTTTTTTCTCTTCGTCCCAATTGCCGTAATTGTTATTTTCAGTCAGAACCAGTTCATATGTGAAACCAATAATTTCTGCCACCTGGTCCATTAAATCTTTCGAGTACCCCTCGTATCTATCATTCCCTTCCAATATTTCTCCCTCGTACTTTGGAGGGACTTTCATGAGATACGGTTCACCAATTCTACAAGTAAAAGATAAGTGCTAGTTTTTGCCATGGATACGTCGGTGCGAGTAAAACAATTGCTCGCAGTCTGAGCTCGCAGTTATCAATTTGCCCGAGTCGCCGTGATCATTATTGGTGTGAGATCTTTATGCGCAAAAAAGACGAGTTCAAGATACGTGAGTAGCACACCATATCATATTTCCACCATGGTTTTTGCAAGATTGCATTGAACTAATCAATGATTCATTCAAAATGTATGTTGGTACAGAGGCAATGTTCATGTTGATACAAATTGCAGGGCCTGCTTCAGGGAGCCCGAGACACTCATGCATCTGCTGTCTTCTTGCATGGTATATGCAGTCTCAGCCTATATCTATAGGCACTATCTGGCATTGCGAGTGCTTTTCTATCATTTGAGGCTCTCGTTCGGAATATCGGAATGGACTAAACAGAATACAATGGGGAAGACCACTGAGAGAAGAAATCCGTGCAAACCTCTTTCAATCGACGAATCATGATTTACGTTTGATGTACAATCAATATTATGAGTTAAAGTTGAAGGGAATCGAATCTATATCGTTTTGAAATCAGCATATTTCACTCGATATTTCAAACAGCCAAATATGATGGTGGAGTCGTGACGTATTAGTCCCGAACTGTAGCTATCTCTCTCTGATAACTCGTCATTCTGCAGTGTTACAGTGTGATTGGTCAGTTCAAGGATAATAGGCGTGTTGGGAATAAGACGTCGCACCAGTCACACCAATGAATTGACAAAATTTCAAATGGCGCAGGAATTGTGTGTTTTGAAATGGGCATATTCTAATTTATTTTTTCCATCGTCTTAGCATGAATGACAAAATTCAAAATCAATTCGCTGGTAGTTTTTCAGTATAGAGTTCACGATAATGTCATTTTAAAAAATCAGTGATCTCTCCCATTGACCACCAAATGGCTGCAGTATCCGGAATGTCATGCGTGGTCAAGTAACTGAATAGCAAAAAATCTGAAGGGTATCTCCCATGCAGTGAAGGGTTTCTCCCATGCAGTAATGAATTTGCGCCTTCAAAGTGCCCACCTGATGTAAGGTTCAGATATTTGATATTATCATTTCATCATCTAAATCATCTGAGACTTATGAGTTCCAAAAAACAGATTCTAATAGTTAATATCCGAGGTACTGACGTATAGACTCGCAATGACGTTATGCGCAGAAAATACGAATTCAAGATACGTGAGTAGCACACCATATTATATTTCCACCAAGTTTTTTGCAAGATTGCATTCAACTAATCAATGATTCATTCAAAATGTATGTTGGTACAGAGGCAATGTTCATGTTGTTTGTCATATACTTCATCTATAGATACTAATATTGATAATAATAATGAGCAGGATGGTCTACCGTAGCCGTATCATGGATATACAGGGCGTTTCAAAAAAAACTAACCCCCTTGCTAGGGTAGGTAGAACATTGCAAAATAAGTTGGATTTGCTCAGTGAAAGAATGTTGTTACGCCATCCGTTTTCAAGATACAAGGTGTTGAAAAAATATGTTTTTACACATTTTTTACGATTATGTGGAAACTACTGGCAACATTGTAATGAAATTTTGTATGAATGTGTTTTGGAAGCTGACTCATCGCATGAATTTGTTTTTCCGGCTATCGGCATTTTTCTTCAAAATGCGTGATTCATGGTTGTAATCCTGGCAGCACCTCGATGCCCTAGAAGTGGTTCGGATTCGACTATAAGCTGTAGATCCCGCTCTTCCTAACCCCGCACAAGTAACGTCTTCTAGGTAGGTGGTTCCCAACTTTGAAGTAGCGATATACATATTCCTTCAGTTTTTTCTCAAATTTTGTAACGATTTTTCACCATATTAGGTTTTCATTTTGACACGTTTCAAATGATCACTTTCTCTGGTGTGATGCTCATATGTGTCAAAATAGTCAGTGAAAGTAAGATTCCAGTTTTTTTTAATTTTCAGTGAAATTGGTGAAAATAGATATTTTCATTATCATCAGAGTCAATATCTTGCAGATCGCAAATCCCTTGGTTTGTATAGTCTAGATGTTGATTCCAAAAATGGTAGCTAATAAATATATATTTTCGCTTTATGCTAAATGAATTTTTGAGGTTTCAAAATAGATTTTGCTGCAGTACCCTAGATCGATATCAAATACTGCAATTTATAGTAAATCAAACAGGAATAAATCGTTTATTTCAATTGACTCAGTCGTTTTCTTGATCAAAATTAATAGCAGATGTAAAAACTTCACAAACGATAAGATTTTCACAAAATTCTTGATCACACGAGATGTTTCGCTAACAAAGTAGTTTCAATGATCTGTACAGAGTGATTCACCATAAATGTCCCCCCCTCTAGCTCAGTTATTTTTGAACCGATTGCAAAATCTTAAATATCATCTTCAATGATTTTCGATAGAGTTTTTTTATCGCTACATCAGAAAATACAAGGTGATCGGAACAAACGATCTACAGGGTACTATTTGATTATTCTAAATGGAACACCCTATATTTCATTGTATCTTTAGATTCTCTCTGAAGAGCTGATTTCATCAATGCATCACACTTGGGGTCTAGCGAAAATGATTACAGAGATATAAGGTGTTCAAAATCGAGATTTTTCAACCTCAGGATTTTTCTGTGACGAAACTATTCATTACCGGTCAAAACGGCATTCATGTCCGTGTCTCAACTTTCGATTTACTATCTACTGACATTTAATAATTGGAACAGATACAGGGTGATCAGAATTCTGAATCTTGAACCACACTGTAGATGTTCCAATTAAATGTCAGTAGATAGTTAATCAAAAGTTAAGATAGGGACATTGAAGCCGTTTTGACCAATAATGAATAGTTTCGACACAAAAAAATACAAAAGTTGAATAAAAAGCTCGATTTTGAACACCCTATATCTCTGTAATCATTTAAGCTAGACCCCAAGTGTGATACATTGATGAAATCAGCTCTTCAAGGAGAATTTAAAAATACAATGAAATGCAGGGTGTTCCATTTGAAAAAAGTGAGTAGTACTCTGTAGATCGTTTGTTCCGATCACCCTGTATTTTCTGATGCAACAGAAAAAAAAAATCTAAAAAACCATTTCAGATGATTGTTAAAATTTTTGAATCGGTCAAAAAATAAGCGAGCTAAAGGGGGGGACATTTATGGTGAATCACCCTGTACCAGTATTTCCCCTGATGAAGCTACTGTGTTAGCGAAACATGTCATGTGATTGAGAATCTTGTGGAAATCTTATCGTTCGTGAAGTTTTTACATCAAAAAATAAATCGATCTCAAGTATTTAGAAGGTATTAAACCTCAATTTGTATAACGAGTATACCAACAATGGGAGATATTTTGTTCCAAAGCATTTGAATAAAAAGAGACTGAGCTGTATATAACCTAAGAGTTTCGGATTCTTTGTGCGAAAAATTTCTAAATTTTGAAGGATCTACTTTTTGGGAGATAGAGTTGGCCATTTAATGAACATGGCATCTCGAAATACACAGTTTGGTGAGTAGATTTCGGGGAAAACACTTACCTCGTAGATACAATGACTTTGATTTTGATCAAATTCGAGACAGCTGCACTGGTAGTCTCATCATAGTTACGTGCTATTGTGGTTGTTCCATTGAGACCTGACCAGGTAGCCAAAAGCTCTTCATCATTGTTATAAAGATGCAAATTGAAGTCAACTCTGTTTCCATGTTCGTCGAACTGGATTGGCCCTGATAATGGCTCCAAATACTCCCTCTTAAAAGTTTACATTTTATATCAAGTGTATTTCTACATCTGATACTTACATTTCTCATAGCTTTGATCAATTCTGTTCCATCCCTCAATGAATCGAATCCGTAGCAACTTGTTTTCTCGTTTTTTGGAAGCTGCGGCATCCCATTCAAGGCATCAATCAAATAGAGCAACGCATCATGGAACAGAACCGTTTCAGTCTAGAAAAATATCATATAGTTGTCACATAGGTCTGCTTTGTCGAGAAAAAAGTTGTGGACCCGAAAATTCGACATTGAAAATTTTTACTTACAATATCAACAAATCACTTTGTATATATTATTCTATATTCTGACTTCTGACAGTCGATTGAAACTCCGATAATAGGGATAGTAGATTGTCAAGGGGTCAAACACCCATAAGCAACGCGCACGGTAAAGACTATAGGAAGCTATATAAAGAGTTGGAAAGCGACCCCATCATGGGGATGCCAACGGATGGCATAATTCCAAAATATAGCTTTGAAAAAACTTTTAAAATAAGTATAACGGACAGAGAGGCATGGAAGGAAGGACCTCCTATCAATGCAGACATTGCTGTCTATACGGACGGCTCCAAAACTAGCTGGTATTTATGGGGCCAAGCCAAAGACAAGAATCTCACTGAGCTTAGGCAAATACGCGACGGTGTTTCAGGCAGAAATTATTGCAATACATCATTGCGTGAAAGAATTGATAAGGCAAGAGTTTAAAGGCAAAACCATTGCAATGTATTCAGATAGCCAGGCGGCAATCAAAGCAGTCAACTCTATGCAAGTTAACTCAAAACTAGTATGGGACTGCTTAGAAACCCTCAATGCACTGGGCAGTCAGAACATATTGACTCTAGCATGGGTACCAGCACATACAGGGTACGAGGGCAATGAAGAGGCAGACTCACTTGCCCGAGCAGGAGCAAACAAAGCTCTTAATGGCCCAGAACCCTTCAGTGGTATTGCGAAACCAAATCTCAAGAATGGTGGAACAACTTGCCAGGAATGAGACAGGCTAAAAAGTTTATTAAAAAACCATCGCCAACATTCACAGAATATCTACTAAGCCAGAAACGAAGTTCAACTAGAATACTAGTGGGACTTCTCACAGGGCATTGTAGGCTCAACAAACACATGAGTACGATAGGTTTGACTGAAGAACTGCTGTGCAGGTTCTGTCAAGAAGAGGAAGAAACAGCAGTACACATACTTTGCCACTGTGAGGGCTTGTCAAGACTAAGGTTCCTTACGCTGGGTGAGGAAAAACCAGGAGCCCAGAGATACACAGGAGATCTGGAAGCTAGCCTATGGAGTCTCATAGAGAAGGCGGGGCTAGCCGAAGAATCGATTTTGAGGGCAGACACAATAGATCTGAAAAGGTCGCAGTGTGGAGGCAGATAGTCCGAAGGCCCCATTCCAAATCTAATCTAATCTACTATAATATCAAAATATTCTTAGGCAAAATATCCTGGCGTTTAATAAAAAATCCAAAGATGAAGTATACTGAGACAAAATCTCTGCTCAGAATATATCTCCAGGAATGAGCTCTCAAAATATATTGCTGGTAAACCATTGATTGATTGATTAGTGTAGAATCAAGATCGTTCATTAGTATTATCCGTTTGTAGGAGTGATTCATAATTTTGGTCAGTTACTCAGCAGAAAAGATACATGTAATGATGAAAATGGAAAGCCCTAATTCCGAGAGAGTCGAACTCACAACCTCTGGGTTACATGCCCAACGCTCTGCCAATTGTGCTAACGGGACATCCATCGATAAATCGGTGGGAAGGTCGAGTTCTCATCACACACCAGGCGGCAGAATCCTTCCAATTCCCGAAGTCACTCAAACCATGACAAAGCATCGCTTTCAGGATGGTACTATACAGTCTCCATATTCCCCCGTTCGTCCTCTGGCATTGTCTTTTTTGTATGGGGAAATGTTCGAAGGCAATGATACATATGAGTGTAATACCACCCTGCTATTTGGGCTTTCTATCTTCAACGTGTTATCCGTTTGTGCCCAAATTCTGAAGCCATTGGGCTCAACATGCTCCTAGTCAAATTCATATAGCTCAAGTGAGCATTTGTTATGTTACTCTGATTTGCTTGCACTATTTTCACTCGGGGGTTATGGACCTAGTTTCATGTCCTTCAATATAATATATGAAAGGCTTTTATTATATTGTTAACTATATGATCTCCAATGGTATTTGAACCTTCAGTTTACTGTAACTTTGCTTTGAAACACTGGCCCCATTATGGAGCGTATTTGTTTACCACCTTGTTACACCTCCCGAACACAAGTTCTAGTTCAATTAATGAAATTGATCTAAAGTCATCTATGACTATTACGACGGCTGCTGCATCGCTCACAATATTCTTATACCCTGCTACTCAAAAATTGTCGCCTTATTGTAGCTTGCAAGGGTTCGAAAGTTTTATCAGAATGCTGGATAGAACAATTTTAGAACAATTTTAAATTTTTTTTTAGGCACAAACCAGTGTTGATCTGACTTTGTAGCTTATTATTTCTCTGTTATTGTCTCAATAGCATGTACTTCTGCCTGACAAAAAAGTAAGCTGGAAAGAAAAGTGTGTTGAATAGTTTTCTGAACGAGAAGTAAGTGTCGCTAGATAATAAAAAAGTCTAGGCATAGGTCTAGAGTTTTAACATTTCAGTGCAGGATTATTCACCTTTATAGTGTATGGATTCAATTCCTTCCTTTTGTTGTAAGTCCTTAGTTGAGAGAGAGACCATTTGAAGACAGCATTTTTGAATTCTTCGCTTTTGTAGTCGAATAGCCTGATCGTTGTTATATTGGCATTTGTATCCAAACTCGAATAATCCACTGTATGTGCATCCTGAGAATGAAAATTTAATTTTCATTAGTAATGCCCTTTGGAGACGATCCATCTAAATACTCGAGCTTCTGTTCCATATTATTCAAATTTAGAACGATCGAATATGCTTCATCTTCGTTCTATTGATATCTGCTTACAGTTGGGCTATTGATACAATGATGTGCCATTTGTACGATGATTTTCATTATGGAATCTGCTCGTATTACTCTATGAGGATGCTAGAAATACTCACCAAGGATGTCAAGAAGTAGTTAAAATGTATATCCAACATACCCAAGGTCCGTACTTGTTGCAAAATTGGTAAAATATTTTCAGTTTTGCAGTCAAGAATGAAGTTTGTTTCTGTAGAATTCTTGAAATGTTTGAAGAAAGGCCTGAAAATTTCGAAACAGGCTTTAACGATTTTTCTTAACTAGGTGTGATTATTTGCTTCCGTTGAGCCTTAAGGTGAATCATACAAAATAAGAATGAAATATCTTTTTAGAGGAAGTGTTTTTTTACCATTCTTGTATTTTTATTAGTTTATTTTTTAGGTAGTGATGATTTATACTTGTAATCAGGGCCTCTATTCAGCTGCCTTATCCGTATGAAGTCCTGGTTGGTCTTCCTCATCCAACTTTGCCCTTTCAACACTTCTTGTAACCTCACGAGACCTTCTTCAGTTTCATAAATGATGACGAATCCGTTCCATTCTAGACTTTGAACTAACGCAGCAATGCCTTTCGATAGCCTTTCGTTGTCTGGATAGAAGTTCAGGAATGTTTCAGAACCATCATAGCTGGTACCTTTCCATGATGTCAAAATATAGGGTACATTCAAGTTCTTGACTATCGACTCGATCAACGGTGATGCTGGTGAAGTGGGAGGACCAAAAACTGCTACTAAGCCTTCGTCAGCATCCAGAAGGCTACAAACTAGAACATGAACATAACATTGATTACTTTAATTCCGGAAGCTGGAAATAGCGAGCACATCCAGACAATTATCATTCACTAGTTCACATAATAAACAGAACCATTGTATCAGCTGATGTGGTTTGGCAAAGACGAAACGGTATGTATTTCATCAGCTGATCAACAAATATCCACTAGAATTCCTGAGGTGCTTTTCCAACTGAATTTTAACTCAGAAGGTGCTGATTTGGTTGAGTTAAACAAAAAGCATATACTGTTTGGGAAAACCATCAGATGTAACGTGGAATCAGCAACAGCATGCGAAGATTTTGGACCACAAAACACAGATATACTTTGTGTGAATATCAAGATATGTAGAGATCTAGAAGACTACTCCAAACAACACATATAGGGATTACTGAATTGGACAGAAAAAAAATTCAACGGTATGTTGAAGACGGTTTACAAGCTATCAAATCACATTATATTGAAACATCAGACAATCTGAACTAATATATTATGTGTAGAACAATCAGATCACATCATGAAACCGAAGCTGAATTATCAGGGGTAATGCAATGAGTTCTCCAAATACTGTCGATCAAATTGATTTGAGGTAACATCACGAGTCAGCAGCACTCTTGGTGTTACCAAGAAATTGAATCTCGTTGATTTCTGACTTATATTTAGCGTAAGTATCGAGACATACCATTCTGATTGGTTCTTATATTGCAGAAGATTTCAGACGTCGTGGAATTGTCAGGGGTAATACCATCAGTGCTGATGATGCCATCGATAGTAATTCTGTCAGAAATCAACGAGATCCGGTATTACCGGTAAGATTTCTGTCAGAATTTTCGATAGTTTCGTGCGAGCACGAGTTATATTTATTGAGACAATTCCACGATGTATATGCAACTGGATGGTGTGCCTCGATAGCACCTGCTTTTTTTTCGAGCCGATAAGACCACGAATCTGAATAAAAAATCATCTTGTCAGCTGGTATGACATGGAGATAACATGCAGTTTCATAAGGTCGTGGAATGGTCTGAGAAATCCAGTGCGATATCGCTAGAGTCGTAATTTCTTGAAAAAAGGTCAATCTGAGCTGATCTTTAACAATCTATGTAATGAACAAATCACTATCAACATTCTTGGTCTCTGCCAGTTTGGTCCTGTTATATCTGAAGTAGAACTTCGTGAATCTCTTACTGACCTATTATGCATAAAAGTCATAACAAGGAGGTATGCTGAGTTCATGATCTTGTGTTCAAGGTGGAGCTGTGAATGTGATTTATCTATGTTCAAGAAATTCCTGCCGATTGTGATAATTTATTTTTCAGTATGTATTATTTAATAATTGTTAGCGGCGAAAAAATGAAGATGAGAGTACAGCAAGAGGAGTATCTGCTGTTGAAACTGATAGACTGGTATGACTAAAGTAGGATTAACAACGGATTCGTGAAGATTCATGATCATGAGGCTATCATCAGAACACAACCTTCTGCAGCACTGCAGCAATGCTGCATGAAGGCATTCCTTCTACAAAATGGGTGCGAACAAGTCTCATTGATCTGATGACTGCACTCACTTTGCTCGATGGTATATTTGTAATATCCAAGTTCCAAGAGTATTTATTATAAATACATACCGGTTTTAGATGCTTCAAAACTATCATCATTTGAGAGTTGCCGTATATTGGTTGAAAGGGTGAGGAAGTTATCCTCTTCCATGTTGTTACTGAAGATGGTACTGTTCAGAGGGAATTCTGACTGAGATACAGCTCCATTGAACAGTATGCCTGGAATCGGAATTATGAATAATATATAGTATATAGATAATTGATGTTTCTCAGTAAATCATAGGAACATGTATGCAATGCAAGTGAAGGAGACAATAAGTTTGATGTTGTTCACGAATATCATTTAGTTATTTTTACGTTTTCTGAAGCTGGGCAGTGGAATCTGATTATTCAAAGAATTCAATATAACATTATTCTCTTTATACTCACCAATAGTCAAGATGTCTCGATGATTTGTTTTGGCGCACAAAATACTTCGAAAAGTAAGAAGATGGTAAGCACATATCATATTGGACCATGATACTATCATTTTGAAGAGGAATATTGTTATTGCTTTTCGAGTAATAATTTTTCATTGAACTTTCAGTACAAACAGTAGAACATTTTCTTAGATTTGAATTATTTGCTAGAGATTCGGTTTGCTTCTTGATAGCCTGCCAAGTTCGTATGTATACCTACTTTATTTATAGTGACTACAGAATGGAAATAAAAATTAATACAGAGCAGGAAGCTGTGCTGGAAGACTGAGGATATTTTGGTAAAGAAGTCGTCACAGATTCTGATGTGGTACGATGTGGTAGATACAAAAATGGAAAATGGAAGTGATTTTCTCGAACTCTTTATTCGAAGACAAATTCGCTGACGCAAAATAGTTGCATCATGGCATCTTGTATTTATGAAAAAGTTCGATATTTTGAATCTGCCACATGTAAATATCGTAATTGTTTGCAATGTTAGGGAAAATTATTGGATGGTATTAGTTGGATTAGAGTTCGGACTTCTGTCCTTTTCTATTTTCTATATTATAATGGTTTGAGTGAATGGAAGAATAAGACATATATTCTGCTCATTGTCTTTTCAATATTTCTATAGTAGTGCCTGATTGTCAGTTACGATTCTAGAGGTGAAATTTTCTGTCAAATCAATCATTGTCTTAGATGAAAAATAAAAATAGGGTAAAAATACCCACTTCAATTTATACATATAACGATACACTTTTCGGAGAACAAAAAATATAAAAATGGAAAGAATTCATGCAACAACATTTTAATATGACAAAATCAAAATACACACATATGGATATACTTATATAGCTACTTCCTTATTGTATGTAAAACATGGTAAAACTGTAGCCGAGTGATAAAGTTTGCATTTACTTTCCACTGATGAATTTTGAATTTGAAATAGGTCGGTATTTAAAACGCCATCCGATGATATTATAATTATTATGTTGCAATTTACTTGATTTCCTCAGTTTCGTTCTCAAATTTTCAATTTCATTACGTAGTTTTGCAATGAATTCCTCTTTCTCTATGATAATGTTGTTTTTTATTTCGTGTAATGATAATATTGGAATTTTTTTCCAATGGTCTGTTTTGAAAATCAATGGAACAGCCGAGGGAACAGCAGATTCTCTCAAACGGATCTTATAAATCTTCTGTTGAAAATGGGCCAGACATATAGTTTAATATCAATCTGTGTCCGCACTCTTAGAAAAAATAAGTGCCACTCGTAAACCCATTGAAATAATATCTATTAGAAAAAAAGCACACGATAGCATCATATTTGATTGAATTGAACTGTATATAGCTCTGGTAATGTTGGTATGTTATAGTGAGTTGCTGATGAGTTGACCATAACTTCAGAAGTATATTTTTTTATGTTCTTGTTCCCACGAAAAGGAGTATCCTGTGATGTTCAGAGAACATCGTGAGAATCAAGGGAAATAAGGTAGGAATTGGTGTTCTTCTTAAATTTCTGACAATGTGTTTCGGAGCCTCGCTGTTCGTTGGATGAACAAGTCTTTGGATAGAGTCGTTCTGCAGGTCTCCAAAGTGACCACGAAGGGGTGCAAAGCCTCATCTCGACGAAGACTGCCTAGGAAGGAACAATTGTTGATATTTCAGAAGAGCATCGTCCATGAAAATATCTATAAAATAGAGCCAGATCGCCAACTTTTCTACAGTGTTCCAGAGAAGTGAGTGAGTTTGTGAGCGAGGTATCACTTGCGAGACGAATTGCCCTTTTTTGGACAGAATCCAACAGTTTCAAAGTACGTTGTTTTTTTTTTATTCGGAAGTGCTCGCAAAAGGTTGGACCTATAATCCCGTGGTGGAATTGCGAGCACTAAGGAGGGACAAATATCGAAGGTAAATAGATTGAAGTTCGCTGGAAATACATCTGTGGGTAAATAATTCCACAGTGAAGATTTCTTCTTGAAATATGTTGTTCTAGGTGTTTCAATTTTGACTGCATATTGGTGTGAGACTTGAGCCAGCCGCGTTTGGCGAACAAAGGTCATTCCAGGGGGGACAGCTGATGACAATTCAACAGAGCATCGTCCATGATAGTAGCGATAGAAGAGTGATAGGTCTGCAACGTCTCTCCGATGTTGTAGAGTTTGCAGTGATCTTGTCAGAGTTGGGTCATTGATGAGCCTGATGGCCCTCTTTGAACCGACTCCAGCAACCTCAGGGAGTGTTTTGGAGCTGATCCCCAGACGTGCGAACTGTACTCAAGGGTTGGTCGAATCTGGGCTTTGTAGAGTGTCAGAAGCTGTTGTGAGGTGAAATACTTCTTCGTGCGGAAGAGGAATCCCAGCTTTTGAGAGGCAGCTCTGGCTATATTGGCAACATGGGTGCTGCACTTCAAATATGGGAACAGTATTCCAGGACAGGTCGGATATGTGCCTTATAAATCATAAGCAGCTGACTGGAAGTGAAATAGCTCCTGGCCCGAAACAGAAAACCAAGTTTTTGGAATGCACTTTTAGCAATCAATCTCACGTGATTTTCCCTAGAAAGGTTATTGCTGATAGCAATACCAAGCATCGAAATGGATGTCTTCAAAGGTATGGATACTCCTGAAAAGCTTATGTTGGGCACAGTGAGATCGGCTTTTCTAGAGAAAAGGCATGCTTGTGTTTTGTTTGCATTGAAATCTACCAAGTTATTGGATCCCCATTTGAGAATTGTTGCCAAGTCCATGTTTAGGTCGTCAATATTCCTCCCTCGTTCGTTTCTGATTTGCCTGGCTCGTATTGGAACCATGGAAGAGAAGGCGGTATGGAGGGTACTATCATCCGCGAAGCTGTATACTGGACATGGAGTTGCTGCCAACAAATCGTTGATATGAAGTAGAAATAGTGGTGGTGCTAGAATTGATCCTTGCGGAACACCAGCATTTATGATAAGAGAGTCAGATGAAACTCCGTCGACCACTACATGGAGAGACTTGTTTGAGAGAAAACTAGCTAGCAGAGAACATAGCTGGGGAGGCATAAGATGAAAGCTTGGCGAGGAGTCCGTGGTGCCAGACTCGATCGAATGCCTTGGAGATATCAAGTGGCATTGATATGTCATAAAAAAGGTGAGTCAGGAGGTCGAAAAAAAAAAAGAATTTTGTATGTTGAAACGATATATTCGATTAGGGTAGTGGTAAAAATAAAATCTCTCATAATAGAGGTATAAAGAGAAGTAAGTCATTATGATTATTATGAAAGTTCAACACTGAGTCGACCAGAAGCACTTCATCTGTACACGATTTGAGAACAAAAAGTTATTATAAACAGAGGTTTATTTTCAATTCATATTTAATCTACAGAAAGTTGATATTTTCTTGAAAAAGTGTTCTTTTAATCACTCTGAAAGTTCACCTATCTCAGATATTTGGTTCACAGATAAATTTTTTCCTCTTTATCAAGCAAAAAAGTGAGAGCGAACCTGTGTATAATATATATGATATGTTTCAAAATAATTATCCAAATACTTGCCCTTCGAAATTGACATTCGATTATAAGACATAGGTAGATAATAATAATAATAATAATGATAATAATAATAATAATAATGATGATGATTATGAAAATCCTAATAAAAATTATATTGATGGATATTATGATATTTGGATTGAACTTTAGATCGAGAGTTTAATAATTGATAACATGTGTTGAATCAATTGAGAAATTATTATATTCTGTCATCAGGGTCGATTTTCCAAATTCATGAACGATCCAGCACTATGTAGGATGCTGTGAATCATACTTCTGTTGTCGGTTTTGTCACTTTTATCACTCTTGACAGAAGACGAAGACGATTCTGACAACAAAGTTCTCGTTCTTTTCCTAGATATCCAAACCTTGCAGGCGAATGTCAGCTCTACTTTCAAGGCTTCCCAATAACTCACCTGGAAAAGAGATACAAAAGGGAGCTTTATAAACCACTCAAAAACCGGAGTATTGAATAAGTATGAAGATGGTCGAGTATATTCATCAATCCTTGTAGCTTGTATATTTATCATCTATTTCAAAACTGTACAAGAAGAGTTCATTATTTTATTCACTATTCCATCCTTATTTTTCGAGGACCAATCAAAATCGGTAATTTCCACTGAATCTTATGTATTCCAGCCATATTTTTCGTTCAGTGTGAATGGATCACAGGCAGATAATTTTCCATTTATTGGATCCAAAAAATCAAGTTTAGATCAATTTACTTGTCGTACTCGAGTTGAATTTGGACTCCTTTCGCATAATAGTATATTGTGCAACAAGTGGGAAAAGTGCTTTTCCCCACATGTTGCACACTATACTTTTTCAAAAGCTGCACTTATTCAAAGAATCCGAATAATGTAACTTATTGGTATTCATTTTATAATGTGGCACTATGCCACATTGAATATTGTGACCAAAGAGTAGACGCCTTTCCTAGTTCCTCAAAGTATTTAAAAAAAGTACACTTTCCGAAAAAGATTTTATTTCTGATTTTTTTTAGTTTCCATTAATTTTTCGTACCAATATGCCAATTCATACTTTTTTCTTGAAATTTCCGGAACAAATCCAACTTTCGTAGCTTTTTCCATTATCTCTGTCTCTGGAGGTGTATTTATCAAAATCGTCACACCTCGGTATATACATCATATTATTTATTAAGAATTGTTAGAATAATATTCGATGGAAAATGCGATTTCTATCAAAAGCACTAATGATAACTTCCCTAAAGAATTTAAAAAACTTTTTCTGACAGTTGTGACAACTATTCAAAGCTGAACAGCAGCCAAGTTTTGGTCGATTTTTGTTGATTCTCCATGGAAATGTATGTGGTGTTGGCAAAGTGCCGTGAGGAAAAATATTTCTCACAGTATGAGCAATACATGGTTTTGAAACTAGCTATGAGAAATGCGCTACTTTTCATAGCAGTAGTAGAAAAAATATATATCAACTCGAAGGAGTAAGGTGAGATGTTTCTTTCACCCGTAGGACAAGAGATTGGATCGTATTCAACTTACGGGAATAAGATAATGGGAAATATAAAATAAATGGTTGAAAATCAAAACAAAAAATGTCTATGGATTGACAATTCATTCCGAATCTGAATCTGAATCCGTTAATCAATTTGTTCCAATCAGGAATATCAATCACCTTGGTACTCTTCGTGGAAGTATAGAGTAGCTAAAGTGATATCAGACCATGCCAATCCGAGGCCAGCAATCACTTGCGCAGAATTCAAATTACTCACATCATCATCAACCGAATTGATATAACAAATACATGAAGGTGGCTATGTTTTCTGCGGTTTTCGTGACGCCTTCGTGACGTGTTTGTGCAGTTCTTGAAACGTTTTTGATGATTTGATCAATGCGTGACGTTCGTGTGACATTTTTGTGACGTTCCTGTAATAATTTTATGACTTTTCTGTGACGTTCTCGTGATGGTTTTGTGACATGTTTGTTCCATTTCCTTCGTCTAAACAAGTGACGGGGCTGAATGGCGGAGCTAAGGTGTAGGATGGTGGGGCTAACGGGGTTGACTGGCGGGGCTAAGTGGTAACATGAACGTGAACAGAATCGTCACAAAAACGTCACAAAAACGTCACAAAAATGTCACAAAGAGTAACAAAAGCGTCATAAAAACGTCACGGTTTTCTCAAAGCATCAAGCCGGTAAATGCCAGCCTCTGATTGGCTTGGTCTGGTACAAACATAGCCACCTTTTATTTCCAATTCTTCATTCGATCGATTCGGTCGATGAAGGTGTGAACAATTCGAATTTTGCGCCGGTAAATGCTGAGCACTAATTGGCTTGCTATGATAGCCCTATATAGCTACTCTACCCCTGATGATGATAGCTAACCAATATTTTATCTGAAAGTGATAAGAGGAAATGCCTCATTCTTACCAATCTCCATAGGAAACTGGACCACCCTGTATATTCCTGAATGAAACAGTTGAGTCGCAAAAATCATAAATATATTTTGAGAAAAGCAATAATATACTCATTTCAAGAATATTTATTCAAGATTACTAATATATTTCAGAGTAGTTCTTTGTGAATAAATATATTTCCTTGAAATTAATGTTTTATGTGTAAATAACCCTGTACATACATGTTCCTCGACAGTTATATTCCGGACGTTCCAGAGAAACTCCAGGATAGCAAATATACATGCCATACCCACTCCTACACCCAATACCAAAAATACTCCTCCAACATTGGCAAGAGCCAATTTACCCGAGTCGTCATCATCAGCAGAATTCTGAAAAAAAAAAATGTTGGAAATTACACTTATCTATCAAATGATCAATTTGCGATGACATCGTACTAGTTCAATCATCGTTGTTGAGCAGAATTCTGAAAAAAAAAATGTTGGAAATTACACTTATCTATCAAATGATCAATTTGCGATGACATCGTACTAGTTCAATCATCGTTGTTGACCTCGTATAAAGAAATATTATCCATCAGAAAATTCACAATCCAGAAAGTATATGAAATGTGTTGAATTAATTAATTTCCGTAGAAATTTTGACAATTGAAAGAAATATTCTAGAGCCACTTGAATGTTGATCGAATACAAATGTGTTCGATGAAGAGATGTAGGCAACAACAGTGAACATACCTAACTGAATTTTGAATGTCACTTGAAACAAATCTACTACAATTTTAATTCTAGTTAAATGATAACTATATTCTAAATGTCAGTTATTAAAATTTATTCAATATACGGATCCACCAAATATCATCTCAATAAAAGTTGCATAATAACCACACAATATAACGGAGATATTATTATTTGTAAATTTCAAACATTTTAAAAGAATTTGATTACGGTCCTGGCCGCACGAATCTCTATAGGTACTCGGTGAATGATCAGCGATCACAAACATCCCTGGGATGTTTTGCAAATATTAATGATTAGCATGAAGATGTTTTTTTCGGACCTAATATATACTTCCCAAATGGTTCTTTGAAGAATATTGAAGTATCGTTTTTGTTCTTCTGTTGCATTTCTTTGTGTGCCTACTGAGAGGTATCCCTAGGATGTTTTGTGATGATTTGAAAATTTAGGCATCAGGATGTTATTTTGAGACGTGATATGCATTACCAAAGAGGTCTTTGAAGGATATTGAAAGTATTGTTTTGTTCTTCTGTGGCATTTCTTCGTTTGCCTACTGATCGAGGAAGTACCCCTGGGATATTGTAGGATGTTTCAAGAATGTTGGCATGAGTATGTTCATTCGAAGGATATCGGAAATATTGTTCTTGTTCTTCTGGTGCCATTTCTTTGTTTGCCCCACCACAACGTCTCATGCTTACGTCACAATACGATGATTTGTTTCCGATTTTGTTCGCTTTCGCGTTTGCAGCGTCTTTTTATTTCATTATTACAACACCAACGATCTCCTATTTGTCTCATAACAGAAGTAATATAACGAATTCATTAGGACATAAAATCTTCACCTTTTGACATGACGATTCCTTCCTCATATCCTTCCACCACTTTCTCTTGAGAATTCCCAGCTCGCCTGATTCTTGCAGTTTCAAAACAGCTCTGTTTATCGCAGTTCTGTATGGCGAATCTGAAATGAAGACGTGCAGGGTGAAAAAATACGAAATCGATGGTGCATGTTCATTACACTCAGAGCCCAAATCTAAAAGTTGAAAACATGTTCATTACCAACATTGGCGATAGGGTACACCTAGTGACACGTTATTAAAGTACCGCTTGTTATTTTGTGCAGTAGGGATAATAGCTATTTATATATCAAAGGAGCAAAGGTATCCATTTCTTACCGCGTGTGAAATTTGATGCGTGACGCGTAGACATACATACGTATATCTCTATACCAAGGAAGCAAGCTGAAGCTGATTTATTATACCTCCCACGGGAGGTAAAATTCTGTTTAGTCGCGTAGGAGTAAATTAATAGGTTTCTGTCCTTGATGGATGCGGGAGCAAACGTTTACTTTAGATGCAGTAAGTAGATAAAAATAGAATCAGCCTGACGAGGAATTCCATATCTCTATTGAATCAACAGATGATCATGATGATAAAGGAAAACAATGGTGCACTTTGTTTTGAAATTTCCCGCTCCTCAAGTCGAAACACCTTAAATCAGTACCGTAAAATGGCGTCAATAAAAACAGTTTTCGACTTTTCAAACTGTGTTGCGGAGTTGATATTAACATTATTGATAAGGAAAATAATGAAAAATGTGTGTCATGGTTGATGGAAGAGAGGGTTTGTAACAGAGTTTTTCTACTCACATAAATAAAATGGATTGACGGTCTGTGATTTATTCAAAATATTAAACACGTTACCATGGCAACACAATTTCTTGAGCACATTACCATGGCAACAGAATTTTTCAAACACACCTGCAGTCATTTGAGTCCTGTCCGGCCTGTCAATTGTAGGAACTGTCAACTGTCATTTTCGAAATTTGTTGCAATTTGCAATCGGTGACAATTAGAATAATTCAATTTCTATTTGTATCCGAATTCTTCATTGAAAATCTATGCGAAATGTAGACGGAAGTGAAATAGAAGATAATATTTTAGGTAAGTACTTGCATATTTCCAATTACTCTGTGTAAGAAATGAAGCTTTCATCTTTGTGGAAAATTCATTCTATGCTGAGCATGACAATATATAAACGTAAGAACATTTTTGTAAGCAAAAATTATGCAGAATGTGGATCGAAACCTGAGAAAACGAAAACTTTGATACCGCAGTGAATCGAAGAGTTTTTATTTTCTTTGTCAGATGAAAACTTCTTATTCACAAAGGTTAGTGAAATTCATGTATCCTATGGACTGGACACAGCTACAACCAACGTGCCTCGTTGGTTTCGTGCAGTTGCATAGTGTTATGTTCTGAATTTCCATTCCCTTCGATCAATCAATCAATCAAAATATACTTTATTATCTGAAGGAAAAAACTTCTCATTGACAAAGTCATACATACATACATACATACATACATACATACATAATGAATAAGATATACCTAATATCGCAATATCTATAGCGAGAAAGTGGTGCTAAAATCATACTCATACTAATAAAAGAATAATACTCAAAGAAATGGAAAAAAATTATCAATACGGATTGAAAGTGTATGTACTAAATTGATAACATAAACATAAATGAATAAGAGTATTCCGTCATGTCATAAAAAATCATCTTGAATCATTCCAATCTTCAGCTAGATATTCTTGAACACAATAATATGTTTCTTTGATGAAATGTTCTTTCACAGATCTCCTAAAATGAACTGGATACAATATTTCTGAAATCGACTGGAAGATGGTTATATAATTTGACAAGATTATGAATCATTGACTTTTTAGTTGAACTCGTCGATGGAATGACGAGTCTCAAAGTGTTCTTTTGGCGAGTAGAACTTACAACCGCATCATATGACGATTTATTGTTGTGAACTAAACATACTGTTTCGAGAATGAAGGGGCACGGAAGTGTTAGGATTTTCTTCAGATATGAATTTCTGTAAAGCTCTCTCAGAAACGAGAAAATAGCATCGTAGGTACTTTTTTTGGTTGAAAGCCAAATTACAGACGATTAAGAATTTTATGAACATTTATGAATTTCATAAATTTGATTTTAACCAACTTCTCTATAACTTTCGGAATTATGAGATCTTGTCCAAGAGAGGAATTATGAGTTCGTAGAAAAAGTAAAGTATGTAACTAGTTTATAAACTAGTTTATTAACTCGTTTTTAACGATGGAAATACCGAGCATAGATATGGTGGGCTTGGTGGGGATGGTGGTGCCAGACATATCAATGTCGGGAATACTGAATTCCGCCTTTCTAGAGAAAATACAGGCTTGAGTTTTGGTGGCGTTGAGTTCAACTAGGTTGTTGGTTCCCCAGGCTGTGATTTCAGCAAGATCTTCATTGACAGCATTGACCTGCCTGCGCCGTGAGTTCTTAGTTTCCTGGGAAGAAATGGGAATTCTGGAAGAGAACGCAGTATGGAGGGTACTATCATCTGCGAAGCTGTGGATGGGACAAGTTGTTACTCCCAACAGATCATTGATATGAAAAAGGAATAATGTGGTCCTTGTGGAACGCCGGAATTGATGCCAATTGTATCAGACGATACACCGTCCACCACCACGTGAACCGATCTGCCTGAAAGAAAACTCGATAAGAGATGGCATAGCTGATGTGGTAAGCCGTATGATGGTAGTTTGTGGAGGAGTCCTTCGTGCCAAACACGGTCGAATGCTTTTGATATGTCCAACGCGACAGCTAGAGATTCCCCGTGTTTTTCTAATGAAGCTTGCCATAAATGGGTGACGTAGGCAAGTAGATCTCCAGTAGAGATTCGCCCCCAAGTTTCTATTAACACCATTTTACGGTAGCCATTGTGAACTTACTCATTGGCATAGCTATGCCGTAGCTCTTCGTGTCCAACCAATTCCCGATCTGCCTCAAATTGCAATTCGTCTCCACCACATACTCGATTTGTGTTGATTCCATCAAAAACGCATACATAGCGTTCTTGGTGGAATTGACCCTGTTGACCCCATCGCCGTTGCTTTCCTCGAAAACGCTCGGTTTGAACTGTTGCATGTTCAGCCACATCCTCTGATACACCTATTCAAATCCATTCATTTTGACATTCAACTAAACTGCTCCACAATTGAAGTGATATAAGCAAACATGTCCTCCATTTCTGAATCGTCATAATTTTGGTTTGGATCAATCAATTTTCAAATTCATCAAGATAACAATAGTTTTTCTGCAACCGACACAAAAGTCGTCCATTTTGATACCAAAATCAGCTCTCAAATTGACGTTTCTATTACTGACACAAAAATAGGTATGTTGCTAGGCAACATATTTAGTTCCTAGGAGCTAAAGTTGAACTTTAGTTCCTTGGAGCTAAAGTTGAACTTTAGCTCCTAGGAACTAAAAAGGAAGTACTGGACGTCATCAAGAATAAACAACATTGTTACGGTTGGTTATTTGGGTTGAGACGACGCATACCTGATTTGTTTCGGATTTCGGCAGATTTGGCATTTGATACCCATGCCGGAGATATAAATACATCTTATTATAGTTAAGTATTGGAATTATAAAAATCTCAGTCGAGTATTTTTGTTTTGATCAGGGAAGTCTTCAAGATTCAAATACTTGCTAAAGCTAAAGCAATAGTTTTTTGTCTCAAACAACGATATTGTTTACCTTCACATTGTATTATGGAGAGGAGTAAATAATCGTTATTATTATTGTTGATATGCTCACTAACCTAACATTTTCCACGTTTTGTTCCTATAGCTGGCACTGGCGTGGTATTTGCCATTAGAGCACCTGGTCCATACACAAATATGTCACTCTGTGATTGTATTTATACTGAAACTACAATTCGAACATCCTTGAAAATTGAATAAACCTGCTGTTAACGCAGGTGGAATGTTCTCACTACACGGATTATTTGTCAATATTTTTTGCATTGCATACATATGGCACGGCATTGGTGGTAACTTCACATATTTATTTGAGTTAATCGTTTCGGTTGCAGAAAAAATAGCATGTTTCATTCGGATCAAAAGTGACTTTGTTCGACTCGCAAATTTTGCTTTCGCTCGGCTTCGCTAAACGCTCCGCCTCGCAAATGCAAAATTCGCTTGTCAAACAAAGTGTCACTTTTGATCCTAATAAAACAATCTACTATTATTTCATTGAGAACGATATAAGTATTTCTTCTTTATTTCACCGTCACTAAATGACTACCTACAGGGTAATATCTGAGAATTCGTTAATTTTCGGAGTGAGTGAGATCGTCCCGTTCGGCAGTTCTTTTCTTCATGAAACATGAAACATGAAAACATAACTTGAACATAAATGTTATATAACATTGTTACTTTGTGTTGCTATTCAGAGAGATGCTTAATGTCACAGATACCTCGCGGCAATGAGCCTTTGTGCCTCTTCAAAATATTATACAATTACATAAAATCAATGTTACTTCATAAGTATATTTAATGTTGCTCAAAACATCTGAAGAATATTGTATATTAACATTCTAATTATCATACATATCAAAATGCAATATGTTTTGAAAAATCCATATATCAAAACTTCCTCGAGAATCCAAAACCGTTTTGAGAAAACTCAATATTCTTCATCTTATCGCCCTCGATAAAACATAAAAAAAAATCCGTGCAAACGGGGCGTTCCCAAACATTTCGAAAATTATCACATATTCAGACATCTCCCTGTAGGTCTTTATCGCGAAACAGTGGAATAACGAGCGAAGAAACACTGATATTGTACTCGATGAATTAAGCTATTAGAATCTTCAAAGAAATTGAAAATAGGTTGATCCAATCTGAAATTATGACGGTTATAAATTGGGAGACATTTTTGCTTGTCTCACTCCAAATATAAATGGAATTCTCACATATCTAATATGTATACCATGCGATTCAGAATTCGATGTGAATATCCTAAGTACGTATATTGTTGGGATCAAGATACACACATACACAATAATGATGTGACCTAAAATGCATTCCCTTCGAGCAACAGTCCCTGTAAGTTGGGTAAAAAACAAAAGATTATCTGATATTATGATCATAATAACGATTCAAGTGCAAATATTGCAGTACCGCACGCCTCTGAAATAGCAGTCTCAAATGCGTTCCGACATGCGATCACCTCCATATGCAAGCGTTTAACCCATTGCGTTCGAAACATATGCCGTGACCCCCTTTCGTTGATAACGATTTTCTGGAAAACGGTTAGTTGTATGGAAAATTGTAAGATATCAACCGGAATTTTTTTATGGTCCACAAGATCATGCAATTCAAGCCAGATAGTTTATCTTTTGTAACATGAAATTTGGACCATCAAAACTCGGTTTACATGATTTCCAAAGCAAGAAATGCGCTTCCGAACTAACACCTGTTCTCTGCAAGTTGTTCAACTACTCTCACAAATTGGGGATATTCCCGTCCAACTGGAAAATTGCAAGAGTACAACTAGTTCCTACTGGAAGCAAAAAGACCCTACCTAGCAGCTACAGACCGATCGCACTACTATCTATTATTTCAAAGATCATGGAGACAGCTGTCAACATCGAGCTCATGAAATACCTGGAGCATTCAGATATTATCAACGATAGGCAGTATGGCTTCCGTCATCAGAGATCGCTCGCTTACATCACACATATTATATGGCAGCAATCGAAAAATTAACCCTTAGCAGTGGCACTTGATATCTCGGAGGCATTCGATCGAGTCTGGCACCACGGACTCCTTGCCAAGCTTCCATCTTATAGCTTTCCTCCCCAGCTATATTCTCTGCTAGCTGGTTTTTTCTCGAACAGGTCCCTACATGTAGTGGTCGACGGAGTTTCATCTGACTCGCTTATCATAGATGCTGGTGTTCCGCTAGGATCAATTCTAGCACCAACACTATTTCTACTCCATATCAACGATTTGTTGGAAACAACTTCATGTCCAGTACACAGCTTCACGGATGATAGTACCCTCCATACCACCTTCTTTTCCAGGGCTCCAATACCAGCCAGGCAAATCAGAACGAACGAGGGAGAAATGTTGACAACATAAATATGGACTTGGCAACAATTCTCGAATGGGGATCCAAGAACTTGGTAGATTTAAATGCTAACAAAACACAAGCATGATATTTCTCTAGAAAAGCCGATCTCACAATGCCCAACGTGAGTTTGTCAGGAGTAATCATACCTTTGAAGACATCCATTTCGATGCTTGGTATTACTATCAGCAATAACCTTTCTTGGGAAAATCACGTGAGATCAATTGCTAAAAGTGCATCTCAAAAACTTGGTTTTCTATTTCGGGCCAGAAGCTATTTCACTTCACAGATCCGACCTGTCCTGGAATTCTGTTTCCATAATTGGAGTGCAGCACCCAAACATACCCTGAAACTGTTGGATTCTGTCCAAAAAAGGGCAATTCGTCTGGTGGGTGATGCCTCGCTCACAAACTCACTCACTTCACTGGAACACCGTAGAAAAGTTGGAGATCTGGCTCTATTTTATAGATATTTTCATGGACGATGCTCTTCTGAAATATCAACAATCGTTCTTGCCTTGGCAGTCGAGTTGATACTTCGCACCCCTTTGTAGTCACTTTGGAGACCTGCAGAACATCTCTTTTCAAAGACTCATTCATCCAACGAACACCGAGGCTCTGGAACACATTGCCAAGGGAGGTGTTCCCTGAGGCATATCACCTCCAGAAATTCAAGAAGAACACCAATTCCTATACTTTATTTCCCTTGGTTCTCACGATGTTCTCTGAACATTACAGGATATCCCTTTTCGTGGGAACCAGAACAAAAATAAATAGATGAGTGTCCAAAAAGAGGCATGCCAATTTTCAGAAGATGTAATCCGTTATTTCAGATAATCTTTTTTTTTACCTTACTTTACAGTGGCTGTAGAGAAAAAGACATATTTTGACCCAACAATATGTCTTTGAAATATTTACATCGAATTTTGAATTACCCTGTAGAGTACCTATATGTAACGCACAAAACAAAACTAACCGAAAAGTTGGAGTTTCTGAAGAAAGATTCGGTGGATCCCTTTGCCAAGACGCCATACTTGATCTTCGTTTGTTTCGACAGTGCCTCAGCGCCGTCTATCTCGGGTTCTAAGTTGGCCTTGGTGAGAAAAGCTGCTAGATTGGCGGTGTAAGAACTCGTCATTATGAGGGAGAAGAACCACCACATCGCAACTGCCATCCTGGAGGATATTCCCCTAGAATTTTATCACGTTTTTATAGTGACGATCCGGAAATTTGCTGGAGCGAGAGATATACCAAAAATGCACTCTATGACCAAATGGGGTAATCTTTAGTGATATACACTGCTCGTCAACAACTATCGAACCACCCCAATTTCCGGAAAATGATATCAGGAGTCAAAATAGATCGAAATCACTACAAATTCGGAATCAGGACGCCCAATTCACAAACTATTCATATTTTTCCTGGAAAATTTTCAGTTCTGAAGAATTAAATTTTGTCGCACTTTTTACGGAAGCAACTCCGTATCTCACGTAATTGACTTTATCTTTGGACATTCCCTTCCTCCTGCAAATTTCAGAACCCTACCTCTGGGTTAGATTTTCGTAATTTATATTTGTTATGTGGAGTAATAAGGTTTGGACATTTATTCAAAGTTGATTTGACCTGACTGACCATTTTTGGTAATAGATTTCTCGTTAATTTTCTATAAGGAGATTGTCAACCCTTTGAAATTAATCATCTTCATCCAAAATAACAACCTTATTACCTCTATCGGCTTCTAAGTAAAAGCAGTCATTTGCTCTCGATCAAATTAAATTAGGTAATCAATATTGAATTAATGAAAAAAAGTATGTTTTGAATTACCCCTTGTTATACCATTTCGGAATCTATGGGGTACTTTTTAAATCTGCCAGCCGCATTGAGAAATCAACCGAATCATTTTATTCAACAAAACTGAAGAAAAACAACACTAGTGCGGAAAAATTACTCTTCAATTACTTAAATGATAGCGGAAAATTTCGACAAGATAGTAGTAAGTAATTTCATGAAAAGTTACATTAGGTAACCTGTCAACACAGATGAAATGTCGAACTTCGTTCCCGTCACGTAAAAAAGTAACATTTATTTATTCACTCACTTTGGTAGGATATCACAACCTTGCGTCATAATGGATCCTAATGTCAGCCATAAGCAGTTTTTGATATCCCAAATATTTTCCAGCTCCTCGGGCTCATCCTCGCAAGGATGAGGGTTTTCCCAATCACCAGGAGTCATACTGTTGATAAAATGAACCACCTTTAGTTAATTATATCATCTTGATTATTTCAGGTTCTTTCGTGAATTTAATCTCTCAATACTCAAAGGAAGGAAGGAAAGCTCTAAGTCGTCTCCACACGTTGTTAAACAATCAGGGACACGTTTCGGTCTCAGAAAAGACCAGCCTAATTAGAAGTTCTACAATACAAAAAAGATGTTCTAATTAGACTGAAGATGGTCTTTTTTGAGACCGAAACATGTCATTAATTGTTCAACAACATAATTAAACTATGAGGAGATGACTGAGAGCTTTCCTTCCTTTCTTTAACAATTCCATTCCACGTTGAGCAATATGTTCTACCAAAGATGTCTCTCAATAGTTATTCACTTTCCGCTTCAAGATTTTTCAATATTTGTGCAGGGTATCCCACATAACTTGGGCCACCCCCTTATCTGGTAAACTATTATATATACAGAAAAAAGTTCAGTATAAAAATTGTATAACTTCTTATGACATTTGATTTTTAGATACTGTCATTTATACAGGATGATCCATATGTCTGTGACATATCACAAATACGTTTTTTTAAATGGAACACCCTATATTTTATCATATTTTTAGATAGTACTTCAGAAGACGAGTTCAATGATATATAATAACATGGGTCTGAGATCACCCGTTTCGGATTTATATATACACGATCTTCTTCAATAAATTGTCCAATTTCAAAGCCCTATAGAAACGTTGTGAATGAAATTTTTGATTCGCAACTTCTGCTATGAATCAACAAAGCCTGTATATTATTTTGTTTCATGGTGAAAATTTAGGAATTTTGAATTTGCCAAAAGTGATGACGTATTTTGAAGACCAATAATTATCTCGAGATTTTCAAATGGAACACCCTATATTTTATTCCATATTTGCATAGAACTCAGAAAGACGAGTTCAATGATCTATGATAATATGGGTCTGAGACCACCCGTTTCGGACTTATACACGATCTTCTTTAATGAATAGTCAAACAAAAAAACTAACATTAACTGAGAAAACGAGTAAACATAACAACAGTAACAATTAGATATAGTATTCAATTGAATATACAAAGTAGTCAAATCAAATTTTCTATATACCGTCCATTTTCAGCTATATGCGCGTAGTATATCTTATCGCGATATGTCTTAGTGTATTTGCTACTGCATGTGATTCATTCAAATTCACGTTGGCGTTGGCATGTCATTCCACTTCGAGTTTTGGTTTTCTCTTCGATCATTTACTTATGTCCAGTGTTTATTCATTGAGAATTCAATGAAAAATAATGAACAGTATGACTGATATACGATTTTTATGAGGAAATGACATTTATTGCAATGAATGCATCCGAATTGATAAGGCAGACAATCAAAAAAAATGTTCGAATACATTTTATTAATTGAATATTCCCGCATTGGTCTCGTATAGAGTCGAATGTAGGTGAATTTCAATTGTGATAACCTGTGCTCAATCATTTCCAAAAGGTTTTCCAGTGAAATAATAGTATAACATTACATAAAAATTTCGATAATATTCGTTGTTTTCAAAACTCTTCATTACGAATTGTTTCACAGAAATTACAAATTTTTTATCTAATATGAAGATAACAGTCAGAATTTTGCCATTGAAATTTGATTATTTTTTCAAGAAGATCGTGTATAAGTCCGAAACGGGTGATCTCAGACCCATATTATAATATATCATTGAACTCGTCATTCTGAGCTTCATCCAAAGATGGAATGAAATAGGGTGGTGTTCAATTCGAAAATTTGTAAAAAATTATCGTTTTTCAAAATACATCATCACTTTTGGCCAATGCGAAATTCATAAACTTTTACCATGGATCAAGAAAACATACAAAATTTGTTAATTTATAGCGGAAACTGCGAATCGAAAACTTCATTGACAACCTTTCTATAGGGCTTTGAAATTGGGCAATTTATTGAAGAAGATCGTGTATAAGTCCGAAACGGGTGATATCAGACACATGTTATGATATACCATTGAACTCGTCTTCCTGAGCTCTATGCAAATTTGGAATGAAATATAGGGTGTCCCATTTGAAAATCTCGAGATATTTATTGGTTTTCAAAATACGTCATCACTTTTGGCAAATTGAAAATTCCTAAATTTTCACCATAGAACAGAATAATAAACAGACTCTGTCAATTCATAGCAAAAGTTGCGAATCAAAAACTTCATTCACAACGTTTCTATAGGGCTTTGAAATTGGACAATTTATTGAAGAAGATCGTGTATAAATCCGAAACGGGTGATCTCAGACCCATGTTATTATATATCATTGAACTCGTCTTCTGAAGTACTATCTAAAAATATGATAAAATATAGGGTGTTTCATTTGGAAAAACGTATTTGTGATATGTCACAGACATATGGATCATCCTGTATAAATGACAGTATCTAAAAATTAAATGTCATAAGAAGTTATACAATTTTTATTCTGAACTTTTTTCTGTATATATAATAGTTTACCAGATAAGGGGGTGGCCCAAGTTATGTGGGATACCCTGTACAATCCAGATACATAGCTATATCTTCTATTGTGACCTTCTGAAATGTTCATAGTTTTTTAACTCCACAGAGTGACATTTGAACGGAAAACTTGTAATTTCAACTCCATAGTTCTATTCTTTTTCATCGCTTCAATTGTTCAATTTTCCAAATTCATATTGTACAGGGTGGCCAACTAAGAATCCAGAGTTCGATACCACTGTTCTCTTGAGAGATACAAAAAAAAGTTTTGCATTCAAATTGAAGTGATAACCAAGCTTCACATTTCAAAATTTCTTTGAAATACACAGGGTGTTCCGTAAGGTCACAGCACATCAAAGCTAGGTTTTTTTCATTGGAACGCCCTATATTTTATATCATTTTTGAATTCTCCCTGAAGATCTGATTTCAACGACGTATCATACTTAGGGTCTAACAGTGAAAGTTACTGACATATAGGGTGTGCAAAATCGAGATTTTCCAAGTTCAGGATTTTTTTCTGTCGAAACTGTTCATTATTCGTCAAAACGGTTTACATGTCCCTATCTCAACTTTTCACTCACTCTCAATTCGTGTTCAATTGACATTTAATTGAAACAAATTGTGAATTAAGATTTTTTGACCACCTTGTATCAAGTTGGCTATCCGGTCGAATGTTTAGTTTGTATAAAGATAATATAAATAATAAGCACAACTGATGCGCTATTGTTTCAGAAATTCTTCTCGACCTCTCGAGAACAATGGTTTCGGCAATCTTCTAATAGATCGTGACATCGCACAATTATGACATCTGTCAATTTTGAAATTGCCACAGATGTTCCAAAGTTCGAATGAAATAAACCCACTTTTTCATATGTTTCACATACCTAAACCGATCTCGCTCGATGTGACGTACAGAAATCTTAGTAAGCGGTCGAGTAATTTTGAAAACGAGCGAGACGAAGCGGAGAGAGATAGTGAACTAGTGACAAAACGAGCGGGATCTCGCTCAATCGAGCGAGAATTGGCAACGCTGCAATAGATTCACGAAAGAAACTTTGATATATGCGGGCGACGAAGACGATCTAGCTTTCAGAAGTAGCAAATGTGGCAAATGTGAATGCAGATCCCTACGTCTACAGAGAGTCAAAATGTCACAACTCTGCAGATTATTTTGGGTTTTCCATCACTACTGTTTTCCCTGCTGTTTACTCAAAAACTCACCGTGAAATGAAGTACAGTACTATGGAAATTATCAAATATAACGTGGCTGTATAAATCCAGACAGCCTTTGAAAATGTTTCCAGGAAAGCAAACATATTGATGTCTTTCTTGTCCGGCTTCTTATACAAAATACTAATGCCTGAAAAGTTTGGGATACAACATGGAACTTATCCTATATCAATAATTCGTTATTCCTACCTAAGGTCATAAAGGGCATACTGAAATCGACTACTTCCCTTCTTTCTGGGGTTATTGTCAGATCACAAACAGCCAGATGAGCCCTCTGAAAAAAAAAACACAGAGATATTCCAATATACATTCCTCTGCAATCTTATCACAATCTGACATGCCCATGACTAAATCTTAGTTTTACTTCAATATGATGGAAAATTAGGTATGGAAATACTCGATTTCTGTAGGTTATAAAATAATTTACGTCGTATAATATATTTCCAGTGGCGTCACAGTGGGTAAATTTAACGATATTTCATATTCATATTTTTATTAGATTAAACTATTGAAATCGCAACTTTTTTATCCTCTGTGTGATTTTTGTATCTAGCTTAGTTTTCGAGGAAACAATATAAATTCGATTTCAATGTAGATGTTTTCAAGAAATCCATTGAGATTACTCAATAACCGCAATCAGAATCATTCTGAAATTTTGGGGCTTTCTCAGTCTCCATCCATACTGGATTTTGGCACCATGAAAGCTAATACAGGGGGGTTATAGATAAAAACAATTATTAATTCCAACTTCAACATCCTGTATCTCAAAAACGGAGCAATAAAAGTAAGGACACATGTTTATTATAACTTTATTTGCTAGAATGTCACAAGGAAACACCCTTCGAATTTTTTTGGTGTTATTTAGATATACAGGGTGAGTCAAGCTGAACGCATCGGGCTATAATGACCAAATGGTAACCTTTCTGAGAAATAATTTTATCCAGGCGCATGTATGTCGATCTGGACCACATTTTTTAAATGGTGTGATGAATACAATGTGTCCCAAAAAAGGGTGGCATATCAAAGTTGTACTTTTTTGAATAGAACACCCTATATTTCATTGCATTTTTAGATTCTCCCTGAAAAGCTGATTCCATCAATGCATCACACTTGGGGTCTAGCGGGAATGGTTACAGAGATATATGGTGTTCAAAATCGAGTTTTTTCAATTTTAGTAATTTTTTGTGTCGAAACTATTCATTATAGGCCAAAACGGCTTACATGTTCCAATTTTAACTTCTGATTTCCTATCTACTGACATTTAATTGGAACAAATACAGGGTGGTTCAAGATTCAGAATTCTGATCACCCTGTATCTGTTTCAATTGAATGTCAGTAGGTAGTAAATCAAAAGTTGAGATAGGGACATGTGAGCCGTTTTGGCCTATAATGAATAGTTTCGACACAAAAAAATCCTATAATTGGAAAATCTCGATTTTCAACACCCTATATCTCTGTAACCATTCCTGCTAGACCTCAAGTATGATGCATTGATGGAATCAGCTTTTCAGGGAGAATCTAAAAATGCAATGAAATATAGGGTGTTCCGTTCAAAAAAGTACAACTTTGATATGCCACCCTTTTTTGGGACACATTGTATTCATCACACCATTTTAAAAATGTGGTCCAGATCGACATACATGCGCCTGGATAAAATTATTTCTCAAAAAGGTTACCATTTGGTCATTATAGCCTGATGCGTTCAGCTTGACTCACCCTGTATATAGCGTTTCGAAATCAGCATGGTTTTATTATCTTCCAGAACGTCATGGAACGATATTGGAAATAATGTTTCTCAAACCTGTAAATCTTATTAGCATCATCTGTTCTATAAATTCAAATTGTTCCACTCATATTTTCTGGACTAGTAGTTCTCATCATCATGTTATGTCTTTTTGTGAATACTGGTTTCAAGCTCGTCATGTTTGTATTTTCGAATATATAAACAGATGAATAGATTAACTATTGAGAAGGAGATGAAAATAAGTACCTATAGTGAATCGTTAAAAAGAAGTGGTACAAAAAGTTTGGAACTATGAGAAGACAGTTCAGTAGTTTGGGGATTGTATTTCATTTCGTATCAGGACTAGGACGTCAAGGACTACGTTTGAATCTGTGACAATATATTCGATATTTTACTGACTTTCTCCAATAGTTCTCCGATCAATCCAGTCCACCTCTTGTTGTCAGCATCATAGCTGCCATATGCCGAGGTTATTTGGAATTCGTAATTGAAACCGATGATTTTGGAAATTCCATCAATGAGATCCATGGCATACCCTACGTATCTGCGATTACCCTCAAACACTTCACCCTCGTAAGTGGGGTCCCGTGCCATAAGATATGGAGGTCCAAGCCTGAAATTTTTGAATTTTGAAAATTATGGTTTCATTCGATAATGCACTATCAAAAGTAGAAAATGAATTCAAATGTGGAAAGTGGAAGTATACCTATAGATAAGTAAGATCATGTCATTCTCACAAAATATTCGTTCTACAAAAAAAAGTTGTCAGAATCAAGAGCGGTGCAAATTACAGAGACAATTTTTATTTATCTCACGCTTCTCGAGATCCACACTAACAAAAAGGATTATCAATTTATGACCGTTAACCATCAGTATTCTACTAGATCAGGTGATTCGCTGAAAAAACCCAGGCAAAGACTTGTGATGTCAGAAAAAAATTCTCCGCATATTGATATATACAACAAGCTACCAAATGAAGTTAAACACTTGAATGCTCGAGATTTCGAAATTAAAATAAAACGATACCTTTTGAGTTACTGTTTTTATTCAGTGGATGAATTTCTCAGTTCAAATATCTGTCTAGCGATCATTGATGGAGAAGACGTTATTTCAACTAAATTTTAATTTGTCAGTATTGTATAATGTATTTTATATCCTATTTCAACATGTGATAACTATTTTTAACTTGAATGTATGTGTTGATTTTTATGTATTCGTATATTTATATTCATAGTTGAATTGTAATAATATGACATGTCACAAATGTACATCAGTACGTAAAGTGGTGAATAAACTATCTATCTATCTATAGGCATATAAACATTATTAATAATGAAAAAACACACTGACGAAAATTGTGCTATTAGAGTTTTTGCTGAGATATTTCTTGCTACCATTACAAGAAATCATATAACCGTTATACATTGTCGAATAGAAGCAGCACTTTGAAATACTATGATAGCAATAACGACTTTGCTGAAAGTGAATTTCCTGCCACAGGAAGGTTTACTGCTGTCGCTATCAGGCAGCCACTTTGAGACAGTATGTTTTTTTTATAATTGTCTATCTGAACTACTACTAGTGAGAGTAGTGAGTTATATGCTTGTGGCTGCGAGGTTCATCGCATAGAACTGCACTCACTACCAATAATACAACTGCCAGTCTACCACGAAAATAATATTCGACGAATCTACTTGGGGTTATTTAGTGCATACTTATCGTTATTCGATATTCTGCTGATTTGTCCCCCTATATATTAGCATTTGTCAGACATCTTGCTTGATCAATCATTCACAGTTGGGCTCTTGATGCAAACCCATGTACAGGACGACAATCTCGATAACACGACAGTCACGAATACTTCCCCTCTTGAATTCAATTCATTATTTGAAATCTGAATCTGAATTCAAGTATGAAATGGAAACATTCTTTAACAAATAAAAAAATCTTGTGTGTCCCTTTCAGTGCTTTCGTAGATCTGAGTGCTTCAGTTATTACCAGGATTGATGGAATTATGAAGTTTTTTCGAGGTATTTGGACTAAAATTCAAATATTTCACATTCAACATTTCCTTGTTTCTTCTTTTTGGTACAATGGAACTTTGAAATTGTCAAATATGTTCCAGAGCTTCTCTATAGAATGTGGTCTAAAAACTTATTGTGAGCGAAAATGTTCAGGTTATGAAATTATTTGAATGATTTTACTGGTAACATTTTGTTTTTCTGTACGCATCTGTAATAACTTGCCCAGTTTTCGAAATACAATGGTTTCAGAAAGTTTCAGAAGAATTCTTTTTTCCATTAATCACTCAAAAACCTTTTGTTCCTCCTGAGGGTGCATGAATCAATTGATCTATTGAATTTCAAAGATAATTGGTCCGAAATTTTCTTTTGAAATCAATTGCAATTGTTATTCATACCAAACATCAGGGTGGAAATTATGGGGATGAAATTGGATATCAGTCAAAATTTCACCTTTCTTGATGACAACAATCCTGGAAAATAACTGAATAACTACAGCAAGAAGATCATGCAACTATCTATATGATCACACATCAAGAGTACCATAGTGTTGAAAATCTGTCTAGAATGATTTCTCGATTTCGAATCTAACAATACAGTTCCTCGATACATAACAGATACAATTCAATATTCCGCGGTATTAGCCAGGAAAGAAGTCTGTTGAATATTTCAATAATAATAATAATGATAATGATGATAATAATGTACCTGAAAGAATATCTTTAAAAGTGATACAAAAGCAAACAATGATAAGAAAATAATTCGTTAGAAAATGGAAATGAATTTGTTGTAGCTCCCCTATCGAAAGATTCAGGGAGGAGGATTCAAACTATAAAGACTAGGGAACATGCATTTTCCTCACCTTGACGAAACGATTACTTTGATTTTTTGCAAATTCGAAACTGCTGCATCTACTGATTCGTTGCCGGTTCTAGCCAATAAAACAGATTTGTTGGAAGCGAAATAGGTGGCTATGACTGATTCTTCTATGATATCCACCGCGTAGATATTGAACTTAATCCTGTCTCCATTTTTGTTGAACTCTAGAGGACCTGTTAGAGTTATGGAAGGTGCTTTCTACAAGTAGAAATTGTACTATAAAATGTGAACAGTGGTAGAAAGATATTGCCATGATATAGGAAGTTCAATGCGTTTTGACAAAAGCCACTGTAGCCAGAGTAGGCCGGGCATGGGGCATGTCTAGTTCTATAATTTTAAGGCAACCAACAAAAGCAATTTTCTTCATGATATTTATTTGTAGAACAAATCAGTAAAAATCGAATCCTTGTTAATATCTGAAAACTGGAACGATTACTAACATTGAGGGAATTTAATTCTTTTTTTCAAATGGTGAATCAAATAAATGTCGGTTGTTGATTTCAGAATGAAGGTGAGATGTCTATCTCATGTGTTTTCAATGCTCTTCACTCTCTGACTAAAACGGGAGGTACCTATACTTCTCAGCATAAAGTCATATTCCATGTGGTAGAGGATTCATCAATAGTTAATCTTTGGAAGAAGTCCATGGTAGGGTTCCTTGATGGAAAACAGGGTACGGACAGATCATAGCTGCATTCCTTTTTAATGATCTAGAGATTTTAGTTTTGTCTACTGGCATCCCTGACATTGCTGTCACGTCACATCCATGGGCGCTACAGAAAATCATTCAAAATTTCAATAATAGGTATGTACAGGGTATTTACTTGTTGAGGAAGATCATATTATTATGGCGAACGAGTTTTGTAATCATGATCCGAATCTATTCAAAATTGGAAGGTATGTGGAGTTTTCCGGGGTTGGAGATGATGATTGTTTCGTCAAACTTGGAAAAATCAAGATGACTGATCCATTATATACCAAAAGAAATTTCTAATTATGATCTGATTCTATTTAAGATTGGTATCTGAGGATTTTCGGAGTCGAACTTTATGATTGTTTGTCAAAATTAGAAAATTCAAGATAGCGGATCCAATATGGCGAACGAAACTTGTAATCCGATTCTATTCAAAAAATCAAAATTGGATCGGATTATAATTATTTCGTCAAAATTGGGATATTCAAGGTGACGGATCCAATATGGCGAAAGACATTAGTTTATATTTATTTATTTATTTATTCCAACAAACAGGTTTTACTCTACCACAATTAGAAAATATGTTGGATACAAGAGTGAAAATAACGTGCCTATAAGTTATACTGCGTATACTTAGCGTATGCCTACTTCTTTGTTACTTTCATCAATAAATTATTAGAAAATGACTTTTTATTTAAAAGAGACGGACAAATCATATGTATAACATCAGGGTGAAGTATATTCTATTCTTTATTTTCCTGCACATTTTACGTATAAATTTTTATCAGCCTACTTTTCGTCCTAGACGAAGTTTTATACATAGTGTGATATTAGTAACTCCATAAATTCTTCTCCGAACACATGACATGACACATGACATGAGTACAGTAGTCTAGATACCCACATCGAGGTTTCCACCATTTCTTAACCATAAGGCTCAGCTCATTCAGCTCATAGATAAACTACTACTCAGCTTGAAATCAGAATTCTTTCAGTCAATTCAGTCAACCCTGGTATACAGTCTAAGAACAGTCTCTTTTGGTGAAATATATTAAGCTATCAGTACAATTGATATGTTCCCTAAATCGCAAAGATTATGCTGGAGTAATAAACTCTAAAACTGAAGGATTGTTCATCTTTATCTTGGGATAGTTGAATCAGGAATTCCAGCATATGGAAATTACGTATGATACGCCAGTGACCTCAATATAACCTAAGAAACAACGAATGTCAAAAATCTGGTGTTTATCCCCAGAATTGAATAAGGATGGAACTATATATAACTGTTTCACAAACACTTTAGAGTGAGAGCGTTGATTGATATATTACGCTTACGCTGGGAAGATGCCCAACCTGTGTTATTTGCGAGTCGATGCCCCGCTCATCCCCTCGTCTATCGTTCCAGAAATTTTTGTTTATCCTTGTCTTCTACGATGAGACCCGACCCGCCCGACCGGTTCCGATAAAAAATGTTTGCTACGGTCGGTGAATCCCATGGACGTATATGGGGAATCCACAATCCGCAACAATAACAACGGGTTGCGAGTATTGATTTTTCCCTCGGTGCCTTGCGGAAGAGAGAAGAACATATTATGATCTCTCACTCAATTGGGTTCCTACTCCGTGGCGTTTTTTTAAATTCCTTTGTGAATAGCTTGTCATACTTTGCCTAGACCAATATATATGTATATCTGGAAAAACATCTCACGCCTTTTTCGTTGATTATTTTTTTCACTCAATTTGTATCCATATTGAAGTTTTGTATTAATAAGACATTACAAAATATTGATAATATAATCAATCTGAATGTGATAATTTCTTAGAGTCTCATCAGTAGATAGAAAATAAATAGTCAGATATCTTTGAATCTTTGATTGTTAATGGTTCACTATAAAAATGAAATAAAATACATCATCTATAATAGGCATATACAGAGTGAGTCATAACTATTGGAACATATATAGAATTCATTTATTTATTGGATTACAAGAGTTGAAGCTGCAAGCTTATGAACCATTTTTTACAGTATCTAGTTGATGAAAAAAATATGAATTCTTTTTTGGTATATTATTTGAAGAGATAAAAACAAAATCAACAGAAAACAGCTACATTTCCAGTCTATATGCCACGATATATAATCATGAAATCGGCGTTGATATTTTGTGATATACCAGTAACTTTTTCTGAGTAGAATCGATTTTGCCGCTCCAGAACAACGGAGTACAGACTACGGAACGCTCAGAATCTCCGCCCTAACAACACAGGGATATATATGTTCTAGGTACGTACCCTTTTTGTCACACGGTACAAGGACATAATTGGGGTATCCAGGGGATGTCCCGCAGTGGTTGTCCAGTGGACATCCGGCCCGGTACATCCATAGGTTATCCTATTCGTGTCCCTGGAATATCTGATGAAAATGTTTGGTTTTTTCCGGTAAATAATTGTAATGAAAATAAAAAAAACTTTCTCAGAACTTCTCAAGAAATGACCACAGAAAACGTGAATGCATATAATGCCCCTCATTTTATAACATCCACGAATGATAATAATAATTATACCCAAATCCTAACAAAGTTGTATTTATTCAGGTTTCTGCAGTTTAGTCCTGTTTAAAAATCTGTTTGGCACATAAATCTTCAGAAGGCATATCAGCCAATGGAGTAAGGTGCGTGCCTGATAAGCTAAAGGTCCCGGGTTCAAACCCTACTCGACCTACATTTTTTTCTTTTGTCGAAGGGATGTCCCTGGAATATCCTTGCTACCTTCTATAGTGATATCATTTCTTCGTTCTTGGTACATCCCAGGGACGTACCAGACGGAAATATCTTGGATGCTTTTTTTGTCAGCCAGCTGATGTCCCTGGGACGTCCCTAGTATGTACTCTGTCCCGACAAAGGATATCTCTGTAACGGTGCGTTTGTCGGCCGCCCCACAAAAGTCAAAGGAAATTATTGGCACTCCAAGTTTTGGCAATACATAGGTCGGATCATATATACCAGTATAAAATACTTTGGATTGATAGCGGTATAGAATTGTCACGCAAGGTTTCGCGTTTTTCATGTGATAAATATCAGTAATTTCAATAATAAAAATTTCAAAAATTGTACATAGCTCTGACAAGAAAATGATTTGCGACAGTGAATTATAGTATGATTTAGTAATTTGACATAATGAAATATGAAATTCCACTCAAACAGACCCATTTAGATTCAGTTCTAGGGTAAAATACACTAAGGTGACAACACTGGTCCGGGTTCGTGAATTTCAATCAAATTTATGAGCAGCTTATATATTGATATCTGCTGACCAGTTTATTCCACAATCGCCAAAAATGGAAGCATTCAAGCATTTATTGATTCACTCCAATTCGATTTCTATAAACTTTTTTCATGATCTCACGTCCGTGATGCGCTCGTTAGAAACACATCCAGTACAACTATTACGTTAATCTGAGCAATTACTAACAAATTCGAATTTACCGCCATATTAGTTAGAATCGTACTGATTGATCATGGATTCGATACAAGCGTTCCGGATTATGGATTGTTTAATTGTTCCAAGTCGCACGCCATCTGCATTCCAATAGATTCTCTTCGTAAGTGGCGCACCTGCCCGTCAAATTACGAAGTATTGCTCCGACATCGTTCGACACTATCGCCGCCACTATGTGAGATTTCGAACTATGGTACGCCATCTAGTTGTGAGATTTTTCTGGACCTCGTTTTGCCCCATAAGGTTGGGCATCTTCCCAGCGTAAGCGTAATATATCAATCAACGGTGAGAGGAGACGAGGATCTGTCCGTACCCTGTTAAGATGACTTTAACGTCAATTTCCATCAAGGGACCCTAGTCCATGGTAACTCAAAGTGGGGTAGTATAGTTCATAGATGAAGAATCCCGAAGTCATCTCCTCAGTGCGTGCCGAAATATCATGCAATTCATAAGTGTATGTGATAAACTAAAGATCATTGATGTTATCAATGAATAGGTGTCGAAATATTTCTCAGTAGATTATGAAATGTTTCAGTAGATCAGTAGATCAATATGCAAATCAGGAGATCTACCGAAAATTCAGTAGAGCTGGCAACCCTGCAGCGGACGGAAAGTGTCTGCGGACGACGTACGTTCGTGAATTAGAACGTAAAATTTGATCTTTTGAAGAGGTCGAGAAAAAATAGTTATTTGTTTAACTAGGCAGCAAAGTAGTAGATTGACTGCCGAGTTGAACATATAATTTTTTCTCCGATTGTTCATAATGAAATAGGAGGATATTGTAATTATTGCAAATTATGTATTACAATTCCCACAATCTCTTTATTTTTCCTGTAGTGTTCAATTAAAATGAAATTTGATAGAAATCGCAGTTGTCCATGATAATTATAGTTTAACAATTCATGAAAATTCTGACAGTTGTGCGAAAAAATTATTATATAATAGACAGTGATAGCGACCTGGAAGTACTTACACTTCCAGAAATAAGGGAGGTGGCAAAAAAAATAGAGTAGAATTTGTTGCCGGAGAAGTCTCGAATGAAATATGAAGGAAATGATAAATGATTTATGGATTATTGATTTTGCTGATACATATCAATCAGCAAAGTAACCACTTTGCTGCCTATGCAGGAAAAGTAATACTTTGCTGATTGATATGTGTCAGCAAAATTAATATTTGCTGCCAATTGGAGAAAAAGATATTTACAGGAAAGAAAAATGTATTCGTAATTTTTTCCCATCAAGAACTAACAAAATTCAATGATATGTTCTCTGATTGCTATTTGCTCAGGTTTCTTTGTGCGAAATGCTTCTTAAAAAGTAACACTATTCTAACACTTACTATTCGCATATAGTTTCTGATGGCGAATCCATCTCGAGTTGATTCATTCCCCGAACAAGATACTGCATTCGTTTCGATTCCTGGGGTAACTGATAATTCACTTATAGAATCAGTGAGAAGAAGAATGGCATCGTGGAACAACAAAGTTTCAGTCTAGAATAAGTAAAAAAAATTTAAAAATGTACTGGTGGTGAAATTTTTGAAGTTTCCTTCTATTGTCAGATCAGAAATGTCAGAAAAAATCAATAAGCCCAATAAAATTCCGCAAGGATTCTTAAATGACCGTTCCATAGGACCGACAATGTTTTTGGAACCAGTTACAGAAATAGAATTGGGTGAAATCATTCTTAATTTGAAAAACAACTGGTCTCCAGACCCAGACAAGTTAACATCGAAACTTTAAAAAAATATAAAGAACTATATTCTCAAACCGCTACGTCACATCATAAATGCAGTATATAGGACTAGCATTATACCAATACCAATAGTCTTGATTTGGCCAAGGTATTTGACACACTGTCACATACCAAATTAATCAATAACCTGTACTCATATGGAGTCAGAGGTCCAACACTTCAAATTATTCAAAATTATTTGAAAAATAGAAATCAATAAGAAGTAAAAATTGGGAAGGAATTGAGTGGAACACAGGAAATCTCTATTGGTGTCCCACAAGGGACGGTTTTGGGTCCTATCCTTTTCTTGGTCTACATCAATAGTATAGCTTATATAAATAATTTTGAAGGTCATTTAATCTCATATGCGGATACGGCAATCATTCATTCTGGAAAAACTTGGCAGAATGTATATAAAGCAGCAGAGAGAGGATTGAAAGATATTCAGTTATGGTTAAATCTTGATGAATTAACACTGAACACAACAAAAACAAAATTCTTGCCATTTTGTTTATTACATAGTGACTTACCAGAAATAGGTAGAATGAAAATACATAATCATGAATGCACGAATCCAATTGCATGTTCCTGCCCAACAATAGATAAAGAAACAAAAATAAAATACCTTGGGGTGATAGTAGATGAACATTTGAGATGGGATGAGCATGCCACTTTCATTATCAGAAGAATGAGACAATTGACCTACTAATTCTACACACTTAGTTATATGCTCGGATGGCAAAGAAGGATAGCACAAAACAAGCACTAACCAGTGCTTAGGTGCAGCTTCTTTGTCCAAAGGAGTGAATAAAATAATTATTATAAAATTGTCATCACCGGAGATAATAATAAATAATGAGCGTCAATGTTCTATCCACGTTGGATTACCGGTAGTGGGTTCGATTCCCACCACGACCGCAGAAATTTTTCTAATGACCTAAGAATGTGTTTGGGATCACACGTTGAAAGAAAAGACCCCCGTCATTTCTTGCTCGCACAAGTCTCTTGAAGACTTCTGAGGGTTGCTCGTAAGGGGGCAACCGAATGATGGATGAGAATAATTTTAAAACAATTAATTAATGTACTATTTCAAGATACATGTTGTGTAGTATGGACAAATCAGATGAACTGCCCCAGAATATTAATAATAATAATTCGTCTTTATTTCCTCAAAACATTATTACATGGGGCATAGATGGTATGTGTACCAGGAGAAGTTGATCTAGGAAGCTATTCTCACACTTAACCTGAGCTCGACTTATATTCTAATCCTAATACTAATCCTAAACCTAAACCTAAACCTTCTTCTTCTTCTTCTTCTTTTGGGTTTATTGGATTTCTGTCACCTTTCGGTAACAATTTCTCCAGATCAGGTAATTAATTTTTTCAAGAATATATATGATTATGTAATAATATTATCTCTCGACTCGAGCACTAAAGACACCGTAGTCCATCACCATGCCCGGAAGCCGCGAGTTCATCAATGTCCAAAGATTCTATCGTATGTGCTCATGCTGAGCACGTTTGATTTCAAGTATGGCCCCTTTATCCGGTGAATCCGTCACCATCCGGCCTCTATACCGGCGTAGAGATAAAAGGGCTTAATAATTTTCACACACACTTATTAAACTTCACAATAAATATTGGATTTTAATCCAGATCAGGTAATTAGAAAAATTATGGACTTTCACACACATTAACCTGACTTTTGACCTGGAGACGCCATGTGTCTCCTACCATGGTCAAAAGGCGAATCCAAACCTAAACCTAAAAACCTCAATCTAGCTTGACATTTAAATTTTCACTAATTGTCTCACATGTAAGGTATGATTCAACAAATTGCTGTGAATTTTTCTACCGAATACCAATTTTAGCTGATGTCTAACATTTATATTATGGACATTCTGTCTGAAAATGAGTTTTTCTCTAAGATAAGCTGGAGTTGAATCCTTCAGCAACTTGTAAATGAACTTGAAGAAATAATATTTTGAGGAATTGCTTATATCTAAGCACTGAAGTTCCCTAAGTTTATGGGTCACATGATTATATTTTCTATAATTAAAAATGAGTCGACAACAAGTATTTTGAATACTCTGGATACTGTAATTATTGGTTCTTTGTTCTAAACAGGTAAAAATAAACGATGTTACAATGCTGCAAAATTGACAATACGAGACACTCACATACCTTAGTAGAACTTTCAACTCAAACCATGTTTATAATGATCCTTTTATACAAAAATAATAATGCTTGACGACATAATTCGATCGAAAAATTAACTGGAAAGTTTTAGTTTTGGACATAAATAATAGAACCTTCTAAAAACGGACCCTCTTATGACGTAGAAACCTCATCTCGCCAGAGTTAAAAGAAAATACCAAACGCCCGACGGAGACTGAGGCAACTGATATATTAATTCTTTCAACTGTGATCTCGCCCTAATTCACTCTGTCAGAAATCATGTATCAATCATCTCTGTCTGAAATAGTCTTATTTCAGTATAAGGGGTTTTGACGTCACATCTTCGCCTCGTTTTCAGAGGTCCGAAAAATCGGGGATTTCAATAATTTTTTATAAAATGTAGGGAGCTAACAGCAAGAAACGGTTTGCGGTGGTGAGCTAGTTTGGGTGAGTTCTATCGAATTATGAAATTTTTTGTGATATAAGCCCATTGTTTCCTCAGATTCAAACTCATGATGCTCTTGTCAAAATGTCACTGCGTTTTGAAAATGTCACTATTAGAGAGCCTAAAAGAAATATGGTAGTGCCAAAATGAAACCATCATGAGGGACACCGGTATTGATGACAATATAGTATCGATTACAAATGAATCATTTCAACATTGAAAATGTTTATAACAGAAAATTGAATAAAACCATTTATTTGAAATAACTGATATGAGTGATAGGCGATAGGTATATGACACTGAAATTATTGTATCCTGAATCATTTTTTCATTTGGGCTGCAAATAGAGAATATAAATATACAAACCCTGATTGATTTTGGATCCAGTTGCATTTGAATATTCCGATTTTCGAATTCAGTGAGTTGCCATCTGTGCATGGCATTTTCGAAATTCTCAGTTTTCGGATCATGGAGCCTCAGGATAGTAATATTCGCTGTTGTGTTCAACACCGAAAAATCAATGGTATGAGCATTCTATAAAATATATTGTAGATTATAGGGGAGAGTTGATTTCATCAATAAGCAGATTTACCAGTGATGTTAAGAGAAATCTGTTGTGCAAGTTGAGCATGTGGACGCTTTTTGCTTGTAGAAGAATCGGAAGAATATTTTCTGTTTTGCAGTCCAAGATAATATTGTCTTCTGTAGTGTTTCTGATTTCCTTCAGAAGTTGCCTTAAAAAAGTACTCAATTATAACGTTTCAATAATATCACAAAAATAATTTTCATTCGATGATGAATTACTTCAGTGATTACCGTGTTTATTTACAACTTCAAAGATGATAAAATTACTCCTCACTTGATATAGGTACTATCATTTGAAGATATTAATGAAATCATAATCATAATTCTACTATATCGGAAAAATTGTGTTTCTGAATGAATATTTGAAAAAAAAGGAACAAAGAAGTAGGTACCTCCTAGTGTCAATTTAGTTTGAAAAATTGTGACACAGCACTGGACTCTTACGGGGCTACTATGCAGTGGCGTGTGGCGTGTTTTGTGTTTATTTTAAATGGAAAACTATCAGATTGCTACGAAAGCTCAGGAGTGCCAGTGAAAAAAAAAGTCGTCTTAGTAATCGAAATTTCGTCTTATTAAATCGAATTATCGACTTACTAAGTCGAAATTTCGTCTTACCAAGTCGAAATTTCGCCTTATTAACTCGAAATTTCGTCTTGTAAGACGAAATTTGGAAATTTCGTCTAAGCTCACAGCCACAGAATGGTATTCTATTCTGTGTACCTACTTAGTATCTCTTCATTATTTAGAGCGAGTTAAAAATAAGTTCGAACTAAGCCGTTTATACCCATTTTCGATACTTGAGGTTTATGGCCTCATTTTCAAAATCTTAACACTCATATATAATAGAGATCTGAGTTGAAAAACTAAGAAAACAGTGAACCAAAACTGGCATCCGTCGTGGGTACCTAGATCTAGATGTCTTTTTTAATGGCCAAGAACCATCAATACCGCCGGTTTCATAGGTCTATGAGTTAGTTCTGTGGTTTCATATGACTTTTCATGAAAACTCGAAATTTCGAGATAACAATCATGTCGAAATTTCAAGTTAACTATCTCGAAATTTCGAGATGTTAAGTCGAAATTTCGACTTACTAATACGAAATTTCGACTTACTAATACGAAATTTCGACTTAGTAAGACGAAATTTCGAGTTGGTAAGACGAAATTTCGACTTTCTAAGTCGAAATTTTGACTTTTTATTTTTTTCCATTGGCACTCCAGAGCTTTCGTAGATTGCCGTGTGTGTGATAAATTAAAATAAATGATATGATTTTATAGAATTATATCTGTTCGAGTTCAATATACAGGGTATTTCATTAATATCGCACAAAACTTAGAGGTCGTATTTTCTTGGTGGGTGGTTCAAAATTCAGAATTTAATGACCCTCAAATATCGATTAAATACCTATCAGTAAATAGTAAATCAAAAGTTGAGACAGGGACATGTGAGCCGCTTAAGCCGATACCTAATGAATAGTTTCGACACAAACAAATCCTAAAGTGCATGAAAATTTCCGATAATTTTGCAATAAAGCGTGTTATATAAAATTTTCATATTTTGGCGAAAGAGCACAAGTCCGATTGAGGAGGTCAAGGAACAAAATATAAAAAAATGTGTGGAAAAAAGTTATTCTGTGTAAGAATTGGCATGAAAATTATCTGATCATTTTTATGCACGAATAAAATGCATTAGAGTATTTCACGAATGAATAAATTATCGACGAAATGTTGTTGCATTTTTGAGCACTCCACAACAAAACGCGAAATTTTTTTCACTTTTTGTAGTCTAACTGACATTCATTTGTATTTGTTTACTGGCGTCTAGCGAAACGGTTTCAAATGTGGTGTATAGCGACGGGATAATTTTGCAGTGCAATCTTCGCTCTGCAGTGAAATTGACGTTGTAATTTTTCTTGCATTGATCTCATGAGACATTTCATATATAACGGAAATATTCGTTTAGTAGGTACACGTCATCTATCGATTGTTTCTTCAGCATTTTACCTATAATCAGGCCCAGGCCCCAACTGCTTCACGAAAATATTATTCCTCTTCGTATCCCTCCTATACTCCTGAAGTTTCAGGATATCCTGCATCCTGACCAGCCCTTCCTCTTCCTCGTAGACGATAACGAAGCTACTCCAATGCAAACTCCTGACTATCTCAGCCAGTCCTGCAGCGAACAGCTCGCTTTCGGGGTAAAAACTGAGCAGCGCCCTCTCTTGGTTCGGGTTCCGTATCACGGGGGGCCTCCATGACGTCATGATGAAGGGGATTTCGAAGTTGGTGCACACCGATTCCAGGATGGGGATGGTGTTGGGAGTGTCGACGACGAAAACAGCAGCTAGACCGATGTAGGACTCCATCATATCACACACTGAAAAGTACGTTGGAGATTCGGAAAGGAAATACACAACCCTAATGGAACACTGAAATCACATGGATATCGATAGGACGTCCCGATGGGACATTCGGGACGTCCGTGTCAAGAAGTACAAATGCCTATGGAATATAATAATTTTTCCAAGTTGAAACATCCAGTACAATGAAGTCCCGTTCGGGTCAGCGGAGTTCATAGACTTTAGTTCCTGTAATATTTGTTAATCGCTCACTGGCGCCTTCACCAAGTGTCGCAACTCAGATGGTTCCAGCAGGTTATAGGGGCTCTTCTGATATATCTATAAATTGTTCCTCCCTTGGCAGTCCCCGCGAGATTAACCCGTCTAGTTGAGGCTTAGCACCCCTTGGTGGTCACTTTGGAGACCTGCAGATCATCTCTTTCTAAAGACTCGTTCATCCAACGAACAGCGAGGCTCTGGAATACATTGTCAAGGGAGGAAATTTAAAAAGAACACCAATTCCTACCTTATTTCCCTTGGTTCTCACGATGTTCTCTGAACATTACAGGATTTACCTTTTCGTGGGAACCAGAACATAAAAAAAAATTGAGAACAAACGGTGCCTCCTATAGGTCGTAACTTAGCAACTGGCTTGGCTATTGGACTCGATGAGGGATTTTTCATCATTTCACCACCCAACCATATTCATCCCCAAATAGAGAGTCAAGACAGTTTTCATATACAATTGACATTTATTGATTGAACGGGAAAGTCATGAATAAATGCTGCCACATGGCAGGTTAGCAGAGAAAAGCCATGGTGAATTGTCAAGTAAAACACAACACAAAAGAATTCAGAGAGAACACATGAAAAAATAGTATTTGAATTATGACGAAGTCAGGGAGACGGCGATCATTTTGACAATAATTCATGAATTACAACCTCAATTTCGAAAATCAAATACCGTGTATGTAATGAATGACGAATAAATAAGGTATTGAATCATGAGCTGAAAGTGCATCCCAAAAACTTGGTTTTCTGTTTCGGGCTAGGAGCTATTCCACTTCCAGTTAGCTGCTTATGATCTATAAGGCACAAATCTGACCTGTCCTGGAATACTGTTCCCATATTTGGAGTGCAGCACCCAGACATACCCTGAAACTGTTGGATTCTGTCCAAAAAAGGGCAATTCGTCTCGTGGGTGATGCCTCGCTCACAAACTCACTCACTTCTTTGGAACACCGTATAAAAGTTGGCGATCTGACTCTCTTTTATAGATATTTCCATGGACAATGCTCTTCTGAAATATCAACAATTGTTCTTCCCTTGACAGTCCCCGCGAGATTAACCCGTCGAGTTGAGGCTTCGCACCCCTTCGTGGTCTCTTTGGAGACCTGCAGAACATCTATTTCCAAAGACAAATCTCTGCTAGCTAGTTTTTTCTCAAACAGGTCTCCCCATATGTAGTGGTCGACGGATTTTCATCTGACTCTATGCTGGTGTTCCGCAAGGATCAATTCTAGCACCAACACTATTTTTATTCCATATCAACGATTTGTTGGAAGCAACTACATATCCAGTACACAGTTTCGCGGATGATAGTACCCTCCATACCGCCTTCTCTTCCAGGGCTCCAATTCCAGCCAGGCAAATCAGAAACGAACGAGGGAGAAATGTTAACAACATAAATATGGACTTGGCAACAATTCTCGAATGGGGATCCAATAACTTGGTAGATTTCAATGCAAACAAAACACAAGCATGCCTTTTCTCTAGAAAAGCCGATCTCACTGTGCCCAACATAAGCTTGAGTTGAGGCTTCGCACCCCTTCGTGGTCACTTTGTAGACCTGCAGAACATCTCTTTCCAAAGACTCGTTTATCCAACGAACAGCGAGACTCTGAAACACATTGCCAAGGGAGGTGTTCCCCGAGGCATATAACCTCCAAAAATTTGAGAAAAACACCAACTCCTACCTTATTTCCCTTGGTTCTCACGATGTTCTCTAAACATTACAGGATATCCTTTTTCGTGGGAACCAGAACATTAAAAAAAATGAGTTAATCAATAATTAATATATAATGCCATGTCATATCGACTCGGGCACTTTTTTTATTTGAAAACGATGCTAGGTGTGCCATTTTCCCGCAATGAGAATGGCCGTTACCTGGCGGTATTGCTTACCTAGGTAGTTTCGCATGGTAAGCGGTTTACAAATATTACAGGAACTATAGTCTATGAACTCCGCTGACCGGGACGAAACTACACTGGACTGGATGTTTCAATTTGGATTATTGAAGATCTTGAAATGATCGAGAGTTTGAAGATGTTATTCCATAGGCACTTGTTTTTCTCGACACAATGAGTCCTAGGTTCCGCGGACATCCATATAGTACTTCCGTGTTGAGTACAAATGTCCTGACTTCTCACCAAGAAAGGATAAGCCTCAAGGATATAAATTCAACTTCTTTCGGAAATGATTCAATGGACGTCCTTTGAAAAAGTTCATGAAACATTCTGCTCTTGTATCGAGGTCATTTATAGAATATCCTCCAAAACATCCTCTGGAATGTCCATAGAATGTCCTCTGAAACGTCCATGAGACGTTTCCTGGTACGATCATAGGACGCGTTCTTGGAACTTCCATAGGACGTCGTCTGGAATGTCCATAGGATGTCCAAGGTCCTGTTGAGTTGATGGTCCATGAAGGGTAGCCAATAGGTCCTGAGGAAGGTTCCCAAGAATGTCTGATCGACTTGCGTAAAGGACATTTATATAGCCTACGAGCAGTCGATCGTCGGCGAGGTGTAAGTCAACGTCCTCGCAGGGACAACATATTCAACTATAATTTCGACTACTAATAAAGGACCATATTGGCGAGTTATAAACTTGTGACGTCAGTACTGCTGACGATTTTCTGGGAATACATTTTGGAATATCAAGAAGTAATGAAAAATTCATAAAATTCTCTTTGCCCTTTCTGATAGTCATGAATGTCGTAGAGTATTTTTTTTTTAATTATTGTTCTTATTCCTATATTATGTTGCATTGCACTTACATGTTCTGCTGGCCTCAAAACTATCACTGTTCGAAACGGCTGAAATATTGGTGGTAAAATAGATATTTTGATCGAACATATTCTTTTTATATATCACACTATTCAGTGGAAGTCGTACTTGGGATGTTAAATCATTTAAGAGGACACCTGAAAAAAAATTGGACTCATTGATTCTGTAGCAGTAATGGCCTCAACTTTACAGCATGCAATATTTTATGATTTATATGGAAAAAAATTTCTTGTTGATGGTTTGGTAACATCGCCATAATATGTTTTGCTCATTCAACAAGTAACTTTTTGAGCATATCTCAATTCATCTGAGAATAGCTTGATATTTTCAAATTGAACACAGTTGATAAGCTTTATATATATGACATCATTTGACAGCTCTTCGCACTATAAAGGATATGGTGCCTAACCTGTATATATTTTTCAAAGAAAACGCTAGATTTCCGAACTCACCTATCGTCACTGCCGTTTTGGATGAACACAAAATTTGAAAACCAAGAAAACTCAAAAGCCACAGAACATTTCGAGTAAAGTTCTTCATATTTCAATCAAGCACTAGGTATTACAGCAGCGCATCAGAAATGCAGTTTCACATAATAATCATCCGAATATAACTGGATTAGTTTATTCTTTTCTGAATTATTTCCTATTTGGATAAGTTCCAACGCATACTGAGATTTAAATTTGTAGCAGAACAAAAATAGAACGGTTTACCAGATATGAGCAAACATATAGGTAAGTATAATTCATCATAAGAATCTTTCTGGCGTTCACCAATCAAAATGAGTTTACCTACTAGGAAGACTTTTTTTTAATAAAAAAATGTCCTGTTTCTCAACACAACGCGGTATTAGTTTTAGGTTTTAGCACAACTTGCTGTGGTTTTAGTTTAGTTTAATTCATATCTAAGATTCACTCAATCCATTACAATATAGATTTCAGAGTAGGTTGTGCCATCTACAAGAAATCATATGAAGCTGTTTCATAAAATCTCAAAGAAGTTCTCGGTTGTTAGTGAGGAGGACTGTTACTAGATGTCGTTAGCTACATCATGTTTTGTCATATTGGAGCTGGAGCTTGTTACATGTTTTTTGATTTTTCTTTCATTCAATGAGCTTTTTCTCATAAAGATTTGAACACAATGCAATCAATCATGTATTCAATTAACATTCCATATGTCTGTCAATGAGATATCTGTACAAAAGCTGATCCTCTGATGTGCACTCGAAAAAAATATTCTCATTTGAAAAAAAAACGGGAAAATTGCCAACCACACCCTCGAAATTCCGAGAGGGTGACTTTTCTATAAGTTGGCAGTGCTAAAGCGTCCCGATCAAATTGACCAATACGAGGCTCGCATTTTACCCGATTGTCGATTGTCAGTCGGTGGATCTTCAAATCGGATCGGAGGGGCATTCGACTCATTCGAGTATTCGCCATCTTGAATTTTGATTGTGCGCGTTTTAGTTGCACGAAAGTTGGGAAAGAGTAGTGCACGGGGTAGTGAAACTTAGGTTTAGTGGTCAATTTTAACGGAATAATCAGCGAATTAGGTGAGTTTTGGTACTATTTTTCAATGAAACTTTGCAGGAAATTGTGTCAGGGAGTTGCTCATTGAAAATTGACGAAAACATCAGCGTAGTTTTTGTGTTATTGGGGCCTTGTCTTGTCAAAGCATGCCGGTTGGTAAATGTTTTCGGTTATAATTTGAAAAAGAACAGAAATAAATGAATTGAATTTATGTGGATAAGGTGTATTTTATTAACGGATATGTTTATTTGTGCAATGATAATCAAGTTGGTATAAACTATATGTATAAGGAACATACCTAGCTATAGGTACCTAGGTAGTGATTCCTTTTTTATTTTGAGAGAACTTGTTTTTGTTGGAATGTTGGAAAACTCCTTTGTTCCACAATCAATAATAATAATAATGATTCTGATTGATCAAAGAGGTACAATTAAGCATTAGGTATCCAGTTGGCTCCAGATTATGTATTGAATATGAGTATTGAATATATTTTGAAAATATGTATATTATATACCTATATCGAGACTTATTTACTACTTACAGGTAGGTCTCGGGAAGTAGTTCGGTAAGTACCTATAGACAGCTGTTCACAAAGGGTGTAGTGTGTTTGTAGTCATTGATTGGATTTTGAAATGCCCCTATGCAGGCAGATAGGTATTATCAAAATTCGATTATTTTTTCAAATGCGTAGATGAATAAGTCAAGTTGAAATCAATATACTACCTATTCCGAGACCTACTCCACAATAATTAGGATATTGTTATGAGAAGAAACCTGGTTGGGTATTTTTAAATTTAATGTTGGGTAGTTAGTACCTATCAAACTTAGGATGATAGGTAGGTATCACCTTTAAGTTCTAGATGATAAGTAACAACCTCCAACTTTGTCAAAGGAAGGAGCAAAGGAAAAAGATGATTCAAGGTCAGGTTTTGTTCGCATTGGCATCGTATTTAATTTGAATAAATGTCTGGTTTGTGCCTGAATACTAATGATAGGTATGGGTTGAAAGAACCGAATTCACGTGTTTTGACATGATAAATGCTGGAAGAAATTCACTGTGAGGTGGCCTTCCATTTCAGTGAAATCTATTTTATGTTTTTCGGATTAATCAAGGTCTTAGGTCAATACCTCGGTCAATATTCGGTTCGTATTTATTTATAGGTAGGTAGGTATTTACCGGAAATAAGATCAATAGGAGAAATGTGCCTATGATGGCTCCCCTAAGGAATTTGCCTTAATTATGAATAGATATACATACTATTGAGTGACTTATCGACTCCTTATCAATTGTTCTTCAATGTTAGGTAGGTACCATTATTCTCATTATTATGCATTTCTTTAAAATCCCCTGAGTACCTAGTCCATCATAGGAACATAGGTATATACCCATGATAGCCCCTTTATGGTTTACATATACCTAAAAGCAGAATTATTTTTATCATACAAAATTTTTATTATGTGGAATGGTCAACTCTAGATGCATACCTACAAATGAAACAAATGTTTTAGAAAACTCGAAATGAAAAATGAACTGGAACACATAATTGGCTAACAAATTGCTTGCACCGATTGTTGATGCCAGAGGAACGCAATTGGGGGTCCATTATAGGCAAATAAACGTATTGATACTTTGAATCAAATAACATTTCTTATACCTATCCACAATGTGCATTTCTACCTTACACATCGACTGCAGCTGTCATGTTCATTTCACTATGAGAGTGTACCTACTACAAAAAATGATAACCGAGATGATTACAGTTTTCTTACATTAGAACACTCACCAATTTGGATTCTATTTGGTAAAATCACTAATATAAAGTAAAACCTTCTGAAACCTAGAAGCAAAGGCGCAATAATTGAAAATACAAATGGTGGGCCATCATAGGCATGGGGCCATCATAGGCATGGGACCATCATAGGCAGGGGGCCATCATAGGCACATTTCCCCTTCTTGATGATACTGCGGAGTGATCTTTCAATTTATACCTACTACTAATGAATTCACATGCAAATAGCAATTGTACCTACCAATCTGATTGCTGATGCATTTACCAGTTTTTGTGAAAAAATCGAATAAGTAGGTGAATACCTTCCAGATGTCCTGAATCAAAAACGCTCGCAAAAGCGTTAATTTTGTGTGCATCTGAGGTAAATTCTCGGAGGAATTCAAAAAACTTGGGAAACTCCTATGGAATATTTCATTGAGAATAGCAAGATGACGTCACTTCCGGACAAACTGGAAGTGTAACATACATATATATTAAAAATACCCTGCCTATCTTACTATTTTAATTATTTTAATAAAATTCACAGTGTTTTCTCACCATAGGTATTCACAAATTTGCAGAATTGCAATTCATGTTAATTAACTCATGACGATGAAGATATACCTATACCTATAGGTCTCGGTCTAGGTATACCAGAGATTAGGTGATTAGGGTCAAATAGAGAAACAATTTTAATTGAGATTTGTAGCTAAATGACAAGGGAAAGGCACTTGAAACTATTGTCCTTTTCTTAGTATACTGGGAAACCACAAACGATTAGGCATTTTTGGAGATTTTTATTAGGAGTTTCCTACTTTACCCTAATGCCTACTTACCTAATGTAGGTGCCTACTCTACTATGTACTTATAAATCTTGTAGGTTATATACAGGGTGATTCATGAGGAGACTCACATTGCCAATTGGTGAATAAGGGAAATCATTTCAAAATATTTCAAAGCTCAGGGATTTCAAGGCATTTCATGGTATTTCGACTATTTCGTGATCTGTTCTATGCATCCATGCATTTCTTCAGTTGTAACCCCCTAGACATACAAACTTGGAATTTATCTTGATGAAGCTCAATGCTTCAAGAGCAGCATGAGTGGTATCTCGTAGTCGTAGGTTACATATCTAGTTTGTTGGACCAGTGAAGGCACCATTAGCTTAGTACATCTATAACTTCGACCTTCGATTCAAATATGTTCAAAGTCAAAGTTCCAGCCGATCTCACTGTGCCCAACATAAGCTTGTCAGGAGTAACCATACCTTTGAAGACATCCATTTCGATTCTTGGTATTACTATCAGCAATAACGTTTCTTGGGAAAATCACGTGAGATCAATTGCTAAAAGTGCATCCTAAAAACTTGGTTTTCTGTTTCGGGCCAGGAGCTATTTTAGTTCCAGTCAGCTGCTTATGATCTATAAGGCACATATCCGACCTGTCCTGGAAATTCTGGGATGCTGTTCCCATATTTGGAATGCAGCACCCAAACATACCCTGAAACTGTTGGATTCTGTCAAAAAAAAATTCGTCTCGTGGGTGATGCCTTGCTCGCAAACTCACTCACAAACTCACTCACTTCTCTGGAACACCGTAGAAAAGTTGTCGATCTGGCTCTATTCAACAGATATTTTCATGGACGATGCTCTTCTGAAATATCAACAATTGTTCCTCCCTTGGCAGTCCCCGCGAGATAAAACTTGTCGAGTTGACGTTTCGCACCCCTTCGTGGTCACTTTGGAGACCTGCAGAACATCTCTTTCCAAAGACTCGTTCATCCAACGAACAGCGAGGCTCTGGAACACATTGCCAAGGGAGGTGTTCCCCGAGGCATACAACCTGAAATTTAAGAAGAACATCAATTCCTACCTTATTTTCCTGTTGTTCTCTGAACATTACATCAGGATATTCCTTTAGTGATTCCCGCGAGAGTCTCGTTTTCGAGAGTCTCGCATGGTCTCGTATCGTTTTCGAGACAAGACTCGAGACGAGACTTGGACAAGACGAGACGAGACTTTTATTGGTCTCGTCTCGTGTCTCGTGCAAGACTTCTCGTGTCTCGTGCGAGAGTGTCGCAGGTAAATATTTCTGCTTGCCGACTGCAGACTTGAGATTTCCATCCATAATATCTTCAGAAAGAATTCAGACAATTTAGCACATATAGACAGAACGTTCCATTCATAAATACTTTAAAAACAATCCATGATTGTTGTAGAACTACGTAATGCGTGAAACAAAAACGGACTATTCTCTCTCTTACTTGTTATTTGATTTTTATAACTTCCGAATATATAATGCTATGTTTTTTTATTGTTCAGATGTATGACGTAAGTAAGTTCCTATTAGGTACTGACTTTCCAATAAATAATATTAATTTTGTTGTAATTATCTCTTCCTACTTCTACATTATACCTAGAAATTAGGGAAAAGGCGAGGGAAAAGGTAAATATCCCGTACTATAGACTGGAACACGATTATGCATGACGAAATTGCGATACATTTGCGAGACTCTCGTACGAGACGCGAGACAAGACTAGATTCGAGGCTGCGAGACGAGACTCGAGACTAGACTTCATATTTCATCGGCGAGACTAGACGAGACTTTATGAAAGTCTCGTCTCGTTGGTCTCGTGTGAATCACTACTTTTCGTGGGAACCAGAACATAAAAAAAAATAAACCAAGGTTTCAAATTAAAATTTACAAATATATCTATTCATCCACTCAATTTTAAGATTTTTTCGGATTTTTTGAAGGTAGGTACAGATATTCTATTAATATGTATTATAAATATACGCACGGAAAAACATTATTGGAATCGTGTTTTTTTGAATAAGCCTTCAAAGAACAGGAATGGAATGTGAAACAAATTACAAAAACGATAGTCATATTTTAATGATGAGTATCCTTCGTACCAGAATGCAATGCGAATTGTTTATAAGAACGACGAGAACGTTCAAGTTGATAATGCAATGTCAGATAACTGGTGGCTCCTATCAATAAACAAACTTATTATTTCTCGATTGTCCACACATTAATAAAGACAAAACAGTGAGGCTTTGTGATAAACAAAACCATATTATATATATATATCCATTATTCATATTTTATATAAATAGATCCGATAACATGACTGAGTAAGCATATACAGGGTGTAGGGTATTCCCGCTGAATAATAATTCCAAGGCACATTTCTATATTTATGGTATTTTTCATCGCCTAACAAAAAATAATATGCGCAAGTTGAATGCCGCGAACGTTATCAGAAGTTTCACAGGGTGATGCCTATAAGCGTAACAATTAAACCACAAATTCAGTTTCTTCAATGGAGCACCATGTTTTCTATATTTTTATTCGAAATCTATGATTTTTTGTGATAACAATGATTTCTCTTCTTCATTACAACTTTTTCACCCTGAAACAATTTTTGGTAGGGTTATTTGAGTTTAAAAAAATATATTCGATAGACTTTCTCACTTTCATAATCAAAATAATATACACAAAACATGAGAAAAATAATGAAAAATCAATTTTCATTCCACGATACTGATCACTCACGTACCTATATTCTTTTGGGGTTTCGTTAACATAATGACTCACTGTCTCTGAGTTAATTGATACCTTTCGAGCTTTCTAAGGATCAAAATCATGATATTTTCAATTTCAAATGTAACGTGACTGGGAGCCATTAGATGAGGTTGAAGTCGAGGTTGAAATTTACCATGAAGAATCTTGACAGGGAGGGAGAAGAATGGGAAAGGTCTCGAGAAGAAAAAGGTCGTTTCAATACACTACAGATAGGGCACTTAACACTGGGAATTAATTAAAATAAAATGACTTTTTTCGAAAAAGTTTTGAATCAATTTAAACTTTCTCCAATGGAAACAAATCGTATTATTACCTCAAGTTTAAACTAAACTGATTATCCAAATGGATCCCGTTAATATTTTTTCGAGTGTTTTTTATTCGGTTTCATAGTTGGTTTGGTCAATCTTTCTGCGACTCGTTAGAGCAATATGAGAATAAAAAACAAATTCAGAAGACCTTTTACACGATGATAATTGAGGTAGTCTGCAACTGCAGCGATGTCGATAGTCGATATTATATGTTCCTGTTTGACCGAATATTTTTTATAATTTTATTCGTATACAATATTTTGTCGGAATCCATTTCGAAATTTGTTCATTCATATCTTTCATTCATTATTCCAGATTCTTTGGGATTTTCTCTCCTTGTTTCTACAAAATAAAAATATGAATATTATTTCAATATACGCGCAGATTTGCCTCAAAATATCACTGCGATTAAAGAATTCGCCTATCATAGAGCCTAAAAGAAAAATGTACTAGCTTGTCAGTGATAATTTGTATTGAAAAAGGTTTGGAGAAGATAAATAAAGATATATAAAAAAATCAAATTTTCCCTTAGCTTTGCACGTTTTGGGAACGAATCTGCTCCCGTTTTCAACATAAAAAATGGATTTTTGTATGGCAAATTTTTCAGTGAAAATGTCGCGATTGGACGGTATTAGCGCTCTTACTGCAGCGGTGATTAAGAGAGCTGATACCGTCAATGTGCGACATGTTCTCTGAAGACGACTGTACATACATATACACTGTAGATGTCTACATAATTTGATCTCAATGCAATCCGTTCACTCCTGGCACAACGAGTTGCTTGATGAGGAATTCCAGTTCTGTATGACCTTTCTCCTTTTCCTCCCTAGGTACTCACGATGTTCTCCGAACATTGTAGGCATTCTCTTTCGTGCGATCCCAAAGATAAAAACGATTTCAAGTCCAGTATGAACTATCTCGGTCCAGTATAATTGATATCATTTTTTCTTATTCTTATCCGTGAAATTATGTCCCGGAGTATACGAATGTTATTTTAGAACACCCTGTATGCATGTGTAAAAATTGAATGAGAAAATCATATGTTGTCAAGGAAATCATGATTTAGGTGGGTTCAACTTCATTATTTTCGAATTGGAACTTGGGGTCCATGAACAGTCATAATAATTGATGGCTCTTGAAATCCTTTGCTTGCATTGTAAATATTTACGGAACTCAAAATTTGTTTGCATAGTTTTAGGTTTGTTGGTTTTACTTTATTAGAGTAAATTAGATATATAAGTGCCTACTCGAATTCTTAAACGTAGACAAATGAAAAATAATCTCGAAAATAATAGTCTTGAGTAATATCGGTACATACCTAAACCTCGACAAAAACTATTGATGTTTAAGAATTGTCACCGGTGTTCCAAAAATTGACATCACAAAGTAGGCGGGATACGTCTTCACGAAGATTAAATTTGTATCATAAACCAAGGGGAGCCTGAATAAATTGATTAGTGCACTTTATCTACCAACTAAATATTCAAATAAAGAGGCATCATCTAAAATTCGTATTACCTGTTTTTTTTTTTTTCTCCAAGAAAGTGGCTTTTCTCTTACACTCAACACTCTCAACAGGCAGGATAGTTGGACTTTCTCTGCCTAGACAGGAATACCATAAACTCATATTTTTTTTCTTTTTCAGGAATTATATTAGTACCTACCACCTAAGCAGTAGTTGTATTATACTATTATAGAGGTAAGATTATACACTATTCGATAATAAGAAATATTCACAAGACAATTTCAATAGACATGAACTAAAATAATCTTGAAAATGGATCGAAATGATTGAACGCATTGAAAGTTTAGTTGGATGACTTGTAAGTGAGTAAATTGAAATCAATTCAATATGTTGAAACATTCATTATTTCAGATTATTTAGGATTTTCTCTCCTCGTCTCCTTAAAATAAAAATATCAATATTATTTCAATATACGTGTAGGAAGGACAAATGAAATGATTTGCCCCAAAATGTCACTGCGTTTAAAGAATTTTCCTATCAGAGAGCCTAAAAGAAAAATCCACTAGTTTGTCAGTGACAATGGGCGTGTACACCTTAGTAGAACTTTCAACTCAAACCATGTTTGAAATGATCCTTCTGTACATAAATAATGATTGACGACATAATTCGATCGAAAAATTAACTGGAATGTTTTATTTTTGGACATAAATAATAGTACCTTCTGAAAACGGACCCTCTTATGACGTAGAAACCTCATCTCGCCATAGTTAGAACTGACAGTTATCACTGTTGCCATATCATCCAAACTAAATATCCTAGAGATCGAAATCGATATTGAAATATCTTTTGATATCCACTACCACTACTGCAGAAAAATATATTCAAGTTGTCGATTGTAGGATGAATCATTATGGAATATAAACAATCTCTAGAGTCTAGACAACGAAATGTCTCAATCTCAAAACCATTTGCACCATTACAATTTCACAATAATCCAATATATTTCTGCTTCTCCATTGCTTTGTTGACCCGTTTTACATGGAGCTGCAAAAAGTTAATATAGATTAGAATTGATCTTCTTCTTGTTCTTATTATCTTTGTCCCAAAAATCAACTTGCCGACTCACCAATCTCGGTGCTTTGTCAGAAATCATGTATCATTCATCTCTGTTTGTTAATCTGTGTCTGTCTGGAATAGTCTTGTTTCAGTATTAGGGTTTTGACGTCACATCATCGCCTCGTTTTCAGAGGTCCGAAAAATCGGGGATTTCAATTATTTTTTATAAAATGTAGGGAGCTCACAGCAAGAAACGGTTTGCGGTGGTGAGCTAGTTTGGGTGAGTTCTATCGAATTATGAAATAAATTTTTTTTGTGATATAAGCCCATTTGTATTGGAAGAGGTTTGGAGAAGAGAAATAAAGGTATATAGAAACATTATCAAATGTTCACTTATCTTTAGACGTTTTGGGAACGAATATGCTCCCGTTTTCAACATAAAAAATGGATTTTTGTATGGAAAATTCGTATTCTCTTCTCCAACACCTTTTCAATACGAATTGTCACTGACAAGCTAGTGAATTTTTCTTTTTTAGGATCTCTGATAGGAAAATCGTTTAAACGCAGTGACAGTTTGGAGCAAATCATCTGATTTGTCCTTACTACACGTATATTGAAATAATATTAATATTTTTATTTTATAGAGACGGGGATTAACCTACAGACAGTATGTTGAAACATTTTTGAACTAAAGTCAATGGGGACAATAAAATTTTAGGGAGTTCGTCACCCCTCAGTATAGGTCGTTCTTATCCGATCTCCTCGGTGTATTATTAAAATATCCCAACATAATAGTCATTATTATCAGTTCCCAGTCTTGGATAGTGCTCGAGGTTGTTGAATCGGAGACCTTGGCAGACAAAAGATTTTTTGTCGGGATCTAAATTAAATGTGAGAGAAAGGCACTAAATAATTCGGATAGCTGAAGTTTGATCACGCGATGCAGTTATTATTAATTATACTTTACGGTGATGAAAAAATGAGAACATCCAGATTCATCTCGGATTCCTAATATTAACTAAACATTGGTGTCAAACAGATTGGTATTGAATTCATCAAAGACGGTAGTTAGTTCATTTTCACAATAGAAGAAATAAAGTATACCGAATGATCTGAAAATTATTGATGAAATAAATGTGAGTAGTGAAGTGACATTTCTAGGAACTCACACGAAAATCTAGCTTGTAATCTGCGAATAAACAATATCTGTAATGAACTGAATAAAGCTTATTTTGTCATAAAGTAAATGAAAAAATGTTTGGCACACCAGGTCTACTGAACTTATATTTTGCTATGGCTTCACATATGCCATCAAATGTTATAAGCATGGGGTTGTACTAGTGAATTCTCTAGAGTATTTGTAGCAGAAGAACGTATCTTTAATTTAAATTTATCAGTTTTGGCTAGGAAATGTCTATACAAGAGCTACAAACGAATTCAAGTATTCACAATCACAATACAAAACTAAGAATTCCAAATCATAAAACTTCCAAATACAAAAACTCTCCATTATTCAATGCGACCATTCTCTACAATAAACTGCCAATTTCAATAAAACAAACTTCCTGACAGAAAATTCAATAATACAGTTGAAGTCCTGCTACTGCCAAAATGTTATCACAGTGTGAAAGAATTCATGGAAGATGTTCTGTTTTATCATTCGCTCGTTTCTCTTTTGTTTTTTTCCTGTTTTGTGATATATGACGTTATATGCTAATATTTATATATCTCCATTATTTGTGTATTTATTATATCTTTGACATACCATATATTATGTACTAAATGTACCTCAGTGGTGAATAAACATCTATCTATCTATATCTATCCCATTCTGCTAGTTAGTTTTTCCTTATTTCTAACGTTAACCCAAATCCACGAAATCAAGATTGGAGATTCATATTAGGAAGAATAAAATGAAGTATATGAACCATTTCGATTAAATCGATTGAAATCAATCAGTGATTGAGTTGTTATGAATAAATTTAATCAAACCGCAATCCTGATTTGAACATAGAACCTTTTGTGGCATGAGTGGCAACAATGCTTCCATCCGATTTGTATGTTCTAATTATACTGGACTATAATATCAATATAAGTACAGCGTTAATTGAATCGTGTAGTGTGAGATAATGTAGATTACTTCAACTATTCTTAGAAGTAAATGTCAGGGTATATAAAGTTCACTTCACAGTTAGTTCATTGTTTCATTAGGATCAAAATTTGCGAGTCAAACAGTGTCATTTCTGAGACTCAGTTTACTATACACCACTGCTTCTACTGGTCAACAATAAAATTTAGAATAATGATTATATCGTCTTTATTATTTTATGACTATAAAATAAATAATATATTCCTTCATTTATCATGAAATGAAGGGCGAAGTTCATTGTCTGCAATGCTATGTATCACAGAAGATGTTTTTCAAGTCTACTATAGTCGAGACAATAGTTAATAATAACAGCTGTCTACGACTTTCAATGACAGCTTGAAGTATTTACAAGATGGTGAAGATTTCAGGTAAAAAATATGAAATATGTGCTAGGAGTGAAAAAACCTCAGAAAAAATCCCATAAGGCATGGATCAAAAGAAGTATGGTGATAGTCAGTGGGCGTGATTTTCAATCAAACCAATAACTGTATACAGTGTGTCCCAAATTCGATCCTCACCATTGGGATCTCAGTAACTATGAGAGATAGAAAAACGGTTAAATTAGCAAAGTTGTAGCAAATTTAATGTTGAATCAGAATCTATCGAGAAATCCGGGCTAGCTTTAGTCATTCTTGAGTTATTTGAGAAAAACTGAAATCTTGTATTTTTGTTTTTCTCGAATATCTCGGAAACTATTGATTTCATGAAAAAATAACAAGTCATAAAAATTATTTTGTTTTGAAAAGGTCCAGCCATGCGTATAAAATTTGTAAATAAAAAAAATGATTTTCTAGTAAGAGAACTACATGATTTCAAGGAGAAATGAAAAAATTAAACTTTTGAAATGACCCACCCTATATACCGCCCCCCTTCTTTTGATCCATGACTAATGGAACACCCTGTATAAATCACGGTTCTTTCTCTATGACTTCTTTTCTAATATTAGGATCCTACTCGGGATCCTGGGCGTGTACACCTTGGTAGAACTTTCAACTCAAACCATGTTTATAATGATCCTTTCATACATAAATAATGATTGACGACATAATTCGATCGAAAAATTTACTGGAATGTTCAATTTTTGGACATAAATAATAGTACCATCTGAAAACGGACCCTCTTATGACGTAGAAACCTCATCTCGCTATAGTTAAAAGAAATTACCAAACGCCGGACGGAGACTGAGGCAACTGATATATTAATTCTTTCAACTGTGATCTCGCGCTTATTCACTCTGCCAGAAATCATGTATCATTCATCTCTGTCTGGAATAGTCCTGTTTCAGTATTAGGGTTTTGACGTCACATCATCGCCTCGTTTTCAGAGGTCCGAAAAATCGGGGATTTCAATAATTTTTTATAAAACGTAGGGAGCTCACAGCGATAAACGGTTTGCGGTGGTGAGCTAGTTTGGGTGAGTTCTATCGAATTATGGAATAAAATTTTTTTGTGATATAAGCCCATTGTCGAAGGTATTGGTAATACTCCGATACTCTTGAAAATTTGATATATGATATAGCTGTTTTCCTTAGAAATTTGTCAAAGAGGAAAGCGAATCAACAAAGTCATATTTTTATTGTGCACAGTTCTCTCCACAGTTATCTCGAAATCCATTCTCATTAACAGAAGACCCCTGTAAACTCTAGATATGTCAGTGTCATTATGTGCAAAAACCATGCGTCAAAAAGTTGAACTCATTTTACTTCTCCTATACAACCTAACTTCAGCCAACAAATCATCAACTTGCGGTGAACAACCCCTCAACTATACAAATGGCATGATAAAATTCTCTTCTGGTCCAGAAGAAACCATCCGATGCAATTGGTCGATAGCTGTTCCAGAGAAAACCATCACCTCAATAAGCGTCATCAAGAGTACCGTAGAAAAACAGAGCAAATTGTCCTCGTTATGCTTGACCATCAAAGGCTCTTTGAAACGGTACTTGCAAACCTGCAACCTGAAACTCATCAAATCCACTAGGTTGTCGGTCAAAGAAGAGATCAAGGTGAACATCTCAAGTGCCAGAAGTCGCTCTGATTTATGGCTGACGTTTGCTTCCAGAAATGGGACAGAATGTCCGAACAGCGAATTCCAGTGCCTGGACAAGAGCCACTGCTACAACACATCCGATATTCACAGCAAATACATTATTTGCAACGACCATTCAGACAAGCTGGCAACTGGGAAATGTGACGGCTTTTCCACACCTTGCGACTACGATTCCGGAATATGTTTCAACATCACGCAAAGATGCGATGGCATTGTGAATTGCCCAAGGGGTGAAGACGAGCTCAATTGTACCAGTATCTGCCCAAACCTGATCAAATGTCCAGGAGAAGACAAATGCATCCAGAAATCTAATATCTGCGACAGAAACGTAGACTGTTCCGACCATTTCGATGAGAAGAGCTGCCGATACGAATCCAGCAACTCCAAAATACTCATCGTCACCACAGTCTTCATTGTCTGCAGCTTATTCTGCATCATCTTCGTGTGCTTGGTGTTTCGATGGGTGATCACCAAGAGAGACATCAACAGGTTCCTGGATAACCTCCCGGAAATTCCTCTGGCTCCTTTCCAAGGACCTGGTGAAGATGATTCTGACAGTGCAAGCAGCGATCCTTTTGAGGCGGAGTTCCGACAAGGCGGTGAAATCTACGAGTGTTACATGCAGTCTTTGAAAAAGAAGAGCCACTCTTCGAAAGCTGTTCAAGTGGGTGACATTTACCCCAAATTCTCCCACCTAGAAATGGATGTTGAGAACGAGTGCATCGTTTTAGCTTCTTTGAATGTCCCCAGGGATATGTGCGTTGGATTAACCATATCTGAGTCTTCGATAGAGTCGATAAAGACCTTGAAATCCATTCGGGGAAAGAACGAGAATGATTCCGGTTCATCGGTGTCTGATTATGATACAGGCAAGCCAACTGCTCCTTTGAATTCTGGTGAAATTGAACCTTGTTCGGTTCGATCAAGATCTAGTCCCAGGGTGAAATTCGCTTTGATACTGGATGCTAACTCAGATACAAAAGCAGCATCGGCTGTCTTAGAAAACAATAGGTATCCAAAGTTGAGAGCTCCTATTTTTGAAGAATTTGTTAAGCCGAAAGTCAGCTTGGCAGGAGGGGACTTTTTCATATTGAAGAAAGCCAATTCCATAACGGAATCTGAAGCTTCATGTAACCTTGATTGCAAGTCCTATCTGGAGAATATTCCAGAACGAAATGAAGCAGTGAAACAATTTTTGCAGAAAAATCGGTCTGCTCCTTTACCTTGCAGTGTCAACTATATGACTAGGGTGGCACCTTCAAAGTCTCTTGGTAACATTCCAAAATTGACTGAAAGGGACATTTCTTGTCAAATGGCGAGGATTTATTCGGGTTCTGATAGAAGTAGTCAGTGGACAGACATTGAAGAATGTGATGATACTCACCATGGTAGTGAGTTAACTAGGAAAATAACGGTCAAAACAGGGGTTGAAAACCTGAAGAAGAAGAATGAAATGGCTAAACGTATTTGTAAGAAAAAAATTGGGTATTCAGTTAGAATGTAATAATAATTACAGTATGTGCATTTGATTTGTTTATATACAGCGTGTCTCGTGTTGAGTGTATAACCACCATCGTATTTCGGGTAGTAGATGGAACGTTTTTAATTTTTTTTCCCCAAAATAAACTACTCGCAAGATGACCTGGATGTCATGAAACAAAAAAGAGAATTCTATCAGTTTTCAAAGCAGCATAATGCCTATTATAGTTTCCTGATTTTGGTGACGTAATTTTGATATTTTAATAAGATTTGAATCGTTCATTCTACTCCAAAATAGCGAGGCACTAGCCTCCCTAAAGGCCACACCCCCTACGTACCATTTAAATATTTATATTCAATTGTGGAATCGTATTGTTTTTATTATTCATAATACAATTCAATGACAAGTGATATGCACTGAACAAGGGAACAATGTTGTTTCTGCAATAAACATTTGTGTAGTCATCAATTCTTTGTTATTTTAATTATGTTCCATGTTTCGTATTTGAATAAAGATAATAATAATTATTCATAACTAACGTTGTGTACATTATGATATCAAAGAAACCATCAAGGAGCCAACTTTTTATTTAGCTTCTGAAACCGACTAGAACTACGAACTGATGATGAAAATGATCGAATATAATGTGAAATCGACTATAAAATATTCCTTCAAATTACACATTTTCTGTAGTAATGTCATATCACAAGAGGGTGAAAATAAATTATAATAAAAGTAATTCAATATTATTTGTGAAATTCTTTTTTTAAGCAACGATACAACCTCTTTACCGATTCGACAATGAGATAGTTCAATGAATAATGGAAAGCATCAGTGAAAGCATAATTGAAAATGATTGTGTCTGAGTACATTTTCGAAGTTGGCGATCTGGCTCTATTTTATAGATATTATCATGGACGATGCTCTTCTGAAATATCAATAATTGTTCCTCTCTTGGCAGTCCCCGCGAGATTAACCGTTACTATCGAGATCACGTGGGTAGCGGATTAACCCGTCGAGTTGAGGCTTCGCACCCCTTCGTGGTCACGTTGGAGACCTGCAGATCACCTCTTTCCAAAGACTCGTTCATCCAACGAACAGCGAGTGTCTGGAACACATTGCCAAGGGAGGTGTTCCCTTGAGGCACATAACCTCCACAAATTTAAGAAGAACACCAATTCCTATCTCATTTTCCTTGCTTTGAACGATGTTTTCTGAACATTACAGGATATCCCTTTTGGTGGGAACCAGAACATGAAAAAAAAATCGAAGGCTATAAGTGGCTATAGGTACGGAGCCGTTTAATTTCTTCACAATTTAATATAGGAATAGATGGATATGAGTAAATGCAAAAAAAAACAGAGGATGTAATTTTGCGAGTAATTTTGGCTTATTCGTCTTGAAATAGATTTTCAATAGTGAAAATACAAAAATGCAGAAAAACTTCAATCGTTTTAGACAGTTACTGAGGTGATATTCGCAATCTTCAGGAAATGTTCTATGGATGGTTTCGATTTTTCGGAATTCCTATTATTATTATCGTTATTGTTATTTTTGTTTTGGTAAATTATCATTCCATTTATTAATAGAATAGTATATATCAACATTTTCCTCTATGATTATGATTTTAATTGGGGTTTTTAGAGGTCATTATCTATCGCTGTACCCGTTTATCTAATCCATTTTATTTCCAATGCAAGGAAGTGCTGGTAGGTTGGGAATTGCATGTAAGCTTTAATATCAAATTATCATTATGACATTATAAATTGAAAATAGGTTTCTCATATAGAGTGGAATATTGTGTAACAAACATGATTATTCGAGTATTTTTTTATCTCTTGGAGCGGACGAACGGAAATTCCTATAATGTTGAACATGGTGAAACATCGTGCGTGCCTAGGGAGGATAGGGAGAAGAGGTAGGTGTTGGATTTTTTTTAAATTTTCGGAGGCTATAACTCCTTGGGAATACTTCCATTGCCATTTATTTATAAAGATTTATGCAAAATAGCCTTGAAAATAGATAGGTAATCGAGGATTGAAACGAGAGGTGGTTCACTCGCCCAAAAAACGTACACAAAGAATGCATTTACTATTTTTGGATGGAATTGGACAGGATTGGACTTGATTTGACAATATTGGCCAATAATGGACATAAGTAATAGAAATTGGACAATATTGGTCGGGATTGGACCCGATTGGATCGGATAGGACGGACTGCTTGAAATTGGACCGACTGTCTTGTCGCTACTTCCAGTCGAGCTCATGAAATACCTGTAACATTGAGGTATTATCAACGATAGGCAATATGGCTTCCGTCATCAGAGATCAACTGGTGACCTGCTCGCTTACGTCTTACATATTATATGGCAGCAATCTATTTAAAAATATGGTGAAACCTTAGCCGTGGCACTTGATATCTCCAAGGCATTCGATCGAGTCTGGCACCACGGACTCCTCGCCAAGCTTGCATCTTACGGCTTGCCTCCCCAGCTATGTTCTCTGCTAGCTAGTTTTCTTTCAAACAGGTCTCTCCATGTAGTGGTCGACGGAGTTTCATCTGACTCTCTTATCATAAATGTTGGTGTTCTGCAAGGATCTATTATAGCACCAACACTATTTCTACTCCATATCAACGATTTGTTGGAAGCAACTTCATGTCCAGTACACAGCTTCGCGGACTGCCCACGAAATAACACATGCACCTATACTAACTGTCTGGATTGGACAGAATGGGCCAAGACTGGACGAAATCGAGGGGTAAATCTCCTTGGAAGTCTGGTGTACACTCCAATGGAAGTCTTTGGAATTCTTTGGATGTCTTTGAAAGTCTTTGGGAGTCTTTGGATGTCTTTGGAAGTCTTTGGTAGTCTTTGGATGTCTCTGGAAGTCTTTGGATGTCTTTGGAAGTCTTTGGAAGTCTTTGGATGTCTTTGGAAGTCTTTGGATGTCTTTGGAAGTCTTTGGTAGTCTTTGGATGTCTCTGGAAGTCTTTGGATGTCTTTGGAAGTCTTTGGAAGTCTTTGGGAGTCTTTGGAAGTCTTTGGAAGTCTTTGGAAGTCTTTGGAAGTATTTGGAAGTCTTTGGATGTCTTTGGAAGTCTTTGGAAGTCTATGTTAATTGGAAGTCTGGTGTACACATTTTTTCTGGAGATTTACCCCTCGGACGAAATGGACCAAGATTGGTTGGAATGGACCAAGATTAGACCTAAAGACCGATATTAGACACATTGGACCAAGATGGAACGGAATAGATTAGGATTGGTCATATTGTGATGAGATTGGACGGATTGCATCGGGATTGAATGCAGAGTGGATGGCCCCAAAATGGATCGAGATTGGACATATTGCCTCAGGAATGGACGGATTGGACGGACATTGGACGTATTGGACTAGGATTGGACATATTTGTTTGAGATTGGTCATAATGGTTAAGATTGGACGTATTACATCGGAATTGGACGCAGAGTGTACACATTTTGGACCTAGTGGATGACCCCTCGGATTGAAATGACATTTTTATACGTCATTGACTGGACTACCAGTCTCTATTCTTACTGAGCGATTCACTTAATATATCCGAAACCCTCACTTCCCTAGTTACAGGGCGTTGGTACGAACTATATCTTTCATTAGCATTTTCCTTCAAATTACCTCATTAAGAAACACTCGACTGAAATTGTAATTCAAGATTTTTCATGTAGTGAATGACTGAGTACCTAAAGGCAAAAGTCCCGAATTATATGGTTTTCTTCATGTTGTCTGTCGTAATCCCGATTGAAATTGTACAGCCACTGTTTTTATTATCAATTCCCAACTCTTCTAAGATCCATCGACATCCGTTTAGTTCGTGAAAGGATGTCTTTCAGAAATAACTGACGAGAAACATGTTTTGGGAATGTGTTATTCAGAGAGTCGAAACTAATTTGATAGATAATGTTAGGACGGAATGATAGAAACAGAATCGTGGATGTGTGGGTTGTATTTCCACTGTATAATTTGGCTACGAATTTTCAGATTACCAGCGGGTTATCTACCACACTCAGAATACAGGGTAACTCACGGTCGATGGTACGTTAGACGTTTATGGAGAACGGGACATAGGATCATTCTGAAATTTTGGTTACTCACGTAGTTGCTCTTGATCTATCGATCTAAAATATTTTCAGCTCTGCAGCGTTGCCGCTTCTATCGAAAAGTAGCAACAACTTTGTTATTTTAAATGGAACACCCTGTATTTTATTGCATTTTCAGATTCTCTCTGAAGAGCTGATTTCATCGATGTATCACACTTGGGGTCTAGCGGAAATTATTACAGAGATATAGGGTGTCAAAAATCGACATTTTTCAACTTTAGGAATTTTTTTTTGTCGAAACTATTCATTATTGGTCAAAACGGCTTACATGTCCCTATCTCAACTTTTGGACTGCTGACATTTAATTGAAACAAATACAGGGTCGTGCAGAATTCAGAATCTTGATCACCCGGTATATGTCCCAATTAAATATCAGTAAATAGTTAATCAAAAGTTGAGACAGGGACATGTTAGCCGTTTTGACCAATAATGAATAGTTTCGACAAAAAAAATTCCTAAAGTTGAAAAATGACGATTTTTCACACCCTATATCTCTGTAATCATTTCCGCTAGACCCCAAGTGTGATACATCGATGAAATCAGCTCTTCAGAGAGAATCTGAAAATGCAATAAAATACAGGGTGTTCCATTTAAAATAACAGAGTTGTTGCTACTTTTCGATAGAAGCGGCAACGCTGCAGAGCTGAAAATATTTTAGATCGATAAACCAAGAGCAACTACGTGAGTAACCAAAATTTCAGAATGATCCTATGTCCCGTTCTCCATAAACGTCTAACGTACCATCGACCGTGAGTTACCCTGTATATTGAATTAATTTACCAAGCGAATTTAAAAATGCACATCGAATGTACTGGTTGTATCCGGTGCTTCAGACCTCCCCGAAAGCTAACGTTCGGGTTTGGCTGTTGACCTAAAAAATGTTTCGAGGTCAAGTACCTTCAGTGAGGGTTAGGAATTTGGTATTCCATGTGGCGAAATATAAAAGAACCAAATGTATAGATGAATTTTCAGACAAAAGCGTTGGATTTGAACATTTTTCATCCTTATGAATATCTAGATAAAACCGATGAAAGGCATTTCTTTTGTCACAAACATAGAGAACATCATAGGTACCGAGATATGTACCGACATGTTTTATTATTTGCTTTCATTCCAGTGCTTTCACCCTGTATATATGCGCGAATTGTACAGGGTGTAAATTTGAAAACTTCCAATGCGAATATCTCGCGAAATAAAAAAGTTAGAGAAACGCCATTTGGCAAAAATGCTATAGAGTTAAGGGGAACTAGAACCACCATATTTCGGTCAAGGGATGAGTCACCCCGTC